TGCTGCAATTTGCTGCAACATGCTGTAAAATGCTGCAATTTGCTGCAACATGCTGCAAAATGCTGCAATTTGCTGCAACATGCTGCAAAATTCTGCAATTTGCTGCAACATGCTGCAAAATGCTGCAAAATGCTGCAAAATGCTGCAATTTGCAGCAACATACTGTTCGAGCTTATTGCTCGTACTATGTAGCAGCTTTCGTCAAACGTTCCTCCTGTCTTGACAGTAGGTGCGCATATCTGACAATTACACAAGTCCCTTAGACAGCTAATAAGAGAAACGCTGGCTACAGGGGCTAGAAACTGCTGGCCCCTAGGCTATACTCTCTTTAAAGTAGCACTATGCATGGTGGTTTGTGCTTCCTCGGTTCTCTCATCACCCCAGCTGAGCTAGCTGAGCTAATGCTGATCCTTTAATCTTCTGGCACCTCCACCTCGACGCTTCACCCTTCACTTCCATCTAAATGAACCATCCACCGGCCACCTCGAACTATCTTCACCCGCTCATCATCTTCTTTGGAATGAATATGTAGCCTCCTCTCAGCCTGATGGTTTCAAAGCCTCACCTCGACGTCATCCATTTGATCTCTCCGCTTCGAAGAGGAATATGTATCCTGTTCGACCCTTAAATTGCGATACCTCAAGCCGGTACGCCGCAGACCGCGGAAAAGTTTCAATACAAATAGGATGCATGAGGCGACCTTGCTGAGCACAGGGCCAATTTCGCACGCGGGGACTTGGCAGGGTAGAAAAAGCAATTATATATCCATCGCGCGTTGCTTGCCCAGGCAGCACTCTCCAACAAAGAGGCTTCTCCGAGCCTTTGAGACTTATACTATCCGAACACCCTGTACGATGCTGCCTAGACGACGAATTTTTGCCTTCTTTTGGAGGACACAAGGCTGAGGCGTAGGAGATTGTTACCCGCCAATAGCGACGCCTCAAAAGTCATTTCGGCGTTTCTTTCTGCCAAAACTTTACTTTCGGTGCTTCCATTTGCGCTGACATATCAATCCAGTTTGTCAAAGGTGGTGAGACTGCCTTGAACGGACTCTGCGCTAAGAGGGAGCGCACTCACTGTTATTTAATATCGTTCCATCCGCCTTTGGCGGGCTGTGTAGCAATTCATTGGTAGTGCATTTCATGAAGTCTTTGATCAGCCTGCATTTTGCAGTGAGGCGTACGGGAGTCGGGTCGCACTCCAGTCGAGAGTCATACATTTGCGCAAGTCATGCGGCTGTAGAGGGCGATGCCTCCGCCTCCATCGCCCTTTGCGGCTCCCCATTCCAGGCTATCTATGTATATCAGTCGTCCCTCCCTAGCATTCTCTAGCTTTGAACACACGCAGACTGTGCAATACTGGGCCAAACCTTCGAGATTGTTGGGAATTATCTGGTAGCTATAAACATTCATCCAGGAGACCTACTTGACACCATAGGCTAAAGGCTACAGTATCAACTCACAGCCCGCTCACGTGCTCTCATCGCCATGCCTTGGTCCAGCCAAGGCCCTCAGCCTTACGGCAACGGAGTCAACTCTAATTATCCTAATTCCGGTTACAACGGCTACGGCTCCTCTGCACCCTACAGCAATAACTCCTATGGCCAACAACCTCAGCCTTGTTACGATCAATACGGCAATCAGATCAACAACAATGCGTACAACGCGCAACCTCCTCGACCTGTATATGACCCACAGCCACCTCGCCCTTCCTATGACTCGCAAAACTCAAGCCAAGCCCTCCTGACTCCTCCTGCTGAACCCCAGCTCCGAAGGAAAAGGAGTAAGAGGGAGATGGTAGGAAAGGCTGCAGATACACTGGGTAAGGCTATGATAGGTGCGGGAGCTTTAGCTACGCCTTTCGCTGTGATCGACCCCTTCGTTACACCTATCGTGGCAGGTAGTGTTATTGCAGCGGGTACCGCACTCCGGACGGTTGTCTACGCCTGCAAGAAGTGCGGTAAAAAGTTTAGGGACTCGGCGGAGACCGTGCCAAGAAGGATAGAGCTTTGTAGCGGTTGTTATTGACAGTTTTGAATTTCCTGTCCGGCTTTGTCATATATTTCGGTTTCTCATTATGTGGGCTGGGACAGTTTACCTCTAGGAGCGAATCTTAGGTCTGATGCGCTTCCTTGACTCACTTCGTTGTCGCTCATCTACTTTAATATCTCGAATACCGGTGATCATAAGCCAATGGAAGCTCCTGCTGCATGTGGGTACCGCAAATTTTCTCATTAGCTGCTTCCTCACCGCCCACTCCTTAACATCACCACCGTTTCTCTCAAAAGATTTAAAAAATCCTTTTGCTCTTTAGTTTATATACAAAATAATTTAAATATTTCCTATCAACCAATCAGAATCAAATGGTGAGATGGCCGAGTTGGTTATGGCGCCAGGGATGTCTCAGTCACGTGATGTTCTGAATCCACAAGCTAATACCTCCCAGGTTAAGGTCGCACCTTAGCAGATTTCCTGGTCACGTAAGTGGCGTGGGTTCGAGTGAGTTCGCTGTCACTGATTTCATACAGTCGTTCTAATTCAGTTCAGGTCCCACTCTCATCAGATTTTTTTTTTTTTTTTGGCTATTGGATATGACTGCCTCGTGCAGGGTATTTTGTTTGTCCGAATTGATCATTCCAGAGAGCTCTAAAGCAGGATCACATCAATACTGAAGGAATTCGCACAACTTCGGCACTGCTAGCCTGATTGAGAAGCGGTGCGGCAGAATCTTTCTAATTGGTTGCGCGGCTGAGAGTCCTTGAGCACGACAAACTTACGCAGCTTTCTTTCTAGCAATAGCATAACAACACAAAAGACGCTCTTGGTTGAGCGGAAATATCTATTGTTCTGTCGTCCTCTGCATCTCCTCGATGTCTCCTTAAAGCTTAATCTCTTGTTGTTGCTTTGATATTGTAAGTTTTTCTAACTTACGCTACTAGTACCTGGGTTCTGCGAATTCCTACGGCGTTCCGACCAGATTCCAGGACGCATCACTCTAAATCGGCAAGGCAATCGGACTTAGTACGCAATTCGCTTGGGTGATTGCAGTGGGAACCACTACAAGCGCGGCAGTCTCGTTGGTTCTCTCACCATCACTGCATCATGGTATCACAGTCTTGGCTTGAAACCCCCCACTCTCCTTTCACAACTCCATCATCCCCACGCCGCTGAGCCACCAATATCTTTTTTCGAATCGAGCTCTTCTGCGCTTCTATAATGCCTTCACTCCTCAACCAAATGGGCATCTTTGCGGGGTTGGACAACATTGAGAGAACGAATAAAGGTGTGACCGCTATGGTGAAGGGTCTCGCCGTGTCGAAGGTGAAGGAAGCCAATATCGAAGCAAAGGTTGCCGACCCCAAAGCAAAACTCCGCCCTGTTCTGCATCCCGCGGTGCATGTCGCAAGACAGAAAATTAAGACACTCAAGGCCTTAAGCCAGTTTAGCTCCACAATCAGCCTCGAGGCTCGAACCTTCTTCTACGCTAATACTTGGTTCAGGGTCGTGCGACGTCACGACAGCTACATACCCTTGTCGGCGAAGTTCCTCTTAGCTATTCGACAGGAAGGCCGTGCATCTCTCACAAAGCTAGAGCTACGTGGCGACGACTTCCGGAGTAAACCACGAACGGTCAAGCAATTCCTTAGCATCCTTACAAAGTGTACCAACTTACGCCAGCTAAAGATGGACATGGACTACGAACAGGTTTTCATCAATCCCCTACCATCTATCCGCGCCCTCCTGAGTGGGACTCAGCCTTTCGGCCCCGGCGACTCCAAGGAATTTCTCGCCGTATTCGCGAGCATGTCAAACCTTGAGTGTCTGTGCTTGCGGGTCGTCCTCGGTAAGAGAGAATGGCCTCTAATGGGCTACTTGATACGCACCGTAACATACCGAGGAAATAACCTTCTGGCAGAAAAGATGAAGTGGGAATTCGAGAGCGCTCTTCCGGATGTCTTCCATAAGCGGAACAAAAAAATTGTGATCGTTGCGATGCCTTTTCTTACGAAGTAAGACGGGAGTCCAGCATTCAAGCAGTCAGATTTTCCTAATCCTAAAGGGGTTATGAAAACCCTCCCGCTTTCTTGCTTGAACCTGGATACCCCATAATTATATGCCCTCTTGGCTCTTCCCCTGGATCCAGTTTATGAGAGCCCAAGGATTTTTCTCATATTTGTAATATAATAAATACCTTCTGTGAAGCTATGTGAAGCACCAGAGGCATGAGGAACTGGATTGAATTCATTGCTAGAGGAGTCCTTTGTAGGAGTCTATATACATGCGAAATAAGTGGGTGAGTCTTGGCAACAGGCCATGGTGAGACTATGGTGACGACGCATCCGATCATGGCGACGACGCATCCGATCATGGTGACGACCCATCCGACCATGATGACGACCCATCCGACTATCGTGTGATTACTGCAAACACCTTCCCATTCACTTCTGTTGTCTAATCCGAAAACTGCGCAATCTTCCCATTCCCATGACCTACAAAATGTTATGCCATGCTGTGGAACATAACTAGAGTGGAGTTTATCTGTTAGTCATCTTGTTAAATTAAAGTATTCGGTTAGTAGGAAGAAGGTATGAATTTTTGAATTCCCTTGATATGTTCTAAGTTAGGTCATTGCGAAGATGCTGTACAACCGCATCACCCTTGGAAATTCCTTAAAAGCGGCTATCTACAGCATGTTACTACATAACTTGGATCGTGACCAGGGTAGAGTCTAGCTATTGAATCTCTTGCTGGCACTGGGGAGAAGGCTAACAGAGTGCAAATTCCTCTCCTGGGTTACCCCCATCATGTTTACGAGCGCTGTTCTGGGCCATCGTATCCACCTAATCCAGATCTTTTGAAAGCGCGCAGCTTCCCCACATTCGGCTTCAGCTGTCGGAAATTCTATTGCTAGCCCCACCAGGGTGATGTCGGGAACGGGGCTTACGCCAAGGCGCCTTGAAGACCTCTTTCGGTAAACGCTGACACGACATCAACTTTATCGGAAGCTTATAGATTGAAGACTGTAAAGTCCTTACGTCTTGTGGCCACAGCTTCGTCTTTGATTCTCACTTCACAACGGCACAATGGAAGGTGTGGTAACATCAGGATTGTTCTCTCAGCTCGTGAAGCTCTGCTTCTATCTATTGGCACTTCGGGTATGTATCGGCTATTTCTTCTAATGATTTGTCTTCTTTTCGTGGAATAGCTATCGTAGGCCTACTTCGTTACATAACACGCTAACTCTCCGGAGCAGGGTCTAGTTGTATATACATACCGATGGCTTATAAGCCCTCTCTCGCACATCCCCGGGCCTTTCCCGGCAAAGTTCAGTGATTGGTATGGCGCATACTACAGCGCCCTGGGTAGCCTCCATCTGCGGACTCTCGAAGCCCATGAGCGCTATGGTCTGAATCCTCCGACCTCGAGAATAAGATTGCATGGCTTACATATTCGTAGGCTCTGTTGTTCGAATCGGACCCAATAAAATCTCTTTCAACACTATTAGCGCGTTGCACAGTAAGTCTAATTTCGAAAGCGGAGCCTGTTTTCAATTTAACATTTAACAGCAATATACTCTGCTAGAACTCTGCAGAAAACCGAAGGCTATGTGGCCATGCTTCCATCCCCACGGGTGTATAACGTTCACAACGTAATTGACAAAGACGTCCACCGATTCAAACGGAAGATTATAAACCAAGGACTCTCCGAGCAAAGGATGCGTGACTTCGAACCTGCCATGAATAATCAAATAGACATATTCATCCAGAACATCAGGAGAGCCTGCAAGGAGTCGGAAGATGAGTGGTCGGAACCCATAAACATGACTACTCCCTGCAAATACCTGGGTTACGATATCATGGGACAGTTTGGATTCGGGCAATCATTCCAGCTGCAGATCAAGCCAGATAACCGCTTCTTAGTCGAGTCGATCAATCTTTCTGCAATTCTCCTAGGTGTTTATTTTCAGTTCGCCGATTTGGTGAAAGCGCGGCTACATGTCGTCTTTGCATCCCGCGCCTTGAAACTCCGGAAGGAATTGCAAGCGTTGATGGAAAGGATCGTCTCTGAGCGAGTCACGGCTGAGAAACATTCACAGCATGACCTTTTCTCCTTTGTCATCGATGCCAAAGATCCGGAGTCAGGCCGAGGATTTTCATTCACAGAGCTTTGGGCTGAGGGAAGGCTGCTTTTGATTGCCGGCTCTGATACATCATCCACTACCATTACGTCCTTATTTTTCTATTTATCGAGGTATCCAGAGTGCTACAAGAAGCTGGCATCTGAGATTCGTGGTTCATTCGACCATGCGAGCGACATCCACTCTAGTATGCAAATGGTGGAGTGTATTTACCTTCGAGCATGCATAGACGAAACGCTACGTATGTCCCCACCTGTGGGTGGTACCATGTGGCGAAAAGCTTGCCCAGGAAGCGGGGGAATAGTCATTGATGGCCAATGTATCCCCGAAGGCGTCGAATTAGGTTGCTCGGCGTACGCACTCCACCACAACGAGGAATATTTCCCGGATTCCTTTACATTCAAGCCAGAGCGATGGATCGTATCTACAGATACTTCGAAAGAAAGCGTAGATCTAGCAAGGCGAGCTTTTGCACCTTTCTCATTAGGAACGAGAGGCTGTGCAGGAAGAACGATGGCGTATATGGAGACGAGCAATGTGATCGCGAAGACGATATGGTACTTCGATTTCACTGTGGCAGGCGGTCATTTTGGTACGATTGGCGAGGGGAGTTCCGACGGGCCAGAGGGGAGGAAGCGAATGAAGGAGTTCCAGCTTGAGGATCATTTTACGAGTACTCATGAGGGACCGTATCTGCAATTCAAGCTCCGCAAGGAAGTCGCGGATCAGCTACCAAGATAATAACTTGGTCAACATCTAAGGTTGGGAAATGTAAGGCATTTCGTGCTTGCATTCTATGTTGGACTAAGCAGAAATACAGATGATTCTGGACAGCTACGCGCTCGATCCCACTAAAATTCCTGAGAACTTGTTAGTAAAGCTGATGAAAAGAGACAATCAGCATACCTAAACCAGAAAATACCGTCCAAACTGTTGTGATTACGCCCCATTTTGGCGGGCAATATCTGCAGACGAACTTGAGCTTCAGCTCATTCAGATCGGGGGAAGAACTTACGTGTCTCCTGCAACCTGTATGAATCCAGCCCACCAGATCCACTGACAGATCCACCCAAGTAGCAGCGCGAAGAACGTAATAAAGCTAATTTGGGGAAGGCGTTTCAATTCCAGCTTCTCCTGGCGGTCGATTTGAGATCTCCATCCCGCTTCTACTTTGATCCACTCCCTTTCTTGGTTGGTTATCTCTTGGTGCAAAATCCTGAGTATGTTTCTTTTCACGCCTAGATCGTCCGCGACGATCTTACTCCGTCTCCACCGTGAAGCTATTCCTCCACTTGTATTCTCCTGTCCACAGTCTCCAACTAGATGAGAGATATCTTGCACAATTGCAGCGTAGTCTGAAGGTCTGTCTTCCTGAAGCTGCTGAATCCGCCACGCTTCGTCATTGCCGAGTGATCTTATCAAAGGCGCCCTCCCCATCGCTTCTTTCTGATACCGAGGAAAATCTCGAGGAAGTTGCTGCATAAGTGATGATGATTGGGCGTGTGCCTGAGCTTGCTCTATCAAGAATTCGATTTCGCAGTCCAAAAATGCCAGCTGTTTCGTCCACTCTCCCAACTCCCGAGACGCATTTTCCCACCGTCTCTCTATTTGATTGAGCTGTAGGCAAATAGAGCTAGCGCAAATTTTAACCGCAGCAGCATTCTCTTGTGCTTTCCGTTCGCGAGCTGTAGGTATAGAATTAGCACTCTCAGTTAAGGTTGATTCTGCATTCTCCGCAACCACCGCTCGGATATACATTTCGCTCGATTCATGTTGCCGTCGTCGCATTCTGTCATTTTGTCTACTCGCCGCGCGCAGGGCCAAAGAGTGCCTATTCAAGTAGCCATGTAGCTGCTCCCATTCTTTGGCAAGGGAAGACCACTGGTTGGCGATGGTCTGAACCGACGTGCAGTGTAGTTGTGGAAAGTTCGTGCTCAAATCGGTGTCCGTCATTTTGAGTTTCACAGCTGATACCGCCTTTGTGCAAGACTTCTTTCCTGACCGAGCCTTTCGTTTGGGGCGAAGTTGACTGATGGTGGAAATTCGATCGTTAATACCAGCAACAGACCAAAGGAGAGGTAGAAAGCCCACCACAGCGAAAATAAGCCAGACTAAAGGACCTCGATACATGAGTAAAGCGGCGTCCCGAAAGGGGAATCCCTGAAAAGCCTTCGTGTTTGTGTAAACCTTGTGTGTTTTGCGTCCATAGTCAACAACACGTCCCATGGTATAAGCTCCCAGGACTTGTAGTCCGAATTCGGTTGCGAGTGTAGAGGCAACGCAGCTAAAGTACATCTGCTTTTCTGCTTGAAATGGAAGAGCGAGAATTATGGACCAGGCAAACCGGGGCCGCGAACACCACAATAGGAACAGTTCCCTGGTATTCGTGTCAGAGTACCCTGGAACTCTGCGAACAAGAACAGCGTTGATCAAGTTACTAGCAATGTTGAGGATGATCATTATGGGTGCAGTGAAAAGAAACCCACGCGAATGAGGGTTGCCGAAGAAACTGCAGGTAATTTTCTTGAGCACTGTACGTCGCCCAAAAAGGGGAACTAGTAGTGCAACTATGACGTTGTTGATTGCGAAAGCCCCCAACTTCTTGGATGCGGACGGGCATTGATAGCCTGGCTTCGGAACGGTATAGTAACTTCCACTGCATAGATCGGTTTTCTGAGTGCCCGGTCGCAGCTCCCATCTGAATGGTGTGACATTGAAGTATTGGATGCCAAGTTGCTCTTTCCATTCAGTAGACAAGATGTCACTTCCACCGTAGTGCTCACAGGTTGCCTGTACCCAGTCCCCCAGCGCCGATCTCTCCCATGGGCCAATGCTGTTGTCTCGAAGGACAAGCTGCCGTGGGTCAAAGAGATTCTGATTCATGCCTGGAGGCCGGCATAAGCATTCCATGTCGATTCCAAAAGAAGTATAGCATCCGAACGCACTGCCCGGGCAGCCTGGTATCCAATTTCGTGTGCAATTAGTCACTGCTGAGTTGAGAAATGACATCCATGGACTTGCATCCAGGCAAGTTGGCCAGAAGAAGCTTTGAACCGTTGAATCGTTCTTATCGTCCTTAATCTTGGTAATAGCCAGGCTGTTCTTCCAGTCCACTGGCATGCCAAACCCACAATATCTAGTGCATGTCCGATTGACCCATTGAAGAAGGTCGTTATTTTCCTCGAGTTCTGAACAGCTGCTCTCACAAGAATTGTGGATGTCTGTAAAGGAAGCGGTGCAAAATTTCGATCGATCTAGGACCAGGTCGGTATCACCCAAAGACAGGTTGGCTTTAATTTCGGAGGACAATTTTTTCGTATCCAGCACGGAATCAAACCAGCGAGTGGAAAAGGCTTTGCATGCTTCTTCTGCCTTCTCTTCCATGCAAATAGGAGGCTCTGCGCCATCCATCCAGTTGTTCTGGGAGCTGTTGGACCTGGAGTGTCCAACGAGAGGGTATAGCTCAGCGGCCGTGTTTTTGCAACCTACTAAGGATCTTCGGGGAATCTCAGTATGGTTGTTTTGCGGTTGAGCTTGGCGGAGGTCTCTGGCGGTTGCAGAAAAGGACAGTAAGAATACTACCGCAACGATGGTAGGACATCGCTTAGGGTCCATTACAATCCTGAGGATCTCAGTTGAACCGCATCAGATTGTCGTAATCGAAAGAGTGCTGAGTGGAACGCGAATAGACTTAAAGCATGGCAGCTTTGGTCTAGGTGCACGCCTAGAGAAACTGACCACTCTAGCTGAGGGCCAAGGTGTCAGTGATGATTAATTTAATATGGCATGCTAAAAAAAAAGAGTCGGTTTTGTAAAGATGTCGAATCTGAATCCCTGAAACTTTATTCTTTGAGGGCGCTGACCCTAAGGTTGAACTTAAGCCCTTCGTTAAGTTTCCGACGCTGCAGCCGGAGCAATCGGTTTGTGATGTTGCTGCAGCATACACAATCCTCAAAAAGCACCCAACCACGGTGACCCATTTTCGCTAGGCGAAACGCCACATCCAAGGCACGGCACCTCAATTAGGAACATATATCCTTCAGCGGATGTATCTTGCGAGGTAGAATTTCACACCATAAGGGCGTAATCCTCGCCCACGAATTTATCTAAGCTAGGGCTCTTTTAAGAGCGTTGGTAAGTCGCCCGCTTGCGCACAAACATTTTCGAAGTATCCTCAACCTCGGAGGACTTCGCAACGGTTCTGCTTAAAGATATCAGGATGACATCTACGCTAGTAGCAAATGGACCACTTGAGCTAAGAGACGTAACGGGTCCATATGTAGGTCTCCTTGAAAGCTTGAGGATGAGTCCGCTCACCCTTCGAAAGGCTTCGGCAGTCTCCAGCGGGATAGCCACATACATAACTCACCTCACAGCGCAACCCCAGCACACTTCTGTGCTAAACCTCTTAGCCACTGGAGTCGATCCTCGCGTCCTCTCGTCTATTGCTGGGGATCCATCTGCATTGATTGTGGCAACAACGACACCAGCGTGGTTCGACAAGCTTCCGCCGGCAGCTCAGAGCTATTTCAAGAGTGTTGGAGCAGCGGAGGCCAGCATTTCCGAGAGCATCGTCAGCTCCTTATCATCCATGTCGGAAGCTGCGGGGAAGGCAACTGGGGCTCCAACTTTCCGCCCTGTTGCCTCTGTGGGGAGGAAAGAACGTGAGGTTGGGATATCGTTTGGAAGTGGAAGCGTGCGTTATGGAGCTCTGTGCTTCGTCTCCCTCGTTTTCTTGTTGGTCTTGTAGCATACTTTCAACATAAGGCTGTGTTAAAATGTATGCTACTCATTCGAATACAAAACCCTGAAGATCTGATTACGTTCATGAGGAACGGCGCACCTCGGTCGCCCCATTTTGCACATTAGAATGATAGCTGGGGATAACGGAGCAGATAGCGAGTATTCGTTGGTTAGGAGTTTCGGAGGATACAAGACTGATCTTCTGCTCATGCATAGCTGGAACATGAGAGTCAATTACCGCAAATTTCGTTTGGCCTCATGCTTGGAGATATGCAGCGTCACGGGAAGGCTCAAAGTACCAATCGCAAGGTTCCGAAGAGTGCATCTCGATACATTCCTTGAGAGATATAATACAAATAGATTTGTCGGCTTCCAGGCCTATTGAAAGAAGTGAGAAGCCATTAAAATGGTAAGTCTTGTTGCTCATTTATGTATCATACTTTTGTTGGTCCTTGAGTGAGTCTTCCATCTATAATTTCGTCCCAGGTTTAAATCTAATCAGACCGTCTTGTATTGTGCTGGCAATGTGTATTCCTCTTTCGTAATCCCAAAGGCGACTCATATGCAGTCCCCTTCCGCCTCCTGCTCTTGTCACCCACGACTCTTGCACAAACCACTTCCGTCCGTCCTTATCTCCATCCGAGTGGCCTTCTAGATTGCATACGGAGAGTGAGTCTTCATCGAATAGTGTCGGGTCAGCGTTTGGATGGTTGATATGAGGCTCCGGCGGGAGAACGAGGTCTTTAATTCCCACGTGGAAAATCACGGTGTGTGAAAGGGAAGCCATTCGAGTGTATTCTTTGCCGAGAGACAGGTGATTAGGAATAATAAAGAGGGAATTTCGGTCTGAGGCATACAGATGTGCGCATGCGTGAAGATTTGCTTCTCTTGTTGGGGAAGCTGCTGACTTCGAGCTAGATTCTAGCGGGTACGGAGCGGTCGGTAACGGCAAAGAACCTCGAAGGGAATAGAATGTGAGTTGTCTCCGATCAATCGTTGTACGCGTATAGTTATACTTTCTCATATCTACTTTACGAAGATGCAGGCCTGGTATCGGATTGAAATGGTCCGGATGTTCTCTCAGAAATGTCTCACGAAACCATTCAGAGTCCTGACTTGGTGCAGCAGGATGCTCTATTGGTTCGCCTTCCTTGCCTTCAACCACGTCACGAAACCTCTCTTTTAAGTTAACTTTATCTTGGTACTCGAACGGTGACCCTTCCTCGCGTTTGAAGGAGCATGTGCATGTGAACATAGTGCCTTTTTCTGCAGCTTGAATGACTGTTACGGAACGCGTGCAGTAGTTGTAGCCATCCCTTACGTTGTGGACGGTGTAGACGAAATGCTCGTTTGGTCTGCCGCCTAGTATAAACCAGCCAGTGATGTTCTATAGTATCAATTAACCAGGTTCATAGATCGTTATGACCATGGCTAGGTGGAGCTTACATGAATCAAGAAACCCTCATCGACGGTCTGCGCTGCTGCCCATGCTGCTTGCGCGTAAACATGGCCGCCGTAAGTCCCGTTTTCTCCTCCCGTGGGCGAGTATGCCTTTACTATAGATCGGAATGTACAATCATCGATTCTTTCTAGCTGCAAGACCTTGTCAAAGGGAAGAACGCGACCATGCTCATCAAAGTAGGGCCGAGGTGTCATTATGTCATAGAAGGGATGTAGAAAGAAGAAGAAAGCAATTTCAGTTTTCTTCGAGGTGGATTTGACAGATGCATGATGGCCGAATAGCGAGCCGTGGGTGGGATGTTAAGCAGAACGGGAAATTACCTCGGTACTTGGCACGGGCGGGGTTTCTACATTCGACAAGATACTGACTCAGTCTTCAACCTCATTTATCCACTGGGTCATGAATAGTATGTGGATTTCCCTTCGGAATATTGACAGCAATTCCGTGCTGGTACAGCAGAAGTAACTCCAAGGGTGATGTTTATTTCGATTATTTTCTTGTTTTTAAACACCTCTCATTAGGCAGCGACTTGGCGTCGACTTTGGGCTTGACATGCCAACTACTGGGACATCTTTTCTTTCATTAAATCTCACCGTTAGCTCGCTGCACTGTATCGGTTGTGTTGGTTCAAACAATCTGTACTGCGATTCCTATATGCGTGTGTATAGTGCTCATGATGTTTCCCGTGCACGGTGTTGAGAAGTAGGGTTCGAATGGTTCCTACGAATACCTCCTTTAAGCACTGAAAGTGCGGCAGGCTCACCACAAACAAGGCTTCGCAGCAGAACCTAGTACTCCGAACAAGGGATCTTCTTTCAGGGCGGTCCATGAGCGCAAGGTCATGGATCTTTACGGAGCGGAAGATCTCAGACTAGATGCGCACATCACAGCACAATTATCGGGGAAGTCGATGCCCTTTTCCGCACTCGCCGATCAACACGTTTTCAAAGGAAACAATTAACGTGCACCCACGCATAACGGGACAACTGCTGTGACGGAACAAATCATAGGTAATTTTACTTTAAAGCGATAGAAACTTATCCCTACGTCCTAAATTTAACTATACTTAACTTATGTTAGACTCTAAGACTATTTCTTGAGTGCTATTATGCTGCTTACTAAAAAGTTACGCTTGCGTTAAAGTGCAACTGCATAATTTGCAAAGAGTCTCCTGTTAAGTGAAAACTAGCCTTCTGCGCTAGAATATTATAATCAAGCTTGCATTACTTTTGTAACCCTTAAGTGTCTCTTTTAAATCTAGAGAACTCTACAGCACTATTAAGAAGTAATAATTAGCTATAAGGCTGCAAGGCGCTCTTAATTTATGCAGGCACATTGCTCCGAGCTGTAAATAGAGAAAGGGAAGAAGCGCACGACTTATGATTGTACACTGATGACACGGTTTGCGGGTCGATATATGTGCTTCCCCTAATAACTCCCCGTGGAGGAGGGTGCAAGATGCGGCTTCACGGTAATTTATTCTCCAGTGAGGCCTTTGGAGAGGCTTATAGGTGTAATCAGGTTGTACGATCATTGGGAGAGTTTACGGTCGTTTCCTCTTGGTGAAAGGGAGAGGATTTGCGTAGAGGCAAAGAGGAAAAAGAGAAGCAGACGGAGACAGGGCTAGCAGAGTTGAAGAAATTGTACCGACGCTAGGGCAGTTCATTATCACTAAGAGGCAGAGAACCCTAGGAAGACAAAGGCACTGAAGACGTCGCTGGGGTGAGGCTGCCAAAGAAGACAAGGGTAACTCAACCCAACCTCAATCCGTTTCACCCTAATCAACGAAGATCTGGCGAGGCGAGTACTTGCCGTAAGCTGGATTGAACGAAAGCGAATTCCAACCCCATGGCATTCAGCCTTCGACAGTGCGTCCTGCCTGCCCTTATGCAAAATATTTGCATTAGCGCCTTGCAGGTCTGACCGAGGTGAACTATGTCTTTGGACGTGGAATTGAGAACAATCTTCTCTAATATGCCATATTAGGTGATAGCCAAGAGGCAGCGCCCTCGGTTCAGCCATCGGCATCAGCTTCCGGCATCAGAACGTAGACATTCTTATTTTCGCCCAGCTCCTTCCCTTAAAGCGCGATTTCCACGTGTGTAGGATTGCGAGCCTCGCCACGCTAGGTTGCCTCCACTATTAGAGGGCCATCCAGCGACATCGAACTATCCAAATCGAGGAGGGCCATGGTTAGCGTTTGAGATCCAAGATCCATAGTAGAAGAAATGAAATGGTGGATGAAATACGAGTTCCTAAATTCGGAGACCCATTCTCCTGCTCTTTCGTTGACAAGGCCAGTCGTATGGGGCAATATTGGACGAATAGATGAGGCTTCAGGAGCCCTTTGCACTCACAATACGCAAGAAAATTGAGGTCTAAGGTTACATTGTACATTTTTTGTTGCATGACTACTTGCCTCAAGAGAACTTAGAGGCTCAAAAAAGGACAAGGACTAGACGAAAATCTGAGTCGGGAAGGGAAAAAAAAATGAACGCGCTATTCTACATTGTAAGGTACAGAAGGGGAGAGAACTTGCTTCTACCAGTCCCAAAATCCACGCCTAAGTACGCCGGATCTGAATTCATTGCTCTCAGGAGGCGTGGATATCCATATATAGTATCCATAATCCATCGTGTTCGTCGTCAGTTATCATGTTAGAGTCATCGATAGATTCAAGCCTTAGTTGCCCCATCCTGGCGCTCTACGATATTTGCCCCCACTTCCCCCCAGCACCAGAGGCATAGAACGCGGGGTTCTCCGTCTATATTTCCGCCACACGTGCATTTCTTTAGGTATACGGACGCATAATCAGCGGAATGGTATACTTTGAGACCATGCGGAAACGTCTTGATAAATCGTTCCTCGCGCTGGTAGCACTTCAAACACAACCAACGATCGAGGAAACGAGATCGGAATGTGCAACAGCACGGCTTGGGGGGAACGTATTCATCTGGGAGGTGGTGCTCGAAGCATTCTTTGCACAATATTCGCTTTCGTCGTTCAGAAAGTTCCCAGAAAGCCTGAATAACGGCGGAGGGATGTGGTGAGTCTGAAGAATCGGTGCCTTTTAACTCTCCTTTTCCCAAATTCGTGTCGATGATGTCGTCGATTAGTTCAATGCCTGAGAAAGCCCCAGAGTCTAAGGGCGAATCCAAAAACCCCTCGTCATGATGTGGCAAACTGGTGGAGGACGTCCAAGACCCTGTTTCGCCAAGGTGTTCAGGGCTGAGGATCGACATCTCGTGCTCGCTGAGAAGAACATGGCCACTGTAATTTGGTAATTCATCCTCTTCATCTGCAGGTTGGTAGCAGTTCTGGTAGACGCAATGCGTTCGACACTATGCCAAGCTCAGCTAATCATTTTATAAATTTAGGCATAGTCTAGATATTACCTCCTGACAAGTTTTAACGCCACATGAGATGCATGGATGAGACGCGACGGGCCAATTCTTCTCGTCCGTACCACACCTAGTGTTCTCCAGACAGTCAAAGTCATGAAAGAACCTTGACTTTTGGTGAAAGGTTCGGCGAATTCGAACACCCGAGCCATCGCACGATGCCTTCTTCAAGAGGTTAAATGTGCTTTCGCGACTGCGTAACATTGCTTGGTGAGCGGCTCGTGACGTGGACGCCAATGATAAGAGATCCTTAGCAAACAAGTGAGCAGCTAAGCATTCGAGGGTACTGTATTGTGTTAGGAGATGAAGGAGCTGAGGAGTTTCGTTTGGTTGGTTGCCGGCTGTCTCGGAATTTGTGTTGATAGGACTTGCTGGGTACATGGCCAGTTTCCTTTCCGGGGATAACTCAGGTTGAGAGCCATCTGAGTCCCCGCAAAGGCTTCTCCTTCGCTTCATTGTGTCGATTTGATATCCACCACCCACTTTTTTTTAGTCCTCGAGCCCCTCTAGCGGGGTCAAGTCCAATGAGGCAGGAGGGAACAAAGGGCAGCCTAGACAATATGGAAGTCTGACCCTGACGGTTGTGTAGACGATTGTGTATATAGGTAAGGACTCTTTGCAAATGTCAACTAGAGTGATGCTGTTGCCGGAGACGATGGAATTGTAGTGATGGTGGACCTGAGTGATAACCAAGCCTAACCAACCCAGAAAGGAAACGCTCGAATGCAGATTAACCATTGGAGTCCTTCACTCAGGCTCAGTGTATTCGAGTGATGCTAGCGCGCTAATTTGCAAAACATGGTATCATGTTTTCGTGGGGTCTGGGGACAGTAAAGAAGATAGCGGTGAATAGATAGCACTGAGTGACGATCTTCTATTCCTACCCTCGAACGACCTGAGCCAAAATGAGGGATTTAAAGGTAGGAGATTGGATGCATCTCAGAGCTGTTCAAAATGGGCTACTTCAAAGAGCGACAAAATAGAAGGTTTTGTTTTACTTCTAGAAGTACATCTATCGTGTATGCTGACACTGCTGGAACTGAAAGCGATGGAATCCGAGTGATGGTAATGGGTGGGAGTATGCACACATGGAAAGAGATTTTTTACCACTCACCCGGCTGAGGATGTTACCAAGTGGCGCTCACGAATCTAAGCCGCCTGACTAAGAGCACTTTGTGCGAAGCTGAGATCTGGATCCATGTTGGGGAAACCCCAATGCGCCGTGAATCTTCGGGTAGACTCGGAGGAGACAGCCTCGTGATCCGAGGAAGATCGGTGAGACGGCAGCTCGAACGGCTGCGCAGCTGGGAATGCACTAGTGCGATTTTTTTATGCTCCTCAAAGACGATGTCTCGACGTTCGTGACGATTCGAGGGGCGGAGCGACGATGACTCTGTCTTTTTTTCGTCGGAGAGTTTCTCGGTGTGGTTCAGATTAACTCGCTTAGTCATGTCCGGCAAGGACCTCGGCTTCACACTCCACCCCTGCACTTCGGACGTGGTGCCATGCAATGTCATTCGATACTTCACCGACGACAGGACGAGTTGCTCCCACAGCGTGTAACTTCTTTCGAGATGGTAAAAGCCATCTGGCAGCTTCGAGAGAACATTGCGTGCGAGCTGCTCGATGTCCTCAGCCCTGTGGTCCGAAAACATTAGAGTTCAACTGGAGGATGGTAATACGGAACTCCGTGGTCTAGTCATCGTATTTATGGACTTTACTACAAAATAGGAGGCTTAATAGCAAGAGCTAAAAAGTTCGCGCCCCAAACTTGCGGGCCCCCAAACTGACTCACGTCCTTCCTTGCAACCACAACCCGCACTCAAATTATTGTCGCCACAAGTTTAACTACCTCAGTTCAGAGACCGCTCCAATCTTCACATCTCCCTACTCCTTCTCCGGTATATCATAACAGCAACCAATATCCTGGACATTGTAGAACGTGCAGTCGCGCTGGACGTAAAACCCACCCAACTTGTAGCAAGAATCCTTCGTATAGCAGCGGCCTGATGGTGTGGACCGGCCGCATGGCGCTGGATAAGGGTCCGCTGGGATGGCACCGCCTAACACGAATGGTAGGATAGCGGTGATGAGGAGGAGCTTCATAATTGTGGATGTGGCTGCGTGGAAGAACAGCAAAGCGCGCGCTGAAGAGACGACGTTCGATAGGATGCAGCAAGGGATTCTAATGTCCTTAGATTACCTGCGAGGGATGCGAGAGGGACCTGATCGCCTTGGTAATGGAAGTTGCTCAAGAAAGAGACGGTTGGTTTGAAGAGCTTTCGTGTGATGAGTATGAGGATATGAGTTTAGAATTAGGCAGAACTGAGAACGTTGGCCGTGATTTCAGGTGGATGCGATTGAGGTCTTGATCTTCTCAGCCATGAACTTCTAGTTTATATATCCAGGATTTCTCGTATCGAACTCTGCATCGATAGCATTCATTCTCTCCTCCTTCCACACTAAGTACCGTAGCCAATCTCTAAACATCGCTCAAATTCCCAACCGGCGGATCTATTCTACCTAAACGTCCAATCATTGAGCCTCCACGCGAATAATTCAGTATGTAGATGCTCGTATTCACAACAACAATTTTCTGCCGTTGATACAAGCTTTGGTTAATAGCCACTGTCGGCTTCGCAAATCGCATCTCCACATTAAATGCAATATATACAGATAGCTATGACATCATTAAGTGCAGGAATGCAATATCGGGTTCCTGGAATGACGATGGAGATCAGGCGGCTTGTCGATAAACCTGTTCGTCGTCTTTCTTCCATATTAGACGACCTCGTATTACCTAGTCACGTGAGATGTTCTGGAACGACACCCTGAATGGCAAGCATTTGCTTGAGTTGCGTGGTGTGAGATTTGAGTTGTACATGGCTTTGAGTTTTTGAAGGATATCGATAGTACTAGGTTAATATTTGCAGCTAGTTTCTTTGGGTTTTTGAAAGTCCCGCTTCAATTATGTGTGATTTGTCAGAAAACCACAACAGTAGAGGGAGAAGGGCTTCAGGCTTCAACCACATTAGGATGGGGGTACAGAGCAGGTAAAATCAAGACTTTTGGAATGATATACTATGTTCAGATGAAAATTGGAGAGGAAAAACATAAAAGAATAGAAAGTTCGATAAAAGCTTTACGAACTAGGTAATAGCGCGAGGAAAGCTACTAAATAGAAAGAAAACATTAAACGTAACGCAAAGAAAAATGATTAGGAAAGAACACCGAGAAATATTTATCCATGTACTTTTCGTCCTTCTCATTGTCAATGGATAGCATCGATGACACAACCATCGGTCGAGATAGTGTTTCTTAAATGTGCAGTGACAATAGAACTTTCCTGGTTCTTTCCCATTCCTAGTGGTGATGGCGGCTTCTTTCATTCCCGGTCCATTGTTGTGAAAGCACTCTACGCACATGTAGCGCTGACGAAGATTGGCTTCCAGTAGCCATGCGCGTAGATAGACTCGTCTGAGGGAATCTATTCCCAAATCGGTCGATATTATGTCCTCCGTGTCCGGTTGATCACCACTGACTTCGAAATCGCGAATGTCGTCCACTGCCTTGCACACAGCTCCTTTATCATGCAGATCAGGTGCAGAACCATATATATAAGTCGGCCGCGGATCTATGGATACCGTATCGTCGAGATCAAGGAATACATTTACAGCACAATATGCGTGCAGCCGAGATGGGTGATCGTAAAAGTCGGCGCGGTAGAGGCAATAGATTCAGAAATTGTCGCATACCATACTCTTGCAAGATACACAAAGCTTTGAATCCATGCTCTCATTTGGATCCCCGCCACAAACAGCAGCGATAGAAGGATCATACACGAGATTACCGATGGAGACCTCGCAGTAGATATCCTGTTTCCGATAACGTACCCCGAAGCCGCAGCAGCGGTTCCGGTCAGTGAGATTCTGCCAGCGTTCATCTGTCTTACGAATCGATCTCCAAGCAGTCTTTGACGCCCAGGCTATGCGAAACAGATCAATCGAAGTTGAATGACGAGCGATCCGCTGGAGGATATCATATTGGGTGAGGCAGAATTCAAGCTTTGAGCTCATGGGCTTATGCGTTGCAGGGGCTACTTCTTCGTTCGCCTTTTCGCCGATTTTGAATCTGTGGACGCTGGACATGGCGTCAGGCTCCTCTCGTCGCCGCTTTTTTGCTGGTTCTGGTGAGCCACTAGATAGCCGCTTCCCCATCATTAATTACGACAAGCGAGTAATTCCATTGCGACATGTGTTTTAAAGAAGTCTTCCTGAGGAGGAGTGAAGACAGGTTAGGTGAGTGAGGGGTAGGAGAGCTGTAGAGTGAAGGGGGACAGAATCTTAGCTAGAGCGAGGTGGTGGGCTTATGTTCTTCTGTTAAGATACAGAGACACAGGAGGGAGTGAAAGGATATCGCCAGACATTGTCCGGGCTCAAGCGATTCTCAAGCTAACCATAACAGGATACACCTTACCTACAGCGTAAATCCTTTCTTTCGATGCTATTTGAGATTTCTTCTTACTACTTCCTTAATTTTAATACAAACCTGTATTCTGCACTGGTTGCCTGTGGCAACCTTTGCAATGAGGTCTCTAATTGAGCAGTCCGCCCAGGGCTTCGCCTACTAGTAGCACTAAGTATAGAGGCAGCCAGCTAGGCTATTAGGAATCGGACGGTATTCCCAGGCTTACTGACTTGTAAACCCAGTATACCTTCGACGAACTCATCATTAGTATCGACCTGTGGGTGACCCCTCCTTCTCCAACAGATGCCAATCTTTTTCCCTTCATGACAATCCTCGTCCAGAACATCTTCCATTCCAATCGAGATGAAACCCAATGTTACAAATTCTCTTAATTTCAATATCTTAACTCCCTATAAATCTCCCCTACTCGCCACGAGCAGAAAGGCATAGATTGTCGACGCCTTGAAAGTTGGCTCCCCACGCACAGTTGTCCGGAGTCCCCACAAGCAGGTACAGAGGGCTCTCAATGCAGATTTTCAGGTAGTTGTAGAACTCCCTCTCCGGGCACTCTTGAATGTGGTATAGCATACACAGCCATCCATCGAGGGATGTATTGAGCAATCCTTGCACATTAATGGCCGCCGCATGTAGGAAAGCGAATGTATGAACTGGGCCCCAGAGCATCACCGATTGATCTCTGGCCCTTAACCTATACAATCGCTCCTACGAGCAGTTCGTAATTTAAATCTACTCTCATTCAATACTGTCTACGATGGAATGGGCCCTCCATTCTAGGACCCCCAGCCTCAACACCTTTCCTAAGTTCGCGTTGATAATGTCTTGAACAGAAATCGGACCGATGTTGAAAGAACCCGGATCACACAGGGAATTTTGAGAAAATTATGCGGTCATCGGTCTTGGTTACCAACTATTGGGTCCCAGGTTCGTCTTGGTATAATTTAGAATGGAACTGAAAAGGGTGGGCATTGGTGAAAACATACCCTGTTCATATGAACACGCGACGGCCTCCCGAACGATGAACACGGTTACCGTACGCAGGTGACAGGGCTTGCAAATAAACTGCCCTTTCCGCAAGTTTAGGTTCGGTCTCGCCCTCATCACCACCCCACTCCGACTTGCTAGTCGAAAAGACGCCGTATCTGTTCGGCTCCGAATCTATTTCATCTTAAAGCCGTACCATTTGCCTTTTGGTGTACAAACTCTTCATCGCTTTTGGCTTCCAAATATTTCAACTCATGCCGCCTTTGAAGTCTTGGTGGGTGGAACAAATCGACCGAGGTTAGAGAGAGCGCGGTTCTTTGGAGGTGGTCATACTGGTAGTGCACTTCTCAAAAGCGGCGAGCGTTCGTACGGGCTCTAGACCCATTCTAATGATTTTCATACACCATGTCGTGGAGCACTCACTTGGTAGATAACAGGTTAAGGGGGGTGCGAAGTACTCTAACACATTCAGGGGATGGCGCCAATTTCACACCATTTCAGGACAAACCCTTGCATCCACTCGACTTCCACAGATTTCAGGAACAGTTTGAGAATATCAAAAATTCTCGCATAAATTTCCAGGAGTCGCGTTCAGAAGCAGTGCCTCTGGGTGAAGGGGAGGAGTAACGGTTCATATTAAACTTGACTATCCCTGTTCGAGGTGAGCATGTAATTTATACTATTAATTGAGGTCTCATTCAAAATCTCTAAATTAAGTACTAAAACTAGAGCTACTGTTTAAAGGGGGCTTCCTATGATATGCGCTGAGCAAAGGATGTGAAGCGTTCAGGCCTAGAGGACAGTACACGGCAGTGCAGTGTGTCTAGGCTTAATCCTTAAAGAAAATACACGGCGAGAAGTCACTTTCCTCGGGAAGTTACAGCAACTGGATATCGATATCGATATCGGAAACGTAGGTTTTGGCCCATGCGCCTAGTATACTTCCAAGGTTTCATCATCATAGTGTCTTCGACGCTGCCACTCCCCTCTCCATATATAAAGGCTTAATCCCTTCCTCTTCCCCGCCCGTTTCCGCCTCCGCTACTTTCCTTCTCGTCCCACTACCAACCAACCACTATGAAGTTCACCGTTCTCCTTCAGGTTCCCTCTCTGGCCACGCTTGCGACCTCGATGTCTATCGAGCCTCCGAAGATTACTACTAATCAACTTGTAGGATATGATTTTATGCCTTAGAAAGATGCATAGATCGCGAGCAAGTGAACTGTCCGTCATCTTTTCTTCCACACGGTCAGCATACTAATCTACTTCAGCGTCCGGGTTTCGAGGTCGAGTGTACGAGCCGAGTCTGCAAGCAGTGAGTGGTAAATTCGTAATGCTGTTATCCTGATTGTAGGGGTGCAATTGTGGTAAGTTCGAATGCCTCGGACCTGACAATCGCGACGAACCAATGGTCTTCTCAACTTCGAGGAATTGTTAGTTGAGTGGGAGACCGAAGACCCTCTTTGCGACACTGGGCTCCTTCTCGACAAATCTAGGCGGCTGGTATACATATCCTTCACTCTCGATTTCAAGGTCCGAAAGACGCCTCTAGGTGCTCAACAGAACGGACAGGATTAGTACTACTTACGCGAACACATATTCACCAAACTAGAGGGAGAATCGGTACATGGATCCCCCAGATACATCAGCTCATTATAAATCTCACTTTTTACTCGAAGTGAGCCATTACATCGTAATTTCTGTTTGGGTTAATAACTAAACCGCGATATCTGAATTGCTTTCCTGCCCAAAGCGATGTACTTGTGGTGCTTCTTAGGAAAATTACCACGGTGCTCCCGAAAATGGCTATTAATATAAGTAGATCACACTGAAAGAGACTTCTATCGAAGGCAAGGCCCATAAACTTAGGTGTGCATTACTAATCTCGATCGGTATCAGGAGTAGTAAGCATTACCTGACCAAAGAAAAAGAAGAAAATCGACAAGACAGCAACAATGCTGAACGTCACAGCAACCTAGTGTCATCCGTTAGATCAAAGCTTCCTAGTGTTTCTAGGACGGGTTATGTACTTTCGAATTCTCATTCCACCAATCTTCGTTATCCAACCGCGTCGTTGCACTCCAAACATGCAAAAACATGCCCACAATCATACAAAACGCTGCAGTCGTAAGGAACATTACCGGCATCTGCCAGGTCCATATATGAAGCGGGCTTGGTAATCGGCGCCGTGTGCGATTCGAGAATCTGCGGTTGCTATTTTCCTTTGCTAGGAGATTCCGGATGTTTTTCCAGCCGTCTCGGTGGGAGGATAGCCGGTGTAAACGAATTGTTTGATCTGCGGCCGTGAGAATAGAGAATAAGGATAGGACAATTCCACAGTAGAAAGATGCACGAATTCTCCATGGTGATTCCATGCCGTTTGGGAGGATGTTTGGCCAAGACCCTGTAGAAGTCAAAACTCCTGCGAGAAGCGCTGACTAGATATTTCGTCATTATTCGCATTCAAGGCCATCTCTCAATGCACAGGCGAAAATTTACCCCTTTTGGAAGGCTGTCCGCAGCAAGTCAATCACGTGGAGACGTGGAAACTTTCCAAGAATAGAACTCTAGTCATCGCCCCCAGAGCCCTTGGGCATGATAAAGAAGAACTTACCACTATGCCAACGAAGCTCAATTCACTCAGCCTATTATCTCTCCATATTTGAGTAAGCCTGTCCTGCTCCTCTTGGTCCTCTTCATTAAGCAAAATCTCAATTGGATCATGCACGGACGCGCCCGGCGCGTAAATGCCACCACCGAAGAAATGGAGGAATCGGAAAAAGGCCCATGCTCTTTTCCTCTTCGAACCAGGTAGCGGGCTATTATACGACGTCGATGAGCTGCGCTCGATGAGAGGTCGTTCAGCCTCGAAGTTGTACGTCATAATTCGGGAGGATTGCCGGAGAGCTTGGATCGAAGAGTGCGCGCATTAACTTAGAAGTTTTATGGAAAGGGGGGAACTTTATCTGAAGGAGCAATTCCCCGGAAGTTTGCAAAGTATCGTCCTACTATTTGTTTCCAGGGATGGGTTCCAGGTTTGTGCAAGATGTGCGAGCGTGACCTCTGACGAGTGTCCGCAGGCACCTGCTTGGCAGGCAGCTAGCTCAAGGAGCCTTAAGACAGAACCTTATTGGTGTCACCCGTGGACTGAAGCCAACAGTCAGCCACACAAGATGTCTTCGAAACAAAATTGCAGCCACCACCCAAGCGATGGTGGCCAGACAATGGCGCGGCCCTTGTTCGGAAGTGGCTAGGCTAAGCTGCATCGTGCATACGGCCTTTTGGAAAGGCTCCACAAAAACATGACGTACATATCGATTATCCACAGTCCCTTCGGAACTTAACCAATCTCTTTCAGCGACTTTTAAGATGCCTTGTGGAGTTTCTATTACCAAAATGCCCACAATCACGAAAGCGAAAACCCCGGGCCTTTACGTTGGTATTGATAAGCATCGGTGGTGGAAGGAGGCTGTTGTGTACCAGGTAAGGCTTGAGCTTGCCTAAAAAAAAGCAATTAGGGCTGAACTGGATACAGATATACCCGGCTTCGTTCTTAGACACCAATGGAGATGGGTGGGGAGACGTCCCAGGTATCACGAAGAAGCTTGATTATCTTAAGGACTTAGGTGTTGATGTCATATGGGTCTCTCCAAGTATGCAATTAGCTGCCTCCTCGAACCCACTCACTTCAGGCTGATGCTTCTGTAGTATATAAGAGCCCTCAAGCCGACATGGGCTATGACATTGCGGACTACGAAGACATTGATCCCATTTATGGAACCCTCGCGGATGTTGATAATCTCATCCAAGAGATCAAGAAGAGAGGGATGAAGCTGTTGATGGATCTTGTCGTCAACCATACATCTGATCAGGTATTGTTCTCTTCAATTTTATGTATCTCACCAGCGAGTCCACAACATTTCCCTCTCCTCATAGTAGCGTTTTCCTATCTACATTCAGAATACTCTCCCTTTCACGGCCCTGCTAAGACCAGCACTCATAGCACTCCTGGTTCCTATCCTCCCGCTCCTCCAAATCCTCCCCGAAACGTGACTGGTATATCTGGAAGCCCCCAAAATACGACTCCGCCGGCAACCGCATCCCACCCAACAACTGGGCCATGATCCTCGGCGAGGCCAACTCCGCCTGGACCTGGGACTCAACCACCCAAGAATACTACCTCTCGCTCTTCACTTCCGAGCAACCCGATCTCAACTGGGAGAACCCTTCCGTCCGCACTGCCGTCCACAACATCCTCCGCTTCTGGCTCGACCGCGGCGCCTCAGGCTTCCGTATGGACGTCATCAATCTGATATCCAAAGTACAATCATTCCCCGACGCTCCGGTCTCTGTCCCAACGCACACCTACCAACCCGGTGATAAATTCTACGCCAACGGCCCGCGGCTACACGAATACCTCCGAGAAATCAACCGCGAAGTGCTAGCTAAGTATGACACTCTCACTGTCGGAGAAATGCCGTTCGTCCGCGACGACGATGAAATCCTGCGTGTCGTAGGCGCGACCTCCAACTCCCTCAACATGATCTTCGCCTTCGATCTCGTGGACATCGACAATATCCCCGGGGATTTCAAATTCACGCTACATCCTTAGGATGCGCGAGATATTGGGAAAATTGTGAACAGGCTGCAGAGACTGATGATTGAACGTGATGGCTGGAATGCTGTTTTCTGTGAGAATCATGACCAGCCGAGGAGTGTGTCGAGGTATACAGATGATAGTGACGAGTGGCGAGAGTATGGCGCAAAGTTGCTTTGTTTGATGCAAACGACGTTGTCGGGGACGTTGTATGTGTACCAGGGTGAGGAGATTGGGATGAGGAATGTGCCAGCGGAGTGGATGCCGGAGGAGTACAAAGACATTGAATCTGTCAATTTTTGGAAGAAGTAAGGAGCCACATTCCTCCCCCCGTCACAAGTGAATTTTCAAGTGGGCTAACTTTGAGTAAGATGTAACGAAATGTACCCCGGCAACGAAGAAAAGCTAGCACTAGCCCGCAAAATCCTGCAGAAGAAAGCCCGCGATAATGCACGCACTCCCGTCCAATGGGATGCATCTCCCCATGCTGGCTTCACATTGCCGTCTTCCACTTCCTGGATGCGGGTCAACGACGACTATAAAACGATTAACGCTGCGGCCCAGCTCGGAAATCCCAGTCCTACACCCGGTACGCTATCTGTCCACGCGTTCTGGAAACGCGCATTAGTAAACCGCAAGAATAATAAAAACGTCTTTGTATATGGTGACTTTGAGTTGCTAGATCCAGATCATGCTCAGGTAGTAGCGTATAAGCGGTGGGGTGCAGATGAGGCATTTGTGACAGTGTTGAACTTTTCCAGGGAGAATGTGAGCTGGAAGGGGATAGGAAGGTTTAAAGTTAAGAAGTGGGTTGCTGGAAATTATGATGAGTCTGGGCTAGAGAAAAAGGAGATCAGTGAGAGCGTAACTTTGCGACCTTGGGAGGGACTACTAGGGTTGTTGGAGTAGGCGGGTAGGAGGGCTAGTAAGGTGATCGTGGAATACTTAGTAGTGCAAAATTGTGGCTTGAAGATTCTGAATGTATTACTAAAGGTAGATAGAAAGAGAGAGATGCTACAATGATTGTAGTTTACAAGAATTCATTCTACTATCTCCAGGATATTAGCAAGTAATTTTCCTTACACCCCTATTATTACACGCACCCCAAATTCCCCGGAGTACCCCCACTGTTAGCAACTACCTGCCGCCAGTGATCTTCTCCATTATGACAGCCGGGTCGGTGCGCCGACCAGTCTTGTCAAAAAACCGGTCCGCGACCCTCTGCCAAAGCCGGCGGGCATCATGATCCATGATCTGCCCAATCAATCTCAACTCCCGCTCTGAGAAATCCTCATCTGGGTGCAACATTATAAAGCACTCCACACCAGGCTGATTTCCTCCCCCTCCCCCTCCTCCACCACCTTCACCACCATTCCCATCACCACCATTCCCATCACCGCCTTCACCACCATTCCCACCGCCACCTACACCAGCTTCACTACCCCTTTTAACACCATCGCCATCGCCATCACCGCCTCCGAACCCGACACCGAAGCCACCCCAGACGTCTTCGTCCTTCTTCGCCTCCTTTCCTTTCTCGCCTCCCGCCTGCTCATTTGCCTCCTCTTCCTTCTTCCCACGACGCTTGTCTTTTTGGCCGCCCTTTTCACGGGCATTTGGCTTCCAATTTGCCGGCTTTATAGTCTTGAAGCGCTCGCGACACGCATGCTGGTCTTTTCCGAGCGCCTCAGTAATCTGGTTCCAAGTTGCATTCTCGCTCTTCAAGCGCATGAGCTCGGCGTCTTGCTCGGCGGTGAAGGCGTCGTCAGATTCGTTACCATTTTCGTTGCAATTGGGATTGGGATTGGGATTGGCATCCCCGTTGTCTTTAGCATCGCCATTGACATTAGGGCTAGCTTTAGCATTGGTAACGGAAGCGGCGACTTCACCGTCGGCAGGAGGAGCGGATGGACCGTGTTCATTTGCAACGATACCCCAGGGTTCATCGACGGCCGGCTCAGCTACGGCCATGGTTCCGGCGGCTACGGCTGGGGGAGATGTAGCAGCTACCTGGGTGGCTGGGGCGGCATGTACAGCGGGAGTAATTCCAGCGGCGGCAGCTTGGGCGACCGTGGAGGGAGTCTTCTTGGAGAGAGCGACAGACGGGACTTTGGCGAGATTTTTGACCGTTAGAGGGGTGGCTGGCTTAGTGTAGGCATTCTTGCGGCCGTCGGACGCGAGCCATTCGAGCACAGCGCCAGGCTGTTGGAGCTATTGGTGGGTTCAGCATCGTCACAAGTTCAGTAGTACGGTAAGGATCGGAGACAATGGTAGCACTGACGAGTTCCTTGTACGGAGACGGACGGACTGGACGCCTAGGAGATTTCTCAGGAGTCTTTGGTTTTGGCTTCTCGTACGGAGTGTCCTGCAAGCCGAGGATATACCTAGTCGTTGCCCGGTTGCTAAACTTCGGCGGGATGTTCTCAGCGTTCTTGGTCATAGTGGACAGTTCTCAATGTTACGGCTGGAAGTGACGTGATGAAGAAGTGGTTCTTAAAGGCAAAGACAGATGAATAGGTAGGATGATGCCGCAATGAGATTGGAGTTGAGTGAGGTGCAGCTGGGCAACTATGAGGCTGCGTAGTAATTCACATGACAGTGTACAGAAAGGTAGAGTGTCAAGGGTTTTTTTCTGCCGGAATGTTTACGTGACAAGAGACTGTCGGTGTGTTTACGACATGAAGAAGTTCTGTCGGTGTGTTTATACGACGAAGAGGTTGGATGGTATTGTCTTGGCGACATGAAAAGTCGGTGGCCCCTGTGGCAGCGACGAACGAAGGGAAGCGGCGGGTTTACGCGCCTTCACATTCTGGCGGCTATGTACAAGGTTAACTAGAATACTCTCCTGGGTGAGGAAAGAACCGTGGGAGCCCACATCTTAAACAGTTTCACAACAAATAGAGAGGACAATTAGCGTTCACACTCAAGTAAGATCTTTGCAACATGGAAAGAGAAGAAAGAAGAGTAAGACGGCAGCCGTATACATAACCCAAGTGCCAGACTAAGAGCATGAATGAAGCCCATGCATTTACGTTCACTGCTTGAAGTTCGAGCTGAATGGAATAACAAGGCAAGGACATGCTCTTAAACAGCGCATCGAATGGACGGTAGTTCCAAAGAAATTCCCACTTCGGGAATATGTGTCTCCAACACGTTACCCGGCAATGTCCAGAGGTCCTTTACCACGAATTTTACTGGTTCTCTCAAATCAGGAATGCACAGAAAAGCCATCGTCAAGACCCAGGGTTCGATAGTAGTCATGGGCAGTGGCGCGAAACAATTATGGGTAAACTCCTGGACACGGATGACAATATATCACGCAATAGCGGGACGCATGCCAAGTGCGATGATGATGTTGATGATCACAGACAACATGTGGTGAAAGCACGAAATGCGGGCGTATAGTTTTTCCGTGCCGAGCCGAAAGCTGGCAACAACCTCCTAAACCCTTGCAGACGTTAAGAAAAGAAAGCCATCCCTCACAACCAGTCCAGAAGAGCACCACGCCAATCGAAGAGATGCTGCTTCCATCTTTCAGCCTCCTTGCCACAGTGAGCACCCTGCTCTCACTGGGTGCCACCCACAACATCCAAATGAAGGCGTACATGCGCGAATGCTTCCACGAGCAGCTGCATAAGGACGACAAGATGACGGTCACGTTCCAGGTCGGTGACCGGGAATTTGGAGGCAGCGGAAACCTGGAGATTGACTTCTGGGTACGTCAATTGAGATCCTGGGTACCCGTGCCCGCGTCACGGCTAACACAGGTCCAGATTCAAGCTCCCTCTGGCTCCAACCAAATCCACGAACGTGGCGTATCCTCGGGCGACCACTCCTTCGTCGCACAAGAAGATGGGAAATATACATACTGCTTCAACAACGAGCATTGGGGTGCAAACACCAAGGAAGTCTCGTTCAATGTACACGGCATCGTATATGTTCCTGAATCAGAGGCACCCCAGGATCCGTTGGAGAAGGAGGGTAAGCGGATTAGCAAGATTTACCTCTGGGCATTGTGCTAACGGATTGCCAGTTCGTACTTTAACGGAGCTCATTTCTCAGGTCAAGGACGAGCAGGGCTATATCGTAGTTCGAGAAAGGACACACAGGAACACGGCTGAGAGCACTAACGCTCGTGTCAAGTGGTGGAGCATATTCCAGCTGTTTGTTTTGGGTGGCGAGGGAATTTTCCAGGTGTGGTGGTTGAAGAGGTTCTTTGAGGTGAGGTCCTCCATTTTCGAGAGTCCCAAGCGCGCCTCTGGCCCTTGTTCTTACTAACTGTTCCTCACAGGTCAAGCGAGTAGTGTAAAACACTTCTCTAATATTATATCTTATCATTGGGATCTGGATCTTCATTGGCTGTATCCACAGGTGCGCCATGTTAGACCCTTAAGTTGTAGCATTTTGGCTTCTCGGCGTTCATACGCATGCTGGGTAGGTATGCAGGAGGGAAAGAGCACCTGCATGGAGTAAAGGCGGTGGTTGCCACGATAATCAGGACAGTTTCAACGGAGCACAATCAAGTCTTCACTTCATAGCTTCATTTCACGTGTTGTGGTTGTTGTTGTTCTTCTTCATTTCCGCCGATTCATTATCGTTGAGTCATAATTGACCTCTCAGGACAGGTAGGCTGTGAGTAGGTAGCCAGCAGGCCAAGACCTCAATCACCACGACCCACCGCTACTTCCTAAAACGGAAACCGTGAGAGAGTTTCCGACACGCCACCGCTGCATCTGTTGCGCCGCGTCTGTTGCCGGGGACTTGTATATAAACACGGCGTCACTATGGTACAAGGGCAAAGCACGACTACCCTACGGCGCCCGCATCGGCATCTGCACATGCACCTGCACCTGCACGTTGCGATCAGGCATCGAGTCAGACCCACCCCACTTAACATTCGATCTTGCTTTCACATCGGCAGTGCTCTTTCCACTGAAGGGCGTTATGGAGCGTTCAAGTCAGCCCGTGACATCTCCCCAGATAGGCACGAACGACGACAGACGGCCGCAATTGGGAAGCGCACATCTGCCATTTTTGACCGCTTCTCCTCCGGCCAGTCACAGTATAATCGCTCCATACGCTAGGTACGCTCCAGTTACATCTCACCCTACCCCTCCAGACTACCCCGCGGTCCCATCGAATTACGCGGCTGTTCCTTCCTCCAATGCCGGTCAACCGCCAACTCCCAGCTCCACACCGAATCTGTCCGGAAGCACCGAGGGGGACTTCAACCCGCTCGTCGACTGGTGGGCCCAAGAGAACCAACAGCAGCAGCAGCAGCAGCAGCAGCCACTTCTTGTTCATGGTTATCCGGCATACTTTGGTTATACCAATCCACCCCCACAACAGCAATTTATTTCCCCTGTGAGCCCTCAAGGACCGAGCAATCATGCCTACCGGCAGCATCTGACTAGATTTGCTCCATATGCCCAGCCCCAGAAACCACCTCAAGGATATTACCAAGCTCCAAATCGATCCGCATGGACACAGCAGCCACAGCAATTGGCCACATATCAACTGAACAGTGGCTTCGCCGGAAGAGATTCATCTGGTTACCACTCTCAGCCGACCACTCAGGCAATGTCCACGAGAGCGCCAAATCAGCTCTATCAACTTTATCAATCGCCATTCGGTGACCGCGCACCTTTCACAGGCAGCTGTGGTCATATACCCGGCCCCATGATTCCGTACGCATCTACAACCACCCATGCCTGGCCGGATGCACCGTTTGTGAGTTCTACCTTCAGTATCAATGATAACTTCAAGCAACCTCCAGCCCAAGCCAAAAAGCGCGCCAGAGGGCCTGATGCGGAACCCAGAGCTAAGCCTAAACGCGCACGTCTTGGCAAAGTGCAGCAGCAGAAGCAACAGCAGGAGAGAGAGATGGCAGCAACAATATCCTTCCAACCCGCTATGACGCTCCCAACCCGCACCCCCTACACCTCACCATACCATCAACACCGCTCTCTTCCTCCACCTGCCCCCCGTCCGCCACCCGACTACGACAAGCTCCCTCAACCCATCGTCCTCGACTACGCCAACTACAAATGGACCATAAAACTCTACTGTCTAGCCGCCAAAACCAGCACTACGGTCGCGCATGCCTTCCTCTCAACCTTTCTCTCTCAGCCCCCATTCCCACAATCCCACAAATCCTTCTCGCACGCCACCTACGGGTTCATTCCTTCCGGCACACCATCTACATTCCTCGTCTTGCATAACGCTACCGACCCCTTTGACGACGGCGTTCTGGACTCCAGTTCCACAACCCTGGGCTTCTGTAGCGAGTCGCAATTCGCTCATTCTGAGATCAGCTGGACGACATACACCCCGGGTCTTGGGAACTTGGTCGCGAGTTTGCTAACGGATGGGTGGGTTGAGGAAGTAGCGGCATGGGCGTTTAACGATACTTCATCGTTCCAGAGGCGGTGGCATAAGGCTTATTGGCTTGCAGCAAACCGGATGGATTATAGCACTTTGTTGACGCGAGGGACGCCCGCGGGTAGTGAGGCTGGGGAGGGGAGTCCGGTGGAGGTTGATGGTCGTGGCGATGGTGATGACGTGGAGGGCGAGAGCAATGATGACAAAATGAGGCTTGAAGACGTGGTACTTAAGCTTCGTGGTCCAAAACGTGCTGTTGATATTGAGACACATGAGGCAGAGAGGATTTGGGAGGAGTGTTGTAAGGTTGAGAATGATGGGCCGCCGACGGAGTTACTCTTTATAGATATGGGGACGACAGAGAAGTGATCGATCGGGTACCTTCGTACGTGTCGATGCCCTTGCCTTCTCTTACCCTACCACACCTTGCCTACTTTGGCACTGCCTTTCCTCTCTTTTCTTTTAGGGTGTGGTTGGCGGGTGAATGGCGTCTTTAGTATAGTACATGGGTACAAATGCGATACATTAAGTTTTTCTTATATTGTAGGATACGATGTTATTTTACAGTAAGTGGGTAGCTTTTGGTTGCTCTCATATCCGTTGGCCTCATATCCGTTGGCCACATTAGTATCTTGCTGAGTTTATGTATGTCAAAATTAGGATCGGCCTCTCTTACAGCAAGTAGCGTAAATTCTAACAGACACATACATAGGCCTGTTGCAAAGGCACTAGGAAGCAGATAACAGCCTCTTCAAACCCTTCCTACCCCCCTCCACCCACTAAACCCATTACTCAACCTCCTCCTCCCCTAAATCCTCCACACTCAGCGTGCCCACACTTCCCTCCAACCCTGTACTCTCCTCTCTCAACAAACCCGCAGCTTTCTTCCCCTTCCCTTTCTTCTTCCCTTTCTTCGCACCACCCCCACTCTCACTCGCCAATGGCGCATCCCTCACCCACCGACTAATCGCCTCAGCCCGTTCTGTAGAAATGGGGTATTCACGCCCATCGTCCTGGGCCCAGCGTTTCGGCGGCGGGGCTGGGGCTGGGGCTGGGGACGGGGAGTGTGGGGATTTGGGCGTACCATTCCCACTAACGCTCACACCCCCACTCATGCCCCCATTCACGCCCGTACTCGCATTCGCGGCGGAAGAGATCAAGTCAAAGGGATTATGAGAGTTCCCATTCCTAGCCCTCAATTCTGCAACCTTCTCAGCCTCTTCATCCTCGCGAAACCTGCGTTCGCGCGCTCTGACAGCACGTTGAAACGACTCCTCATCAACGACGCGCTCATCTGCCAGAGCTTCGAGAATCGCTTCGTGTTTCTGGCGCTCGCGTTTTTGGGTTGGAGATTCTTGTCTACTACCACCGCCACCACCACCACCTGCGCCTCCACCTCCACTCCCATCGCCGGTTTTACTCAGCGCATCAGAGCCGGTTTTCACATGCCCAGGTAGCGGTGCGGGACGACACAGGTTTTCCCACGCGGTAGATAGGTTAATCCAATTCCCAGCGCGACGCAGGACTTCGATCCAATCTGCACGGGCGGGGGAACGAGCAGCCAGGAAGATAGGATAGCCATCGCAGACACGGGCGAGACGTGCAGCGTTGTGGGCGTGGCGAAGGAGTTCTTTTGCGGGGGTTTGGATGAGGGCGTGGCAGAGGAGAAGGGAGTGGAGGGCATCCGTGAGGAGCGGGTGGTAGGTGATGCTTTCGTGGGAGTCGGCGAAGGCGGTTGCGGCGGCCGAGGCGGCGGAAGCTGCGGGGGTTGGAGTTGGGTGTGGGTATGGCGGGAGGGAGGATGGCGGAGTTGCAGAGAAGAGCTGGGAGACTTGGAAGATTTCGGGAGGTGGGAGTTTGGGCCAGGATGTGCGATCGCTGTTGTGGGAGTGGGGACGGCGGTGGGGGACGAGGGCTTCGGAGATGGGGGAGGAGGATGGGCTTGAGGGGGAGTCGAGGAGGCGATTGGTCGGCGTTGGCTTGCTGTCCTTGGAGTAGCCGTTTGTTGCGTTTCCAATACGGCGGATGAACTCCTCGGCGATTTCAGGAGAGATGCCAGGGGTGTAGTCGAAGTGGGACAAGAAGGCAATGTAGTCACGAAGAGCACGCTTAGCATTCATTCTCACCTGCTTGCGGGCTTCGAAGCGCCGACGATGGCCTTCCTTTTCTTCGGCCGATATGGGTGTTGGTTCGGCCCCATCAGCGCTGCCAGCCTCTCTTTTAGCCTTTGCTTCCTCCTCCTCTTTCAACCCATCGAGAGCGGTGTGAACGTGCTGGCAGGCAATGGTAAAATAGACTCCAGCTCGATGGAAAAGAAGCTGTGTTTCCAAGGAGTTCGGCTGGTCTTCTTCAGGGATCTTGACTTCCTGTCTCCAATCCCGACCGGACGGCTCCTGCATGGACTTGGCCAGAACCAGCTGGTCCTTGCCCGCGCGGTGTTGTGCCAGCATGTACCGAGCAAGCACTAATCCTTCTGACAGGTCCTTTGCAGAGTTTACATAGTCTTCCTTGAATATCCGTGTCAAAGCCCGGGTTCTGAGGGGCGAGCCGTCGTTCGGGCGGTCCAAGATGATCTCATTGAGGGAGGTAAGTGGGGTACATTGGGCCATCATGCGCGACGGAATCTTCTCGTGGAAGAAGTGCACGTATTTGGCGTCCACATCCCCGGGACTCCTCTGCAAGACCAGCTGCGCAACATCTTCCAGCGTCGACGCCGACTGCATCGTAGCCACGCTCGCCGCAATCTCATCCAGATGGTAAGCCTGACTCAGCTTAGCCGTCGCCAGCTCCCGCATACGATGCTTGCGCTCCCTGCTCAGCTTTGCGTTCCCGCCGCTGCCTCCATAGCCAATTCCCAGGGAAGCGGCACTCCCCAGCATGCCATTTCCGGCATTGAGGGAGTTGCTGAGGGCAGCCGAGGTCAGGCCGCTGGTGGCGCGGACAGCGAGATTAGTGGCCTCGTCAACGGCCTTGCGGATCTTGACGAGGTCGTAGAAGACGGCGGGGTCGATGGGGTGGGGGCGGGGGGAGAGGTAGTTGCTGTGGGCGAGCGACTCGAGCACTTCGGGGGGGAGCTGCAACCACGGCCCGTGGAAGGAAGAGATGTAGCGCCAATGCCTGCAGGGATGGAGTTAGCAGAGAGAGCAATGCAGGTGAAAGAACTGCCAGAGAACAATCCGCGACGTGCCTGCATAGGGACCTACTTGTTGCGACAGATGATCAGGGCCGATGTCGAGGGCTCGTTCGCGGGCTTCTTAGTCGATGCGGAGCCATTAGCTGGCCGTGGTGGCGGCCCGTTGCCGTTGCTGTTGCCGTGGCCGAGGCCGTCAGCGGGCGCGTCAGTCTGCTGGCTCTTCTTCTTGCGAGCCATTCCAGAGCGCGAGAAAAAAAGAGAGAACAGCAATGGGCCAGTGTCGTTGAGCCGTGCAGCGGGTGCATACACAATAAATTTCGAGGGGCCAGCCTTGGCACTGCAGAGCTAGTGTCATCCATCTGCATCCATGTCGGAGAGACTTCCACCCAACACCGAGCTTATATCCTTTTCGCCGTTGTATTTTAGAAGGTCAATGGGCGGTAAGTTTGTAATTCCAATTCCTTTGCCAATATCGTTCAGCCTTCCCTCCCCGTCGTTGACATGCCCGTCCCAATCTTTCCAGGGCTCGACTCCGATTGCGCAGTATATGTCGCCGTCACGGGGGTGACACACCAGGAACCCGATGCAACGACGCGACGTCTTGACTCGGAGATTTAATCGAGTCGTTCTGTATCGCCTCCTGTTGTCCCTTCCCAACCGAAGCGCCACCTCTCAGTTACGGAGAGCCCCCTCGTAGTCATCATGTCCATGTCCGATTGCACATGGTCAATTCTGATGACCGTCACCATGAAATATTGTCTGTCGGGCGTGGATTTTACTTTGTATTCCTTTTGCTTTGCGTCCAAGTACACCAGCCCCATTCCGGAGGAAATCTCCATCGAGAAACACTGCCAAAAAAAGATCTCGATCTGCTCGGCTAAACTTGCCCCTGCCCTTCAACGTCCCCGCTTATCCTTCTGCCTCCATGTGACTTTCCAGCAAACCTCCAATAGATCATGTATTTCTTATATCTGGAACCCCGGTATGTTTTGGGTGATTGTTGTATTCCTCTCTTAGCTCTTTATTTGCTTCATTTTTTTCTTTGTTTCTTGTGTTCCTTCTCCATGTCAGTCCTGCTTCTCCCGTTACTTTCTCAATGGAACTATACCGGAGGACTTGGAGGAAAACGGCCCGTCCGTCAAGAAGATTGTGGATGTTGGCTTCGATCCTGATCCTTGAGAAGACTGTTGGAGGCGCGTTGGCCGGGGTAAGAGCGCCATTGGCCATTAGCCGTTACTGAAAGAAGCGGGTTAGGAGAAACATTTGAGGACTCTATTTGGCAGCATGGGTGATAGAAGCCGCTGCCGTAGTATCTCGATCCCCGCCCCCATTGGGCCCATCCATCAATTTCCTCCTCTGCAGCCGCAATGTAGAGTGCGGCTTCAGACCTGCAGCTCCGCCACCTCTTGGTCCACAGACCGTAACCCTCCTCGGCGGTCATCCGGAGGCCACAATATCGAATTCAATCTCAGATCAACGGTATCGAATTCAAGCCTGCAGGTAGGGCAGGCCATCCTCCGACTCCTGTTTGAAACACGACTTCTGACGTTGCCACCCATCCGTATCAGCCAGGTTCCTCTGACAGTACCTAGATTTGGCTCGCGCGTCAATCGGGGCAAGCGAAATCTGGAATTTTGTCAGCGGCTGCAGCTGCTTTACTTCTGCGGGCGCATCCTCTTCCTTTCTCCGTCCATGCCATCTCCCGTCTCCTCTTCGTCATCACCATCCTCGACAACACACTCATTAAGACCTCCCTCCTCAGCAGCAGCTTCTTCATATTCAACATCCTGTACTAACATCTCCCTCTCTAACCTGGACCTCCCATACCTAAAACCCCCATTCTTTACTCTTTTCTTATCCCGAAACAGAATAAAATGCCGCCATCCATACCCCTCATCCCTGTTCCTCAAATCTTCCCATCGCCGGTGACAAAGCACACAATGTGTCCTGCCGTTATAATAGCGCTCACAGCCACCGCAACCCCATTGGACGCCGTAAAAATCCCGTGCTAGATCTAGACTTGAGGGTTCAGAGACATCCTCCGCCATCTCTATGCCAGCATCTTCTAGACCAGAGGGTGGCGGGGAGGGAGATGGGGACCGGAAGGCAGATAAAGACAGAGATAGAGAGCTAGGGGGGGGTAGAGACCAGGAAGCAGCCGGAGAGGATAAGGAGGAGATATTAGGCGGCCGCAGATCCTCGGGTAGCCCTTGGATATCCGTATCGGTCGCGGTGCCATTTTTCACGGCCTCGATGATAGACTCGTAGATTTCGCCCATTTCGTCGTATTCGGCGTTTAGGAAGTCCATTTTGGCCCCTTTTAAAGGCCGAGGAGGTTTACAGAAGGTGGGTTTTTTTTACAGATTTAGAGATCTTAATAATGGGTATGGAGTCAGGGTAGGTGATCACAGTGAAGGTGCCAGATAATAAGGCTGGCAGGAGGGTGGTGGTCGGTTGGTGGTCAGTTTGAGGGTGGATTTGGGACGGCCCCCATGAACAATTTTGCTGATCTTAAAAGCTAGGTAGGCAATTCTTGCAAGCTGCCCCCATGACGAATGCTGTACGGAGTGGCTAGTTAGCAGAGGCCTGGTGTTGGGGTATATTTTGGTAGTACTTCATGTTATCTGATGTTGATGTCGATAGCGTGTGTCTGTTTATCTGTCTATGTCTATGTCTGAAGGAAGCGAAGATAAAACGGGCAGGATAAGGCATTTTCCCTCTCAAAACCTTGATGCCACCGTGGTGAGATCTCGTTCCACGGCTCGTATGTCATCCTTATCATGAATATTACTCCATGATTTTCCTTGGCGCTGACCTGGACAGCGTGTTTCAATATTTTCATGGCATTCTTATTTTTATTTTTATTTTAGGAACGGGGAACCTGGAGCTTGCGGGGTAAGCGAGGGTTGGTTCCATGGTCGAAGTGTGGCGTTTGGTGTTGTTTTTCAGTTGAGGTACAGGTCATTGAGAAAATTTCTCAATACAGGTAGGACATATGCATACATCATTTCCCTACATTTCAAATAGCTCACTATCTATGCAAAGGGAAGCTGGAATACTAAACTGACTTCAATTTTCTAGTCGTAAATCCCATGGGTATACCATATCCAAAAAATGCAAATCTAACACTGAAACCATATCAAACCAAACTGCCTCAACGCCATTGCGGCCATATCATTGCTATTTCCATAAACACCCTTCCAAAAAGACTAAAAGAATAATTTTGCATCCTTTGTACAACTCAATATCCAGAAATTGTACCCAGGGAGTGAAGAGAGACGGATCTTGGAAATAAAGATGCGCAGTCAACAGCCTAGGCATTCTGCGGAATCGTGAATTTTCTAAAGCCTTCCCTCTTCTTTTGCCAGAGCTCGGGTACAACCATCCCAACAGTCCTCAAAGCCGATAATCAGGACCGCAATAGGAGCCAAACCCATCCTCTCTATTCGGTATCATCCACATTATCATTTTCACCCAAATTTACCAATTCTTGCAGCGCTTTCGTCCACATCTCAGACCCCAATCGACCCGGCCTAGCATCCGCATGGAAAATTTACCCTTCTCACTCATGACTTCGTCGGAGCCTTGCTCCCCTAGGGGATCAGTTACTAGTTTAATACGGATTTTCTATAAAACGGAAAAAGCGAGGTCCAGACTGGCCGCGTACAGCTTCTGCCAATGGATCCTGCGAGGAATCCAAGTTGGTGGCCTGAATGGCTGGATTGGGAGACTGGGTGATGTGAAGATCAATTGGGCGCTGAAGAGAAGATGGAGGCAAGCCGGGAGCAGCTGCCTAGTCTATGGCCAGTTTGCAATAGTCTTCCTTTGCCTATCTGTCCACTCCCACTTTTGTTCTTTCATCACAACTAAAAGGTTCCTTCTCCATCTTCTATCTCAAGACCATTTATCCCAGGTCTCCGTCACACTCACAAAAATACACTAAAAAATGCGAAACCTAAGATCGATTTTCAGCGGGCTAGAAACGATGAATTAGACTTATTCAAGGAGAGAAAAAAACGTACTTGAGAATTATGGGGAAACGTCTTAATCCGGAATCAAAACAACGTCTCAGTAGGGAGTAGGTATAATAGACTCGTAGTCCACCCTGCCGTTATTGATCATTAAAGAATTGTTAGAAGTTATATGCTATATGTGAGGGATGTTAAAGGAGTTAGAGATGAAAATGCAAAGAGCAGGAGAGGTGTGGTGTGTGCCTCAGATACTTGATCTTCACTCTGATGCTGGTGTGGGTAAAAATCTGAGGTAGTCGGCTGTCACTTGAGCGCAATCAGTCACCGTTTCAGGCCCGATCGTTTCCCGTTCACTGACCGGTTACTACCACGATCACTTTCCAATGGTGGTGGCCACCTCCTCGTTGAGGACAAATTAGCGACCTGTGGCGAACTTCGTCGTCAGGTCAACTAAGGGCTGCTAAGCAAGTAGAGCTGCCATGAAAACATTGACCATTTGTCGTCCGGTCACCTCAGGATAGATATCTGCCACAAGAGTGTCAGAAACGAGAATGCATCTTCCGTGGCAGAATACACCCTCACACTGAGACCTTCTGCATCTACAGACAAGTTTCGTACGCATCCACATTCAACATCTATCTCTCCAGAAAACTCTATTATACACGCACACACATACAACGTCTACCTCTCCAGCACATCCTCTCGCACCAAGCACTTCTGCACTTTCAAGACCATTCTCTACGTCCAACACTCCCTCAAATCAAGCCCTTCTGGGCCTCCAGATTGTTCTCTACACGTCCACACAAATCACACCATCTTCAATTCTTTCAGGGCTCCTCAACATCGGTCAATTCCCCAACTATATCCATAGCTTCCCATACACGACCTCTCATCATCGTTCGTAATGTCTCATCGTAGCTCCCAAGTTTGCACCCGCTGGGATGACGACGAAGATGACGACTTCTCCATAGGCGAATACCTGAAAGAGCACGGAGAGGTGACGCCCCCATCGATTGAAGAGCTTGGTCCACTTGCAGCGACCCAAACAGAATGACCCTACAGTCGATACCACTTATATGGCTACCGAGATCATCACGCTCGGCTCCCATGAAGATTCGACCAGCGAAGACAAATACGAAGAGTCAATCTCAATTTCAACCCCTCTGACGATTGCTCCTCCACCAGGCCCAAATCCAAGCATTCCATTGACCACCATCGCAGCCGCTAATGGCTCCGCCGTCACCATCCCAAACCGGCGGCCGTCGACATACCAGGACTGGGTGCAGTTGAAGTTGTGGTTAGGCTATCCAATCGATGGACACTTTGTGTGGCCTTCCAGATTGCGACATCAGATACAATCCCCAGGGACAGAGGCTGGAGACGGTAGCAGCAGCGCCAGCGAGAATATTGGTGGAGGGTTTAGCTCATCGGACTCTAAAACTTCAGGTTCTACCCGGGCCTCCTCTCCTACATCTGAGGAGATTGTTGAGGCAACTAAAGAAGAACCAGCTGGTAGCATCCGACCCAAACATCCTCGCTACAATCACACTATCACTGGTCTAGCCACTGCATCAAAATGGGCATATAGCAACCCGGCTGCCTTCCGCATCACTCGTTGCCGCCAAAAGAATCATGAAATCTACTCCAAATCAGTGATTCTCAAGGCACTAGAGTCAAGCCGACGTTGAAATTCCCGCCAAGCCACCATAATTCTCCAAAGCATTCTACATGACTCGCGCATCGGAAATAAACCGATAAACCGAATGCCCTCCTCCGAAGCCACCCCTCCATCTCCACATTTGCTCTATTTCCGCAACCCGCAGGTACATTCAGACTCTCCCACCTATTTATCTACAACCCAATTGACCACCCCGTTTCCGAATTTCAATCGTATGAATCTCCTTTCACGCAACACAACCCTCCACACCTCTTCCGCCCTCGCCTTCGTCAGAGCTTCGATCCTCGGCCGACCCCACCACCACCCCTCCTCCATATTGCGCAATCCCCCCCAATTCTTCCGCCTGCACTCCCACTACCAACACACCGCAAAAATGTCGTCCATGGCCCAACGACTAAAAGGCAAAACTATCGTGATTACAGGCGCATCCTCTGGAATCGGGAAATCCTGTGCTCTAGAATTCGCGCGCACCAGTCCCGAGGACTTGAAGATTGTTCTGACAGCGCGGAGGATCGATACATTGAAAGAGGTTGCAAAGGAGATAGAAGGATTTGCGAAGGGCGTGAAGGTGTTGCCGGTGAAGCTAGATGTTAGTAGGCCCGAGGAAGTGAGTGGGTTTGTGGAGGGACTGCCCGAGGAGTTTAGGGGCGTCGATGTGTTGGTTAATAATGCGTATGTTCTGTTCACACGAGTTTTATTTTTATTTTTTGCCCAAATGGTGGGCAGGTCAGGGCGTTTTTATATGCGATTGGACGCCTGTCTGCACATGTTCATGCCTTTACTAACTCGGAGTCGTTCAGAGGACTGGTTAAAGGCATGGCTCAAGCCCCTGACATCCTCCCCGCCGACATCGACACCATGTTTTCCACCAATGTAACCGGCCTAATAAACATGACCCAAGCCATCCTACCTATCTACAAGTCCCGCCCCGACGGTGGCAGCGGCGACATCATCAACATTGGGTCGATCGCAGGCCGGGAACCCTACCAAGGTGGTTCTATCTACTGCGCTACAAAAGCTGCCGTCCGCTCATTCACAGACGCCCTGCGCCGTGAGCTCATATCCACACGGATCCGCGTTATGGAGATTGATCCTGGGCAGGTGGAGACGGAGTTTAGCGTGGTGAGGTTTTATGGGGATAAGGAGAAGGCGAGGAAGGTGTATGAGGGGGTGCAGCCGTTGACACCAGAGGATATTGCCGAGGTGGTGGTGTTTGCGGCGGGTAGGAGGGAGAATGTTGTGCTTGCTGATACGTTGGTTTTTCCGAATCATCAGGTACGTGAATCCGAATTTGCTTGTCGTGTAGATGGACCTGGACTGATTAGGGTAGGCGGCTGCGACGGTTATGTATAGAAAGTCTGCACAGTGAGGAGTATGTGCTGACGAGCAATTACTAGGCTGGGACGGGAGGCGCTATGTACAAAAAGCTACTAAGGGAGAAGTTATAGACAGAGGGGGAGAATCACAAGACAGCGGAAGACAACCAGAATTCTTGGGGACATGTTGACACGCATCGCATAGCACCAACGTCAACAGACTAACAAACAATTCATCTGCCATCGCGGCAATACCATGCGCATAGTACATTATGTAATGTCACACATCCCAACTCTTCCGAACCCCAAGATGCCCCGCTTCTCCCTATATGTATGCTCCCATAAGTTCCCGAGTATCTATTTCTTCCCCTTCCTAGCCAAATAATCCTCCTCCTCCTCCCTCAACTCCTGATCAATTTTCGCACCCTTACTCGGCTCATTTCCATGTGCTCTTGCCTTCAGTCGATGAATTAGCCTCAGTTCCTCTAATCAAGCCAACCTAGAAAGACAAGAGAAGACAAGGCATATATACCGGCAACGTTGCATCCCGCTCATAACGCTCTTGTTCGATATCTTTCTGTTCCGGCTCTCGAGCACGCTGTTCTTCCCGCGCGAGCTTGTTGGCAATAGTACGCTCGTCTTTGGAGTCGTTGGCCAGATGGCTATTAGGTTTGCCTTCGTGAAAGCGAGATACTGTGTCGAGCTCCGAGTCTTTGTAGTTCCTCTGAAGGTTGTGAATTAACATTAAAGTCACATCTGGGGCCTGGGCTAAGTGGAAGAAGTAGAGGAACAAGTTATGAGTTGTGTTGGATTGAGTGAGTGGAGGAAGTAGAAGGACAAGTTATGGACTAGGTTGGATTGGGTGAGCGTACTTGGTCTCCTGCCTCATATACACCTGGGCCGCCGACGTTGGAGGTTCCGGACATAGTGGATGGATTGGGATTGGGTTTGTGAGGTTTGGGGAGATGGGTGGGCTAAGAGGCTGAGGACGATTCTTGAAGGTTCCAAAGACGTTGTAAGGCAATGATCTTTTCAAGTGTAGTTGCGGTTGCGGTTGTATTGAGTTTTAAGCTGGTAAGAAATCGTCTAGACACCGATGACGTCGTGATGAACGCATATTATATGTGGGTCAACACCATGCACTACTCCTGCACTGTCTGGACGAATTGCGAGGAATGAAGCTGGAGGACAGCCCAGTTTTCAACAGATGTTGCGCGTGGTGTTCTCTGCTTTGAAATTTCAGGCACGCTTGGTGTTGTACCACGGCTCCAGAAAGAACTTACCCAGCAACTCCATACACTCACCTGCGACAATGCTTGAAGAGTGACACTACCAATCTAGTTCGATTTTAACACCCCTAAGAGCAAGTAATATACGTTGGTAAAAATCCGCCAGAGTTTCATTCCGGAAGTGAATCCTTCTATTTCTATATATTCATAATAAGAAGGGGTAACTGGGTATCATAACACCTTCGTCTATCATCTATCATATATTCGCTCAAACACCAAAGTACCAATCTACCGTTTGCCAGCATCTGTACATCATCTCCTGTTGCTTTTATTGCATATGGCTCGTTCTGTCACAGTAGACTGACACCTGTCTACTCCATCTCGATAGTGCCAGGAGGCTTGCTGGTAACTAGTAGGCGGTAATTAGTTTCTCTCTCTTCACTTAGGGAATAGATGATGGGCGAACTTACTGTCATAGACAACCCGACAAACGCCCTCAACCTCATTAACAATCCTGCGACTAACCTTCTTCAAGAAAGCACCATCAAACGGATACCAATCCGCCGTCATGAAATCACTCGTCTCGACCGCCCGAAGCGCGATAACTTGATCATGAACTCTCTTATCGCCCATAACACCCACAGCCTTCACCGGCAACAGCGCCGCAAATGCTTGGCTGATCTTCCTGTACAATCCCGCCGCCCTAATCTCCTCAATGAAGATATAGTCCGCTTCCCGCGCAATGCGGACTTGTTCCGGAGTGACTTCGCCCAGGATACGGATAGCAATACCCGGACCCGGGAACGGGTGTCGCCAGACCAGATCTTCAGGGATGCCGAGATTCGTGCCGAGTTCGCGGACCTCGTCTTTGAAGAGCTCGCGTAGGGGCTCGATGAGTTTGAGGTGCATACCTTCGAGGAGGCCGCCGACGTTGTGGTGGGTTTTGATGGTTGCGGATGGGCCTTTGAAAGAGATGCTTTCGATGACGTCTGGGTAGAGGGTGCCTTGGAGCAGCCATTCGATTTCACCAGCGCGGGAGGAGCCTTGGGATTCGGCAGCAATTTTTTTGGCTGTTTCTTGGAATACTTCGATGAAGGTGTTGCCGATGATTTTGCGTTTCTTTTCGGGGTCGTCGGTGACGCCCTTTAGTCGGCCGAGGAAACGATCGGAGGCATCCACGACGGTGAGATTGATGCCGAGGCCTTTCGTCAGCGTCTCTTTGACCTGCTTTGCCTCGTCCAGCCTCAACACGCCGTTGTCGACTAGCACAGCGTGGAAGCGCTCGCCAATGGCCTCTTGCATCAACTTCGCCGCGACGGTCGAATCGACACCCCCACTGACAGCTCCAATGACTTGTCCCTTGTCGCCAACCAAAGCTCTGATCCTCGCAAGCTCTTGATCCACAAACTTGCCCATAGTCCAGTCCGTCTTAGCCTGGCAGATGTCGACAGCAAAGTTCTTCAGCAACTCCTTGCCCCTTGGGGTATGCGTGACTTCAGGATGGAACTGAATGCCATACAACATCTTATGTCTATGCGCTATGCCGGCGAATGGGGCATTACTGGTCGTGGCAGTCGTGACAAAGTCATCTGGCAAATGACTCAGCTTGTCGCCATGGCTCATCCACACCTCCATATCACCCTCCAGCCCCTTGAACAGCTTATCCACATGGCCGCCCATCTCCGCATCGCCGTGACTCTCCACTTTCAAATATGCATGTCCATACTCCCTCTTCTCGCCTGCCAGCACATTCTTCCCGAAATGCCACGCGATCTCCTGCAGCCCGTAACATATCCCCAACATGGGGACGCCGAGGGAAAACACGGCGGGGTCGACGTGCGGGGCATCGTCCCAGTATACGGAATATGGACCGCCGGAGAGAATGACGCCCTTAGGGGTCCAGGATAGCTCGGCGAGCTTTTGTGTGCACGGCAGCATTTCGGAGTAGACATTGAGTTCGCGAAGACGGCGGGTGATGAGGTGGGAGTATTGGGAGCCGAAGTCGAGGACGAGGATGGTGTCGAAGGTTTTGTTGGGTGGGATGGGATCAATGGCGTTGGTTGCCATCGTGAAAGCGGGTGCACGATAGGTGCAATTGGGGAAGGAGAGGGCACAGAGGGGAGGGTACAGCGGGGAGAGAGTGGGAAGCTGGGAGGGAAGCGCGAGGGAAGGACTGGATGGAAGAAGGAAGGAAATTTTTTGGTGGGGGGGACTGCAGGGGTCTGTGGGCCACGCTCCCAAAATTTCATGTTCTGCTTCGGACGTCCAGCCTTGAATTGTGCACGCAGCCCACAATGCCGAAACGAAAACCAAGAAAAGACCCAGAAGACCTGCCAGATGCGCCGGAAGGCAAGGGGAAGAGGAAGAATGAGGACTCGGATAGCGACGAGGTAGGCACGACCCTCGCGACCCTCACAGCCCCGCCATGCACCCAGTCTTCGATCCTAGAGCTTATGATGGATGCGCTTAGGATATGGATATGGTGAATGTCGACTTCGAATGGTTTGACCCCCAGCCTGCCGTCGACTTCCACGGCCTCAAAACCCTCCTGCGCCAGCTCCTTGACGTCGACGCCCAGCTCTTCGACCTCTCTGCGCTTGCCGACCTCATCCTCTCGCAGCCGTTACTCGGCAGCACCGTGAAGGTCGATGGCAATGAAAGCGACCCCTACGCCTTCCTCACCGTGCTGAATCTCTCAACCCATAAAGTGACTATGCGCCTCTCCCTACCTCTTCTAGCCCGCCCTTTAACACTCCTCGCAGGACAACAAAGTCATAAAAGACCTCACCACCTACCTCACCAAAAAAGCATCCTCCACCCCGTCCCTCGCACCCCTGTCTTCCCTCCTCTCCCAGCCCTCTCCCTCCCAAATCGGCCTCATCCTAACCGAACGCTTCATCAACATGCCCCACGAAACTGTACCACCCATGTACACCATGCTGCTAGAAGAAATCGCGTGGGCGCTGTCGGAAAAAGAACCATATGCCTTCACCCACTATCTCATTCTCTCGAAAACCTACGCCGAGGTCGCTTCGTCGCTGTCGTCGCCCGACCCACCACCACCTAGCAAGAAGAAGAAAGGAGGGGCAGCAGGAGGAAAGGGTAAGGAGGAAGAGACGTTTTACTTCCACCCGGAAGATGAGGTGTTGCAGAAGTATAGTCTGGGTTGGGGGAGCTTTGAGTATGATACTGAGGTGGATGAGGGGGCGAGTGACAGCAAGAGGGCATTCCAAGAGCTGGGGGTTAAGCCGAAGGGGCATTTGGTTTTGATTGAGGGGAAGAGGTTTGAGGAAGCCGTGAATGCAGTTAAGGAGTTCTTGGGCAGTGGGCAGTGAGATGGGGGATACGAGCAGGGAAAGTAGTGGATTCCGTACGGATATGGTGTCGGAGTAGCCTTCATTCAGGTGTCAGAAACTTATGTACAGGCAGGAGCACTGGGGAATACACAGGCAAGAGCACTGGGGAATGCACAGGCAGGAGCATTGGGGAATGTACAGGCAGGAGCATTGGGGAATGTACAGGCAGGAGCATTGGGGAATTGACAGGCAGGAGCACTGGGGAATGCACAGGAAGGAGCATTGGAGAACGCAAATGGGCGAATATAGGAAGCGGGTATGGTGAAGACTTCGCCTGATATAGACTCACAATTCTCACGTCCATGTCCTCGGCGGTGAAGGACTCTAAGCAATACATTCCTACCACACAATCCAGATCTATGAATCGCAGAGACAGAAAACATGTGATGGCTTCGCCTATCAACACAGTGCCACACCAAGCCTGCCATGCCCATTCCAGCTCAACCTCTCTTCCATTCTCGGATGATATTTTCTAATTTACACATAGCGAACTCTCTATCCGATAATTACCTTTCCATCCTCTGGGAATTCGTATGCGGGTACTTCAAGGTTGAGAGGTGCAGGACCCTTTCTTATGCGGCCGGAGATGTCGTAGTGGGAACCGTGGCACGGGCAGAACCAGCCGCCGAAGTCGCCGGCTTCGCCGATGGGGACGCAGCCAAGATGGGTGCAGACGCCTGAATGTATTAGTACGTTGTTCGCGTGCTCTAGGAAGCGAAGGGTAGCGAGGCGGAATAGGTATTGCCCTGCCGTGCGTGCGAAGGCTTAGACTTGTCCACATACCAAGCATGATCAACCACTCCGGCTTCTTCACACGTTCAGAATCCGGTTCCGGGTCTCGTAGACTCTCCCATTTTGTATCTTCAGCCTCCTTGATCTCATCCTCGGTGCGGTGTCGAATGAAGACAGGCTTGCCTCGCCATTTGATGATGACCTGCAATTCGATCAGCTTCCCTCCATCCGGAAATCCTCAATTAGCAGCAGCGGGGATGCGTACATTCTTGCCCTCGGGAATGGCAGCGAGGTCGATTTCAACCTTGGCTTGGGCGAGCACATCGGCGGATGCAGACATGTTGACGAGGAAGTCTGTTGCGGGATTTGTTAGCGCTGTCTTGTTCATCACACCATATCCCTAAACCGCCGTCCTAGCAGCCAATTGCACTTCCACATCTCAAAACTCCTCCATTATACCATTTCCAGTGCATTCCAGGGCTCGAGCAGTGATGATAGAGCAGTACCCACCTTGCACAGTCGCCTTCGCGCCCAAAGCCGACAACGCGCCCATCGTCCCCACCATGAAATAACTAAACACCTTCGGCCCGGTCTCACCCCCGCTCTTATTCCGATAGGCAGCGAAACTGGGGATCTTGGTCGAGGATCCGGAGCCCTTGAACGGGCTGTCGAAGGACGAGGTGCTGGATACCTCGGACACGGAGCGGGTCTGCTGGACGGCGGCGGTGCAGGCGCGCGCTGCGGGCAATTGGTGGGCGGTCCATGTGCGGGCGAGCGCACGCGTTGTGGTAGTGAGGGCGGGCATCGTGGCGGATGCGTGGGTGGAAGGATAAGGGGAAGAGAGAGCTGCGACGGCGGGCGTTGATGAGGTAGTGAGGTGAAGTTTGGAAAAGACGAAGAGGGATCGGGAAGGCGTTGATTGGTCGGAATTCGCCGGGCCGCTCGTTGGCCAAGAAGGAGCCGCAGACTTTGGTACAAACACTGTGTGCATCGTCATCATGGATGGAGGTTCGATTCATATTTTTACGCCTTGAAAACTTCGCACTGGCTATAGACTCTGTTCTACCTTGTATAACATGTGCGTTTACGGGGATTGAAACGGGCTCCAATCCATAACAGACCAACAAACTCCAAAGGTTAGCAAACTCTCTCGAACTCTCTCAAAATCACAGGCAGCCCGGAACTTGGAATGACCTCCTATTTGTTTGGTACGGTTTATACCAATCAGATGTGGCACCTCTTAGGCGGCGTCACTGAGTCGGATATTGCTTCCGTCAACGCTTGGCTTCTGCCTGCTGAACCTGCGAACTGAACCTTTGAATTGTCTTTAAAGCAGCCTGCGATCATCAATAGATCTCCCCCAGCAGGAATTGAGGACACTTACTGGCGAGTACTTGCTACTCAACTCAACCTCAGCAGATATCACACAGGGTTCACAGATAAGGCTGCATCCGCAAGTTCCTCTATTGCCTGCAAGGTCGACCTTTTATTTGACTCATAACACTTACTACCAGACCTTCGGACTACTTACACGCTCGTCCTCAAATTCTCGCCCAGACTTCTGAATAGAGCCTCAACTGCGAGTCTCCCTAACCCTCGAGACCACTCTCAACACCCCACAGCCATGCCATCACCAATCCCAGAACCCTCAAACCCCCTCCCCACCAAACGCAAGCAACCCGCCTCATCCCCCAACCCCGAATCCAGTGAACCCAACGAATCCAAACGCACCGAACCCAAACGTTCCAAGCCCACCGCTCCAACCCTCACTTTAACAAACCACACAGGCGACATCTTCTCCGCACCCCCAAACACCCTCCTCATCCACGCGTGCAACACGCAAGGCTCCTGGGGCGCCGGCATCGCGGCCGCCTTTCGCGACCGCTACCCCAACGCCTACCTTCAATACCGGTCCCACTGCCTCAAAGCCCACGACCCGAGGGCTAATCCAGTGCCAACGGGTTCTTGTCTCCTGATTCCGCCTTGTGAGACGGGGGATGTGCCGAGGCATTGGATTGGGTGTTTGTTTACCAGTGCAAAGTATGGGAGGGCGAAGGACAGGCCGGATGTTATTCTAACAAATACCGGGCCGGCAATGAGAGATTTATTGGAGGAGGTTAGGGCGAGGGAGATGGGGACCGAAGGAGAGGGGGAGGTGGTGAGTGGGATAAGGATGTGTAAGATTAATTCCGCAAGATTTGGGGTGCCGTGGCATAGGACGGTGGAGGTGTTGGAAGGAATTGTTGTTGAGGAAGGCTGGAAGGGGGATGCGGAGGTTTGGTCTATTGATTAGTGAGAGGGGCTAAAGGGACTTGTTGATTTGGGGAGTCCGGTTTGAAAAGACGTTGGTTTGTGAGGTTGTGGGTATGGCATTTGGGTTCAATTGCGTATAATTTTTTGCTGGAGACATGAGAGTACTAGTTATTTTGGTATCGTACCTGCATTCATGCCGTGATTGTTCGGAATAGAGTTCGTCTTTCCTTCAAAGAATCAGTCTGCCCCAAACGCCAGACTTTATGTTCCCTTAACTCCATGCGCCATGCGAGTACCGACGGAAAGACTCTCTCAAATACAGCCCCGTTACCTCGTCCCATTAATAGCCGTGAAGCCACTCGGACGTCGCGTCGTCGGACTCGATCCATTTGCCTTCGGGCCGCGCATCTCCATCTCAATCTGCTTAGCTGCAGGATCCTCTTCCTCTTCCTCCTGCGCAGACATCGTCTCATCACGATCCACGTCCATCAACTCCGGAGCCTGTTCATTACCCATCTCCTCCTCTTCCTCTTCCTCCGCCACTTTCTCCTCCACATGCCCATTCTGCACCGGCCCATTAGCATTCACCCCATTCCCAGCCCCAGCCCCAGCCCCAGTCCCATTCACAGTGCTTGGCCCCGCATCCACCCCATTCAACACGGCTTGAATTCCGGGCTCCTTCGCCTTCCCACTCTCCTCTCTCCTCTTCTTATATTCCTTATACGTAACGGTTCTCGGTACCACATCGACCAAAAACTCCAGATTATCCGTCTTAGCGACCGCAGACGAAACGTCGCGGTATTGGATATTCCGACGCGGTTTCCGCTCCGCTTTGACGACGTTGTGGGTAGTGGTTGCTAGGTGTTGGATGAACATCTCTGTGGCTAGTGCGATGGCGAAGGAGGCATTCTTGGAGACATGGGTGCGGTCGGGATCTGCGGCGATGATTTTTTGGACTCGGGCGACTGAGGTAGCGGGGCCGTTAGTCCGGTATTTATACGACATGGTCAATATGTGAATGGGAAAGATATTTTTGTGATTGGGTATGGAATGGGCGTGTACGAGGGAGTATATTCAGTCGGTGAGGCTCCTCTGATGCCCAGCGCACGTGGAAGTCTGGGGAAGGCATGATCCACGGTGTGCCTGATCGTGGCGCACGATTGAGAACAATGGAGGAAGAACAAGGTGAAAATATGTAAAGAAGAAGGGGAACTTACGAGGCAGCGATACTTGGCCACTGACTTCTCGGGGAGGAGCGATTGGGGTGTTGTTGTACGGCATCGTGGAAGGAGCTTTCCCCGAACTTCGCGCGCAGCCTTGAAGTTGGAGCCGTGTAGAGTTGAATTGAGGGTGTTTAGATTCTCACAACAGATTAGCTGGAATATATATGGGAGTCCAATACGTTTCGCGATTGGTTTGACGCGGTATTTGCGGGTAGAAAGGTAAATGTCGTGGGTGAGACGCGTGGGCTGTGGGCGAGGAGGTTCACTTGACCATTCTCACAAAAGTTGAAGTGTTTGCACAGTTGTCAAACTTGTGGCGCGTGAGCGTCCAGCCACAAGGACTCGATCCGTAAGAATGGTCAGCACCGTCATGGAAGTCTGGCTGGTGTTTCAGGCAATCATCAACACAAACACAATCCGTATTTCATCGATTAGGACTTCATCATTAAGCAAGAAATATCTCCTCCAGATCCCAGGAGCTCTTCGTTAGCCGACCAAATCCATCCTCAGAAGCATTGCATTCCTTTGCCCAATGAATTGCGTCTGTGGCGCTTCAGTCATCACCATCAAGACATACACAAAGCTTAGTTGAGGGCAATTGGAACAATGAAGTTCTTCCAGTCCATTTCTCTTCTTTTTGCGGGGTCCCATCTGACGTTCTCGTCTCAAATCCCCCTCCAAGAGTCGACCGAGGAGCAAGAAGTCAACGCATTTCAAGTCTACCGAAGCCAGTACTCTGAGCATTCAATTCGCATCAAACAGCAACAAAATGAAACCCTCTGCAATGCCCATTCGAAGCAATACACCGGCTGGCTCGATGTTGGATCAAAGCATCTCTTCTTCTGGTACTTTGAATCTCAGTCTTCTCCCTCAGAAGACCCACTCCTCCTCTGGCTCACCGGTGGGCCTGGCGGCTCTTCGATGATTGGAATGCTGCAGGAGATGGGTCCTTGCGTAATCAATGAGCATGGCAATGGCACTAAGTATAACGAATATGGTTGGAGCAGGAACGCGAATCTCATCTTTGTGGATCAGCCCGCTGGAGTAGGCTTTTCGTATATCGATAAGGGGATGCCTGTTCCTGCGACTAGCTTCACGGCTGCGGAAGATATGCATCACTTTCTGCAGCTGTTTGTCAGCGAAGTCTTCCCTGATTTGTTAGGGCGGGACTTCCATATCTCAGGAGAAAGTTATGCAGTAAGATTACCCTAACCACAAAATTAATCTATCTAATCATACAATCAGGGCCACTACGTCCCAATTCTCGGAGCTCAAATCGTTTCCCAAAACCTCTTGTACCCGCACCGCCCTCAGGTCAACTTAGCTTCCATCCTCGTAGGCAACGGCTACGTCTCACCCCTGGACACAGCCTTTGGCTACTGGGAAACCCTCTGCACCACGAACCCCGGCATCAAATCGCCCATCTTCAATAGCACACGCTGTGACATCATGGCCTCCAATCTCCCCCGCTGCATGAATCTCGCCCAGGTCTGCTACCAGCACCCGGACCCTGCAATCTGCGCCGCCGCTAGCACAATATGCTGGAACGGCGTAATCTCACATTACGACAGTGAATCCGGCCCCGGCGGTCGCAATCGCTTTGACATCACCACTCCATGTAAGACGAAAGACGAACTCTGCTACCCCGAAATCCCACATATCCAGGAATATCTGAACCTACCATGGGTGTGGGAGGCTTTGCAGGTCCCCAAGGCGCTCCACAACTACTCCATTTTGTCGGAGGAAGTCGCTATTGCTTTCACGCTAACGAACGACGAAGGCATCAGCACACAACCCCAAGTCTTGTATCTCCTTGAAAATGAAATCGATGTGTTGTTCTACCAGGGGAATCTCGACCTCGCGTGTAATACCGCGGGAAATATACGCTGGGCGAGTAACATGCTGTGGAGTGGACAGCCGGCGTTTGTAGCGCAGGCGCCGCGTGCATGGAAGGATGGAAAGAGGGATGTAGGGTGGTTTAAGGAGGTTAAGGTGAAGATGGGAGGGGGTGAGAGGGAGACGACGTTTGCTTTTAGTACGGTGGATGGGGCAGGCCATTTGGTGCCGTATGATAAACCGAAGGAGGCTTTTGCGTTGGTGTCAAGGTGGCTGGGGGATAGAAGCTTTGCTTAGCTGGAGGGTTTGTGGAGTGGATGGAAGAAAAAGGAGGTGGATCTAGTAATGTAGAGTGAGGATGGAAATGGGGGAGATTTTGCGGTTTCTAACTTGTATATTAGGAATATGAACTATGGGGATTAGCAAAGAAATGGTAAAGATAAATAAATGGATAGTATATTCGGAACTTGAACTGAGGGACTAGACAGAGAAAAGGCTTCGATAAATAAACGGATACCTAGTATCATCGCCGCTGCCACAGAATATACGCTAGAACTATATAACTCGTTGGCGTTAATGCCAACTTAGGTTAGAGTGTTAAAGGATGTCACTTTCTAATTATATTGGAACCTACCATGTTCGCTCCTAACAGTATTTCGCCATCTATCAACCCGGTGAGACGCAAGTTGCAGGGTAAGTTTAGTGCATGAAGACTGCACTTTATTCTCTTGTGAAGGGTACTATCCAGATAATAGTCTGTTGTATGCGTATTCACCTAATATGATAGCACAAGTTAGTAAGAGGCTTTTTCTGAGATAGTTTTGCTGAGATTCGGTCTGCTTCATTGTGTTTAGCCGTTGCTTTCAGGACCGAAACTCCAAATACGCGATAAGGAAGAAGCTCCTACAATTCCTAGAACTAAGCACCTTTCCATAGCGATCCTAGGTACTATGAAGCTATTTTTAATTCTCATCTTGGCAAGATAATTATTGCCATTGTGTGCTGATGTTCAAGACTATCAATCTCTTCATCGATATCGAAGTTGTGGCGCAGTCAAGCTACGACCTGCGACCAGCCTCAACCTCAGCCTCTCAAAGACCTCAAGCTCTAGCTCGCAAGCTGCCCAACGTTCCACATATCCCATGCCCTCGACGACCTCACGATGAGATGAATCGCCGCTCCGGATCCACCTCTGAGACGCGCCAAACCCAAACCCAAACCCGACACCAACCTACACACTCTTCGTCCTTCACGCCCTCGCTCCGCCGCCGCAACACCTCCGTCTCTCTCCGCTCCGATCCCGAGCAAGCCAACGCCGAAGCTACTGCCGCCAGCGCGGAACATGTCATACATGAGGAGATCGCGGAGATCAAGAGATACGAGGACTTCACAACAATAGACTGGGTGCAGGATGCAGCACGAGAGCAGTTGCGTCGACGCGCAAGGAGGAAGGAAAGAGCGGGGGTTTGGGAGCGGGCGGATGGCCGAGGGCTATCTTGGAGGGGGAAGGTTAGCGAAGCTTATGACGCGGGACAGGCTTGGATAGTGGTGACTCTGGTGGGAGCTGCGATTGGGTTGAACGCTGCTTTTTTGAATATCGTGACTGAGTGGTTGAGTGATATTAAGTTGGGGCACTGTACCACGGCGTTTTATCTGAATGAGAATTTTTGCTGTTGGGGTGCTGAGAGTGGTAGGTTTGGACATTGGGCCCTGCATACCGTGCTGGGATTGGCATTTGAGAGGAAGGGCTAATCTTTGAATAGGCTGTCCTGAATGGAAACGTTGGAGTGGGTTCTGGCCCATAAACTACGTTTTCTACATACTATTCGCCGCGCTGTTTTCTTTGACGGCTGCTACGCTCGTCAAGTCGTTCGCTCCCTACGCTGCGGGATCAGGGATATCGGAGATCAAATGCATTATAGCGGGGTTTGTGATGAAAGGGTTTTTGGGAGCTTGGACGCTGGTGATTAAGTCGATCGGGTTGCCTCTGGCGATTGCTTCGGGGCTTTCGGTGGGAAAAGAAGGACCCAGCGTACATTATGCTGTATGCACTGGGAACGTGATATCACGGTTCTTCGACAAATACCGACGGAATGCTGCGAAGACGCGAGAAATCCTAAGCGCGAGTGCTGCGGCAGGCGTTGGGGTTGCGTTCGGCAGTCCCATAGGTGGGGTGCTGTTCTCTTTGGAAGAGATGTCGAACTACTTCCCACTGAAGACGATGTGGAGGAGCTACTTCTGCGCCCTGGTAGCCACGGCTGTCTTAGCCGTAAGACTGACCTTCCTAGAATCTACTCTAAAGCTCACAGAGTATAGGCAATGAACCCTTTCCGGACTGGCCAGTTGGTCATGTTCCAAGTCAAATACGATCGATCCTGGCATTTCTTCGAGATCCTCTTCTACTTGATCATCGGAGCATTTGGCGGTCTCTACGGAGCCTTCGTGATCAAGTGGAATCTGCGGGTGCAGGCGTTTAGGAAGAAATACCTGGCAAAGTATCCGATTTTGGAATCGGTTACTTTGGCTGTTATTACGGCTATGATTTGCTACCCGAACATGTTTCTCAGGATCGATATGACTGAGAGTATGGAGATCCTGTTTCTGGAATGTGAGGGTGGTCATGACTATGATGAGCTCTGCGAGTAAGTCGGTTCCTAGAGACTGTCATTCTGGAATCATGTTCTAAACTGCGTAGCCACCAAAATCGTTGGCACATGATCATCTCACTCGCGATTGCAACTGTTGTTCGAACTTTGCTCGTCATTATTTCTTTTGGTTGCAAAGTCCCGGCGGGTATTTTCGTACCCTCGATGGCTATTGGGGCCTCCTTTGGTCGAATGGTGGGCATATTCGTTCAACATTTACATGAGTCCTTCCCAAGCTCCGCATTCTTCGCCGCTTGTGAGCCAGATGGACCATGTATTACACCCGGGACGTATGCATTTCTAGGTGCTGCAGCTGCGCTTAGCGGGATCATGCATATCACAGTGTCTGTTGTGGTCATTATGTTCGAGCTCACTGGAGCTTTGACATATATTCTTCCGACTATGGTACGTCACTTGAATAGCCATCCATATCCTGCACGTACTGACACCTTCATAGATCGTGGTCGGCGTCACAAAAGCCGTCGGGGAGCGCTTCGGCCACGGCGGCATCGCCGACCGCACCATCTGGTTCAACGGCTTCCCCTTCCTCGACAACAAAGAAGAACACACCTTTGGCGTCCCCGTATCCCAGGTCATGGCGTCTCACATAATTTCCCTTCCAGCCACCGGCCTCGAGCTCCGCGCGCTAGAATGCATCGTAAATGAAAACCAATACCAAGGCTACCCTATCGTTGAAGACGCCAACTCTAAGACTCTCATTGGCTACATTGGTCGAACTGAGCTTCGCTACGCTATCGATCGCGCAAAACGTGACCAGCTCGCCCCCGGACACGCGAAATGCTACTTCACCGCCTCAGGAACTGGGGTTGATAGTCGTACATTGTCGTCTTCAATCCCCGCAGTCACGTTCGACACGATGTCCGCAACATCCTCCAGCCTCCGCATCGACCTCTCCAAATTCATTGATCCAACCCCACTCACCGTGCACCCCCGCCTCCCGCTCGAAACAGTCATGGAGCTCTTTAAAAAAATGGGACCGAGAGTCATTCTCATCGAGTACCGCGGAAGACTAACGGGACTCGTGACGGTTAAAGATTGCTTAAAATACCAGTTCAAGGTTGAGGCGCATGAGAATCCGCAACAGGGGAGTGGATTGTTGGATGAAAGGCAGGAGATGGTTTGGAGTGTTATTAGAAAGACGGCGGGGTGGGTGGATGGGAAGTTGAATTGGGTGAGGAAGAGACTCAGGATTGGAGGCGGAGATATTAGGTTGTTGAGTCCGGTTAGTCCGGGGAGTGGTGCTGAGGATGGGGGAAGGGATGCTGGGCTGGGGAGAGGGAGGGATAGTGATGAGGGGGTGGATGTGGATGTAGAGGTGGAGTTGGAGGAGAGGGGAAGGAGAGGAGGCAGATAGGTTGTTGTTAGGAATTGCATCTTTTGTTAATATAGGTATGGTGTTGCGGTATTGGCTGTGACAAATGTGTATGATGCCTGTCTGCGGTAAATATTCGCGTGGTCTGCCGGACTTCGGGAGTTTATATGATTATGGTTCGTCCACGTCATGTCAGATTTATACTCAAGAGTTCCATGTTGACAGCTCGCATGCGTTTGGAGACGGGTTCAGCCGAACCTGGTCGTCCATGCAGGAGCATGCAGACGATTTGGCCGGGGGGTGAACCGGCCCTCAGACATTCACGTGATGTAGCGTTGTCGTGACTTCCCGGTTTGGGATTCAGCGACTCCATAGATGAACTTCACTGGAAAGAAGGGTTGTTTCCCGCCATTAAAACACACCAACTCGATCACTACCGTCAGCTGAGCAGCACGCCACGCCCGAACTCTTCTCGAAGCAGCTCTTTTCGTTTCAGATCGATTTGTTATTGGTGTTCCGATCGGACCGTTCCCCTGTGGCTGTTGCCAAGAGTGCGGGAAGCCATTTGGACCAGCCGACCGTGCGCGTCCACCCAGATCGCGTCAAGACATTATTTTGAGACCCTGAACCGTCAACATTCACCCCCATCATCACCCGGACTTGCGTGCCCCGTCCCGTGCCGATTCTCACCTTTACCCCATCTCGCTTTCCTGCACCACCCGTCGGAAGCAGCGAAACACATGTCTTCTCCCCCGAATCTCCCTTAAACGACAGCATGGAGGGACCGCTGGCTCCAGGGGCGGCCAACGGCAACATCCGATCACCAAGCCCAACGACACCGGCGATAGACCCCCAGATCATCGTCGATTATCTCGAGAGGGTCCTCGATGTCAATCTCGGCGCTTCAGAGCAAGACCTCCGCGCTCCGGGCAGTCTCCTGTCACCCTCCAGAATACACGACACCCTTCAGCGATGCACCCGGTTCGCACTTGAGACGCAGACGGTCATATACGTCATCAAGGACAGAGTTGATGAGACTCACAAAGATGGGCTGGAGCCAAATGGCAAGCAGCATGTTGGCGATGAGGGAGCGTCACCACTGACTAGAGACACAGGTGTTTCAGCACACTATACCTATACCGTTTCCTCAGACCTTTTGCCTTCTCCTACCTGCGCAACGTACATGGTCATTACGAAGCAACCGATACCTATAGACCCTACGATACCCATCAGCCAACAGGTGCTGATTAATACTCTCCCTGGCTTTACCCTTCGCAATAATAATGCTTCTTCGCAAGAGTTGTCCCCTTACGCACCCTTATCTTCACTTCTTCAACACGCGGTTGAGCCGTATTTTGATGCATACACCAAAGACCAGCGCAGCCGGACGGGGTATAGCAAGGGTGACAATGACGCAAGGACGGGTATTTCGGCCACTAAGAAGAAGCTGGCGGAGCTGGCGCTGAGTCTGCAGCACCTGCAGCAGAATGTTGAGATTCCAGAACTGCTCCTACCTTTGCACCCTATCATCCAGAATGCGCTGGAGAGCGCCGAAGAACGCAACGTCAAGCCTGTCCCGGAGCTGCTGCCTGCCGCCGTACTCACCGACAGCAGCTTTCTCAACGGGCTTCAAGCGACGGTGAACGGATGGATTAAGTCAATTCAGAATATCACCAGGACTTCGCGAGATGCACAAACTGGAACGGCAACGCAAGAGATTAATTTCTGGCTTTCTATGGAATCCAGGTTGGAGGACATTGAGGCCCAGCTCAGTAGCCCTGGTGTGAAGTTGACACTGGATGTATTGAAGAATGCAAAGCGATTCCAGGCCACAGTCAGTTTCAGCGCCGACACTGGATTGAAAGAGACGACAGATCTTGTCCAAAAATACAATCAGTTGATGCGAGACTTTCCCTTGGATGAGTTGCTGTCGGCTACTTCCCTTCAGAAGGTCCAGGAGGCAATCCAGCAGATCTTTAGTCACATGAACAAGAAGCTCCGCATCTGTCCTTATCCCGTTCGGCGAGCCCTCCCTCTGGTGGAAGCCATTTCAGGTGATCTGCAAGACCGGCTGAAGAAGTTGTTGAACGGCAAAGTCCTCATGTCCATGGAGTATCCGGAGTTCCAAGCCATTATGGGCACGGCCGAAGGAATATGGCGCGCCTGGGAGGAGAACGTCAAGGAGTTTACCAACGTTGCCCGCGAGGTGACGAGGCGAAGGAACGAGAAATTCATCCCCATCAAAATTGCAGCTCGTCACAAGGAAATCGAGGAGCGACTTCGGTACATTACAACTTTCAGAAAGAACCACGAGCAGCTGCAGCGAACAATTGTCGATGTTCTTGGCTCGCAGTCGTCTCTCCCATCTGCCTCCGACGGATCACCTACTAGGGAAGCCGTCATTGTCGAAGAAATTGGTGACGTGGACGCCGTTGAGGAAGTTGCCCAAGCTTATGGCTTCCTAAAGGAGGTTGATGTGATGGAGGTTAACGAGGCCGGCACTGCATTATTTGAGCAGGCTGAGCAAAAGTACAACGAGCGGACCTCCCGAGTAGAGAACTCTATCATTGCGAGGTTGAGGGATCGCCTTGGAACCGCCAAGTCGGCCAGCGAGATGTTTCGCGTTTTCTCAAAGTTTAATCCTCTCTTTGTGCGACCAAAGATTCGAGGAGCTATTTCTGAGTACCAGACTCAACTTATCGAAAATGTCAAGGAGGACATCTCGGCGCTCCATGAGAGGTTTAAGCGGCAATATGGAAACTCCGAGGCACACGCGATGGCCCAACTTCGCGACTTCCCTCCTGTTTCTGGTGCCGTCATCTGGGCTCGACAGATTGAGACTCAGCTGGAGAACTACATGGGTAAAGTCGAAGACATTTTGGGTAAAGAATGGGCCCTCCACGCAGAAGGCCAAAAGCTTCAAGCGGAGACTAGCATGTTTAAGAAAAAGCTCGATACCCGACCGATTTTTGAGTCCTGGCTGCAAGAAGTTGCTCGACGAAAACTATCAATATCTGGACGACTCTTCCTGATTAGCAAGAATCGTGCAGCCGGCAACATACTTGAGCTGAACGTGAACTTCGACGCACAGGTAATCGCTCTCTTCAAAGAAGTTCGAAACTTGACATGGCGCGGCTACCAAGTACCCCACGGAATCAACAACATCTCCAAGGAGGCGAAACGAGTATACCCATATGCTGTCAGCCTGATGGAGAGCGTGCGAACTTACACCCAGACCGTACGATCCATTGGGGAGATGACTGGAGTCGCGTTACTTTTGAACGGTTACCTTAACGATGTTCAAGGCTTAGTTGGCAAGGGCGTTCCCCTTAAATGGGAATCATTCGTCCACGCTTATGATCTCCACATCCGACAAACTAACTTCCCTCCTGGAACATCCGGTGCTGTTCGAAGCGAGAGCAAGCATGTTCAATTCGTCCGTGAATTTGCTGCAGCCACATCCTTGTTGCAGGCGAAAGTAGCAACGCTACTGTCAATCAATGTGACTGTTGAGAAGGCTCTAAAGGACCTGGAAATATGCCCCTACAATACGGAGTCTTTCAGACAGAATCTGGAGACAATTCAACGTTCTGTCGATCAACTTAACCTGGAGAATTATTCGAACCTGGCCTCATGGGTCTCGGAGATGAATGCACGAATAGAGTCTATCTTGCTGGTACGGCTGAGCCGGGCGATCACAGAGTGGATCGAAGTGTTCAACAACGTCGAAGATCAAGATCATAGACCCATTAGCCAACCCGCGGTGTCTGAGACGACGGACGAGAAACCAAGGCTCACAAAGCTCGTTCACGAGATCACAATGCGGAATCAAGTCATCTACCTCGACCCGCCACTTGAATTCGCCCGCGCTAGCTGGCTAGAACAACTCCAGCAATGGCTCGCTGTGATATGTACTCTGCAGAAGGTGAAAGCCTCGCGATACGAGATGCGCTTGGAAGCTGTCGACGACACCGCGATGAACCAATTCGTGGACCTTCCAAGCCGCTGCACAGACTCCTTGATGCAGGTATACGGCGCTATTGAGGGCAAGCTTCGCGACATATCTTCCTACGTCGATGAGTGGCTACAGTTCCAGTCATTATGGGATCTCCAGTCGGAATATGTCTACGATGTTCTGGGAGAGGCTCTCTCGCGATGGCTACAGCTCCTCCAGGAAATCCGAAAGACGCGTGCTACGTTCGACACCTCGGAGGTCAGTCGATCCTTCGGATACGTCACTGTCGACTATGACCAGGTTCAAGTCAAAGTCAATGCCAAGTACGATCAATGGCAGCACGAGATCTTGATGAAGTTTGCAAGTAGACTTGGGCAACGTATGAGTGAGGTGTACGCCGAAATTGAGAGGGCTCGTAAAGACTTGGAGAGCCAGTCGCTCGAAGCATCCTCCACTGCACAAGCAGTCTCATTCATTACCACTGTTCAGCAGTGTAAGAGGAAAGTCCAGGTCTGGGGACCAGAGGTGGAAGTTTTCCGTCAGGGCCAGATCGCGCTCAACCGCCAACGCTATCAGTTTCCACCTGATTGGTTACCTATGGAGCAGATTGACCATGAGTGGCAGACTCTCAACGATGTCTTGGAAAGGAAGACGAAGATTGCAAATGACCAGGCCGATGGTCTTCGAGCAAAGATCATTGCAGAGGACAGAGTTATCAATCAGAAGATTGCGGATATAACGGCACAATGGGCTGAGGAGAAGCCTGTGTCTGGGAACATTCCCCCAGCAGACGCGTCGGCGACACTTTCGACGTTCGATCACAAACTCAACCAATTGCGTACGGAGTCTGAGAACATTTCTAAAGCTAAGGATGCCCTGAATCTTCCTTCATCACCAGACAACATTCTTTCGTCGCTGCTCGAGGAAGTCCAGGATTTCAAGTCGGTTTGGGCTTCGTTGGGCACGATTTGGAGCAGTATTGATGAGCTCCGTGAGACCCTTTGGAATAGCATCCAGCCTCGTAAGCTTCGCAACAATCTCGACAATCTCGTGAAGATGACCAAAGATATGCCGAGCCGAATGCGACAGTATGCAGCGTTCGAGTATGTTCAGAACAACTTGAAGCAGCTTCTGAAAGTCAACTCCCTTCTCAGCGAGATGCGTTCAGACGCTGTTAGGGAGCGACATTGGGCCAAGATTTTCAAGCAACTGAGACCCCAGAAGCGATACTCTGCTGTGTCTATGACTCTTGGTGACGTCTGGGACCTACAGCTTGGTCCGAGTGAGAAGATTATTCGGGATGTCATCACGCAGGCTCAAGGAGAGATGGCTCTTGAAGAATTCCTGAAGCAAGTCCGTGAGACTTGGCAAAACTACTCCCTGGAACTTGTCAACTACCAGAACAAGTGTCGTCTTATCCGCGGTTGGGACGATCTTTTCGCTAAGTGCAGTGAGAATTTGAATTCGCTGCAAGCTATGAGACATTCTCCATATTACAAAGAGTTTGAAGAGGATGCATCGGCCTGGGAAGAGAAGCTTAACCGTGTACATGTCCTCTTCGATGTCTGGATCGATGTCCAGCGCCAATGGGTGTATCTCGAAGGAGTCTTTACTGGCAATGCCGATATCAAACACCTACTCCCAATGGAGTCATCACGTTTCCAGAACATTAACTCCGAGTTCTTGTCCGTCATGAAGAAAGTCTCTCGGTCACCATTCGTTCTTGATGTTCTGGGCATCTCTGGTGTGCAAAAGTCTCTCGAACGTCTAGCCGAGCTTTTAAATAAGATCCAGAAAGCGTTGGGAGAGTACCTTGAGCGTGAACGCGTATCATTCCCTCGATTCTACTTTGTCGGTGATGAAGATCTTCTTGAAATCATTGGCAACAGCAACGATACCCTCCGCATAGCCAAACATTTGAGGAAGATGTTTGCTGGTATCTCAGGTCTCGTTACGGACGAAAACTCAACAATCCTAGGATTTACCTCAAAGGAGGGCGAGGAGGTTATGCTTCGAAAGGAAATATCTTTGGCGAAAACACCTCGAATCAACGAATGGCTTGGAGCGCTCGAATTGAATATGAAGAGCACCCTTGCGGAGTTAACTATAGAGGCCTTCCAAGAGTTCGAGGCGCTTTCGGCTGCTGATGCCATGGATCCCGAGGCTTTCGATGCCTACATCGCTAAATACCCCGCGCAAGTTGTCGTCCTTGGAACCCAAGTCGCCTGGACTACAGCCGTAGAGAGGTCTCTTACTGAAGAAGGAGTTAGCCTGCCCCAACTGTATGATAAGCAAGTCAATATCCTGAAGTTGCTTGCAACCTCCGTCCTTGGCGACCTCGAACCCATCCAACGGAGGAAATGCGAGCATCTAATCACAGAGTTCGTCCACCAGCGCGATGTCATCCACAAGCTGCAAAAAGTTGGCGCGCGCTCACCTACCCACCACATGTGGCTGCTTTCCATGCGCTACGTCTATGAGCCTGAGAGAGACTTGTTACAGCGACTCAAAATCAAGATGGCCAATGCTGTTCTCGATTATGGCTTTGAATACCTCGGTGTAGCAGAGCGCCTCGTTCGGACACCACTTACTGATCGATGTTTCCTCACCCTCACCCAAGCCTTGTGCCAGCGGCTTGGTGGATCTCCTTATGGACCAGCAGGCACTGGAAAGACTGAATCAGTTAAGGCGTTGGGTGTGCAGCTCGGTCGATTCACTCTGGTCTTCTGCTGTGACGATACGTTCGACTTCCAGGCTATGGGCCGTATCTTCCTCGGTATTTGCCAAGTAGGTGCCTGGGGCTGCTTCGACGAGTTCAATCGTTTGGAAGAGCGAATCCTATCTGCTGTGTCCCAGCAAGTACAAAACATCCAGCTCGGACTTCGGAAAGGAGCCGAAGACGAGAAGTCGTCTCAGATTGAGTTGATTGGCCGCCAATTGAAAGTCAATTCTCAAACCGGCATCTTCATCACCATGAACCCAGGTTATGCAGGCCGTTCCAATCTTCCGGACAATTTGAAGAAACTCTTCCGAAGCGTCGCTATGTCTAAACCTGACAAGGAACTTATTGCCGAAGTTATGCTTTACTCTCAAGGTTTCTCTCGTGCGAAGGAATTATCTAAGCAGGTGGTACCTTTCTTCGACACCTGTGCTGTCAGCCTTTCGAAGCAGGCACATTACGATTTTGGTCTCCGAGCCTTAAAGAGTGTGCTTGTTAGCTCTGGTGGACTCAAGCGAGCTCGCATTGCCGCGCAGGGTTCACTGCCCGCGGATGAGGAGGTCATGGAACCGCAGATTATTGTCCAGAGTCTGCGGGAGACAATGGCACCAAAGCTGATCCGCTCTGATGCTGACATCATGAAGACTATCGAAGCCGACTCTTTCCCTGGGGTCGAGTATATTCCTGCGCCACTCGACAAACTCCAGGAGGCTATTCGCAAATCAGCAGCCGAGTCTAAGTTCATTGTCAGCGATGCCTGGATGGCAAAGATCCTCCAGTTTTACCAGATCCAGAATCTTCACCACGGTGTTATGATGGTTGGCTCATCTGGCTCCGGCAAATCAGCAGCATGGAAGACATTGCTGGCAGCTCTGCAGACAGTCGAGGGCGTGGAGGGTGTCTGTCACGTTATCGATCCCAAAGTGATGTCCAAAGAGAACCTCTACGGAACCCTGGACAGTACTACCCGTGAATGGACTGACGGCCTCTTCACAAGCATCCTTCGGAAAATCGTCGATAACCTTCGTGGCGAGGACAGCAAGCGGCACTGGATCGTCTTTGATGGTGATGTGGATCCCGAATGGGTTGAGAATTTGAACAGTGTTCTCGACGACAACAAGCTTCTCACTCTGCCAAATGGTGAACGTCTCAATCTCCCACCGAACGTTCGGATCATGTTCGAAGTCGAGACTCTTAAATACGCAACCCTCGCCACTGTCAGTCGTTGCGGTATGGTCTGGTTCAGCGACGACACCGTTGAGATTGATATGATGATATCCAACTATATTGAGAACCTCAAGACCAATCCCTTCGAAGATATCGAGGATGACTCAGTCGCCCCAGGACAGATGTCTCAGAAGACTCTTTCCGTTCAAGGAATGATCGCTGAGTTCCTGCAGATTAAACTAAGGCAGGATCGGTTCATCGAGAAGGCGCTCAGCGTGGCTAAGAAGTTTCACCACATCATGGAGTATACAGATATCCGCGCTTTGAACACGCTGTGCTCCCTGCTGAACAAGGCTTGCCGAACTGTCTTGGAGTATAATGTCCAGCATCAAGACTTCCCATTGGAGGATACTCAGATGGAAGCTTACCTCTCGAAGAAGCTGTTGCTTGCCTTGGTATGGGCCCTAGTTGGAGACTGTCCTTTGGCAGAGCGCAAGCAGTTTGGAGATCTTATCGCTGGCCTTACAGATGTCGAACTTCCACCATTGTCTGACACCACCTCCCTCATTGACTTCGATGTCCAGCCCGAGAAGGCAGACTGGATCATGTGGCAGAGTCAAGTTCCCAATGTTGAAGTTAACACTCACTCTATCATTCAGACGGATGTGGTCATTCCGACTCTCGACACCGTTCGCCACGAAGATGTCCTCTATTCCTGGCTTGCAGAACATAAACCTCTCCTGCTTTGTGGTCCCCCTGGCTCTGGTAAAACCATGACTCTCTTCAGCGCACTTCGTAAACTGCCGAACATGCAGGTCGTAGGCCTTAACTTCTCAAGCGCCACGACCCCTGACCTCCTTATCAAGACTTTCGAACAGTATTGCGAATACAAGAAGACACTTAACGGAGTTCAGCTCACGCCTACCCAGATTGGTCGTTGGCTCATCATCTTTTGCGACGAAATCAACCTTCCAGCTCCCGACAAGTATGGCACCCAGCGAGCCATCTCCTTCCTCAGGCAATTAGTTGAACAGAACGGATTCTGGAGGACTTCTGACAAGACTTGGGTTACTCTCGATCGCATTCAGTTCGTCGGTGCATGCAACCCCCCAACAGATGCAGGGCGTACCCCCATGGCTCTTCGATTCTTGCGTCATGCCCCATTGATTATGGTCGACTATCCTGGAGAGCAGTCACTACTCCAAATTTACGGCACATTCAATAGTGCGGTCTTGAAGATCATTCCGACCCTGCGTGGTTACTCAGAGGCGTTGACTAAGGCAATGGTACAGCTCTACGCGGAATCTCAGAAGCGCTTCACCCCAGATATCCAGCCACATTACGTCTACTCCCCTCGTGAGCTGACTCGATGGGTCCGAGGTGTGTACGAAGCACTCCGACCGCTCGAGACCTTACCTGTGGAAGGGCTCATCCGAATCTGGGCCCATGAAGCTTTGCGCCTCTTCCAAGACCGTCTCATTGACGAAGATGAGAGAAAGTGGACTGAAGAATGCGTCCATCGTATTGCTGCCGAACACTTCCCTACCATGGATGAAGGGAAGGCGCTTGGAGGGCCTATTCTCTTCTCGAACTGGCTCTCTAAGAACTACGTGCCAGTCGAACGCGACCAGCTCCGGGACTTTGTCAAGGCGCGTCTGAAGACCTTCTGTGAGGAAGAGGTTGACGTTCCATTGATCCTCTTCAACGATGTTTTGGAACACGTTCTTCGAATTGACCGAGTATTCCGTCAACCCCAAGGCCATCTGATCTTGATTGGCGTCAGCGGTAGTGGCAAGACAACATTGTCGCGATTCGTGGCCTGGATGAACGGTTTGAAGGTTTACCAGATCAAGGTTCACGGAAAGTACTCCAGCGAGGACTTTGACGAGGACCTGCGAAATGTCCTCCGAAGATGTGGTTGCAAGGGTGAAAAGATATGCTTCATCATGGACGAGTCCAACGTCCTTGACTCTGGTTTCCTTGAGCGCATGAACACACTTCTCGCCAACGCCGAGGTTCCTGGTCTTTTCGAAGGGGACGAATACGCGTCGTTGATGACGGCTATCAAGGAAGGTGCTCAGAGGCAGGGCACCATTCTCGACTCTCAGGAGGAGCTCTACAAGTGGTTCACTGAGCAGATTGTGAAGAACTTGCATGTCGTCTTCACAATGAATCCGCCCGAGGAAGGTCTGTCATCTAAGGCCGCTACTAGTCCCGCGTTGTTCAATCGCTGCGTGCTTAACTGGTTCGGTGACTGGTCCGATCAAGCTCTTTACCAAGTGGGCTCTGAACTCACACAATCTGTCGACTTGGACCGACCGAATTTCAATGCTCCGGATAGCATTCCTGTCGCATACCGTGGACTCAATCTTCCGCCGTCTCACCGTGAGAGCGTTGTTAATGCTATGGTGTATATTCATTACTCGTTGCATAACTTTAACACGAAGCTACAGAAGCAGCAGAATAAGACCACTTATCTCACGCCTCGACACTTCCTGGACTTCGTTGCACAATATGTCAAGCTCTACAATGAGAAGCGCGAAGACCTGGAGGAACAGCAACGCCATCTCAATGTTGGTTTGGAAAAATTGCGTGAGACTGTCGACAAGGTTAGGGATTTGAGGGTGAGCTTGAAGGATAAACAGACGCAGTTGGAAGAGAAGGACAAAGAAGCGAACGAGAAGTTGCAGAAGATGATTGCGGATCAGCGTAAGGCGGAGCAGGAGAAGGCAGGCTCGTTGGAGACCCAGACCAAGCTCGCCAAAGCAGAGGAGGAGATAGCGTCTCGAAAGGAGGTTGTCATGAACGACTTGGCGGCTGCTGAACCTGCTGTGATTGAAGCGCAGAAGAGCGTCCAGAACATCAAGCGACAACATCTTACCGAAGTCCGATCCATGGCGAATCCTCCTGCTGGTGTCAAGTTGGCGCTGGAGGCTGTCTGCACCCTTCTCGGCCACAAGATTGCTGCCTGGAGGGATATACAGGCCGTTGTCAGGCGCGATGACTTCATCGCTAGTATTGTCCAATTTGACAACGAGAGGCAGATGACAGCTCCCCTTCGTCGGAAGATGCAGCATGATTTCCTTTCGAAGGAGGATTTTACTTTCGAGAGGGTCAACCGTGCTTCCAAGGCCTGCGGTCCCCTTGTGCAGTGGACTGCGGCCCAAGTCAACTACTCCGATATCCTCGATCGAGTGGGTCCACTTCGTGCAGAGGTTGACCAATTGGAAGCGGATGCACAGGCAACGAAGGATGAGGCGAAGGAAACCGAACTCTTGATTAAGGAACTCGAGGATAGTATCACGCGATACAAGACGGAATATGCGGCTTTAATCAGCGAAACGCAAGCCATCAAGTCTGAAATGTCGACTGTCCAGTTCAAAGTCGACCGAAGCGTCCGTCTTCTTGATAGTTTATCCTCTGAACGATCTCGATGGGAGGAAAGCAGCAAGTCGTTCGACTCTCAGATTGACACTATTGTCGGAGACGTTCTTGTTGCTGCAGCCTTTATCGCCTACGGAGGTTACTACGACCAACAATACAGGAAGACTATGATGGAAGACTGGCTACACCACCTTTCTCTTTCTGGCATCAGCTTCAAGCCACTCAACCCTGTAACCGAATATCTCTCTACCGCTGATGAGAGACTGACTTGGCAGCACAACTCTTTGCCAGTTGACGACTTGTGCACCGAAAACGCTATCATCCTGAAGAGGTTCAACCGCTACCCATTGATCATCGACCCCTCTGGCAGAGTCGCAGACTTCTTGCAGAACGAGTGCAAGGACCGACGTCTAACCGTCACGAGTTTCTTGGATGATTCCTTCACTAAGCAATTGGAGAGCTCCCTACGCTTTGGCAACCCGATCTTGATTCAGGACGCCGAGCATTTGGACCCTATCCTCAATCATGTGCTCAACAAGGAATACCAAAAGACTGGTGGTCGTGTGCTCATTCAGCTTGGCAAGCAGGAAATCGATTTCTCGCCTTCATTCAAGCTATATTTGTCTACACGCGATCCTTCGGCTAATTTTGCTCCCGATATCTGCAGTCGAACCACATTCGTCAATTTTACGGTTACGCAGAGCAGTCTGCAGACTCAAACGCTCAACGAAGTGCTCAAGTCGGAGAGGCCGGATGTGGATGAGCGACGATCCAATCTCATTAAGATGCAAGGAGAGTTCAGCGTTCATCTCCGACAATTGGAGAAGCGCCTGCTTCAGGCTCTCAACGAGTCTCGCGGAAACATTCTCGATGATGACCGTGTCATCGAAACTTTGGAGACTCTTAAGAAGGAAGCCGCTGAGATCTCGGCTAAGGTTGCAGAAACTGGTGACGTTATGAAGGAAGTCGATAATATCACCAAGGAGTATACTGTTGTTGCTCGTTCTTGTTCGGCAATCTTCGCTGTCCTGGAGCAGCTACACCATCTTAATCACTTTTACCAATTCTCGCTTCAGTACTTTACGCAGATCTTTGCAAATGTACTGCGGAAGATTAAGAACTCTGGAATGACTGGCCATGCGGTTCGTATTGATCAGATTCTGACTGAGCTTTTTGTGGATACCTATCGTCGAACCTCGCTCTCGCTATTGCAGAAGGATCGTGTTACCCTGGCTATGCTTTTGGTCCAAGCTGCTCCTTATAAGATGGACAAGACCCTGATCGACACAATTCTCGACAAGGATTTGGAGGCAGTGGATATCTCTACCCAACCAGAACGCAAAGATGAAGCGATGGCTCGTGCCGCTAAACTCACCATCTTCAAAGGTGAACTGGACAAAGTGGACGCTGCGGCATTTAACAATTTCCTCACAGAGGAGCTCGGAGAACGACATGTTCCCCAAGCTTGGCCTGTGGATCTCCCTAAGTTTGACCGACATCTTCGATCTCTCGTTTTGGTCAAGCTCTTCCGTGTGGATCGTTTCGTCCCTGCTGTCGAGCGCTTTGTCACTGAGGTACTTGGCAAGGGTCTACTGGATGCTAGTGGCGATCTGAGCGAGATTGTCAAGCAAGTCACGGCCGTGACACCTGTGGCCCTCAGCTCCAGCCCTGGCTTCGATGCAAGCTACAAGGTCGACAATCTGGTTGAGAGGGAACATGCTACATGCACCAACATTGCCATGGGTTCGAACGAAGGTGTGGAAAGTGCGGACAAGGCAATCAACAACGCCGCCACTACTGGCAACTGGGTACTTGTCAAGAACGTTCATCTGGCACCTCAATGGCTTCAGTCGCTTGAGAAGAGGCTTGAATCTCTCAAACCTAACCCCGACTTCCGTCTCTTCTTGTCCATGGAGTCAAGCCCGAAGATCCCAGTCAATCTTCTTCGTGCCTCTCGCGTCTTGTCCTATGAACAGCCCGCAGGTATCCGTGCCAATATGAAGGATTCACTGTCATCCTTGGCAGAAAAAGCGACGAAGCAGCCGGTCGAAAAAGCTCGCGTCTACTTGTTGCTGTCCTTCCTTCATGCAGTGATTCAAGAGCGTCTACGATACGCGCCTACTCTTGGATGGAAGGGCTTCTGGGAGTTTAACGACAGCGATGTAAGCCCACCTCTTTCGTTACTTCATTCTGTATGCTAACATCGCATCTAGTACGAATGCTGCAGCTTCGTAATCGATACTTGGATCGACTCTGTCGCACATGGACGCACCAACATCGCTCCCAAGAATATCCCCTGGGACATGATCCGCACCCTAATTACCGAAATGTACGGCGGCAAAATCGACGACGAGGCTGACTTCCGCATACTTTCCTCCATCGTTGAAAACTGTATGACACCTGTCGCCTTCGAAGACAACTTCAAGATTGTCAAGGACACAGAGCAGAGCGAGGGCTTGGAGCTGCCGAGCTCTACAGGTTGGAGAGAGTTCATGGGATGGGTGAATGACTTGCCGGAGCGTGAGCCGCCGACTTATCTGGGGCTACCAGCGAATGCAGAGAAGTTGTTGCTAGTGGGGCAGGCGAAGGAGATGGTGGCAAATTTGGAGAAGGTTATGAGGATGTTGGACGAGGGGGAGCAGATCATGGCGGAAGCGGAAGGTTGATACTGGACTTCTTTATTTGAGGGCTTGATTTGGAAGACGATTCACATTCGCTTTAGTGGGGTTTCTTTGCTATCTCTCTCTCTTCTCTCACTGATGTCGATCAATCATCTCTTAGGAGATGTTAGGGGGCGTATTGGGTTTGGTCGTCCGTGCATTGCTTGCGTGCATGCATGAATTGGTGGCATGGGAAGGCAGTCTTTTTCTGGGAGAGTCGAGCGATCAATTACTTGCGTCTTGCTTTAGCTGTTGGGGGCTCAGTTTGCGAATTGCTGATATACCCATTACCCTTTTTTTGTATTCAGATTTTCCTTCGGTTCAGATTGTGTTTTTAGTGATTGTAATACAGCTATGCAGCTTTTTGTGCTAGGTTTAGGTACGTGTGATGTGATAATATGAGAGGTGGTAGGAGGATGTGTGTATGCTAGAGCGTGGCGTTAGGCTTGTCTGCTCTACCCTGAGCATTCATTTCTATGTTTTAGATACTACCAAATAAATTTTTTTCCTATCTATCTTATATAAGTATTCTATCTATAAATGTGCTTCATCCATAGCTTATTCACCTGATCTCGATGTGTATACCAGCGATTGTCTTCACTTCGCTGGCTAGTGTTTAATTAAGGTTTCCAGGCATTCAAGACTTCGGCCCGAGCAATTTCTGTTCATGTTTTCATCATCTACCCAGAGCTTACCGCTACAATCCCATACTTCATCGCCTGCTTGGTTACCTTGCTGAGTTTGGGGTACATATTTCTGTGGCTGACTTCCCCACAATACCTAGGACTTTACGTTGATATCACGGATATCTTTCATACGGCGAGCAGCCGAGACAACCTAAGAGGGCTCTCTTATCAATTATCACAAGGTAGATAAGCTCGAGCCATTCTTACTCTGCGAAGAATCCACTGGGCCTTTTAGGTGGCACATCCCCTCTTTCATCAAGTGTTTCTCGCTTTTCTCGATGCCATTCCAACACGACGGCCTCCACCACGATGGCCCTCCTTAGTGGCTCCAGCTCGAACGGCAACGACAACACAACCCTCAAGGCCTCCAGAAAAGCAAACTGTGAGCTAAGGCCACACTTCTAGTCCCCACACCCTCACTTCTCTTTTCTCCATGATACTTAAAACTCAAACTATATATCTAAACGCTTATCCACGTGTCTTGGAAAACAAAACAAAAAATCCACCCGAGTCAGGCTAGGCAGAAGGGGGAGGCGCGCGGGTTGCTCACCCCTGGTGAGATTTCACTCTTCGAGTGTGAATGTGCTAGATAGGCTCGACTGTAATGGGGGCAAGTGCAAGATGTGAGACTCGCTTCCACGTATTGGCCATAGACTATTTCACGGAGCAGAGATGAGAATATGGGTTTGGGTCTTAGACAAATGGATATCTGTTCTTATGTCAGCATGCCACTTTACAGGAAAGATTTGACTTTCCACATGAAAAGATAGCCCCCATGTTTACCAGCTAAACTCTGCATGGAAGCTCGCTCTAATATGTATTTCTTGTTCTACCCGAGGAATAATCCGCCTCTGTCTACCCACTGCCGAAACCGCCTCTTCTACTATTTTAAGGCGCAGCTCAACGTACTCCGACGGCAATCAAGCTACTAAATTGCTCCCAAAGTAAGTTCGAATATGTCTCTCTGGGCTTCTTGATGACATTGATCTTCTTCAGCAACCGCGCACCCCACGCACCCTCTTTCGCCATCTTTTATTTAAGCTATTTAGCCAAATAAAGTTCTTCTAAAACTTTAGGGAACAGCTGTTTGCCATTCTTGCTTATAGCGATGGTGATACTCCAGGTTAATTTATGAAAGTTGGGGTTACTTCTATAAACAATGGATTGATTTAGGAGAAACCTCTCTTACGCTTCTTTGAAAAGCTTTGGTTTTATGTTTCCACGTTCCACCTTATTCTTACATCTTCGGCTTTGGAGAGGCTACGTGTTGAAGAAAATTTAAGAACAGCTGATAACAGCTCGGCAGATTAGCAGCCTGAAAAATGAGGCCACTCGATGTGCAGCCTGTATCCATTGCAAAATCATACAAGCCTTCACAAGAGTTACAAGACAAACAAAATCCAGACCCTGCCAGCGAGGTTTGGATGCCAAAGAAAAGCCAAAGAATCAGACTACTGAACTTGTCGTTTACAAGGTTTCCAAAATACTAAAACAAACTAAGAATCCAAATTAAGAATTCGTCCGATGTCTGGTGTAGGTGAGGATTGGTGGCTAGATTCTCTCGCGAAATACGTTATCCAGGCTCTGACTGCTTTGACTGCTCGGCCATGTTAGAAACTCATCTCAACTAGTCTCATTTCTCATAGCGTCCGAGTTGGGGGACGTCAGTTCTTCGAACCTCATTCGGTAGATTGCTCTCATACTTCGTCTCTGCTTGATCATTGGACCGCGAAGTGCCTCCATGTTTTTCCTTTCTTCTTCCAAATTACTGAGTTGGGTAGCCATATCCTCATCAAGGTTTAGTGTCTTGCGCAATTCCTCTCTCTTCGCCTTCTGAGCCTCCCAATCTTTCATGACAGCAAACGCCTCGGCCTTCGCCCCAAACCCAATTAGATTCTTCTGTTTTTGAAACTCGACGGCCTCAGCGTTCTGCTCGAGTGCGCTGGATGCCTCGTCTAAGTCGTTGATTTCTTTCGTGACTGCTTCCTCCTCATCCATAAGCTTTTCCCGGAGAAGCCTCTGCAGTCCTTCCTTAAGAGATTCTTCGGCTTTTCGCTTTCTACTATTAGGGGGTGCACTTGAGCGGGGAGTAGGCTGCTGTTGATGCGGATCGGAGGTCTGGATTCCGCTGCTAGCATCGACAGGAGGTGGGGTTTGTTGATTTTCGGTTGAGACTTGGATTCCGTTACTGGCACTGGTGGAAATGGGCTTCTGTTGATGCGGATTTGAAGCTTGGTTTCTATTACTAAAATTACTGGCTCTGGCGGGACTGGAGCCCTGTATGGAAGCAGGCTGGGCCTGGGGTTTATTGCTGCGGTTTTCCTGAAAGGATTGCATGAGCTCGGCAAGTTCGCTCTCCGAGACCTCGGTATTTGCGGCAGATCTTTCTGGGCTCTTGTCACGTATAGCAGAGCTTGGTTCCTCTGATCGGACAACAACAATGGAGTCTTCGGTTCCATTCGAACCTTGATCCTGGTGATTTGGTAGACCCTGCTGCTCTACTTCGTATACTACCCGTAAGCTTGGAAGAAGTCGTTTTGTGAAGTCTGTAAAGTCTCCTCCTACGCCATCCTCCACGACCTCTTCAGCCAAGAAAATGTACTTGAGCAAATAACCGAAGTTATGGATTTTCCCCCGACTATTCTGACCAGGGAGTCGCTTAAACGGTCGGACCAGATATTCCTCAAATTCGGAGAGCTCGATGAGAGGGAGAGTAACGGGACTTCCCTGGCCCCGGGTATGGCGAAAGAGACGCATTTCCCATTGAGCTTTGTCGCTTTTCCGAACCAAACACGCCAGAATCTCCTCGGATGACGTTCGGCCAATTAGGATACTTCGACGGGTTGAGATCTTGTTCCCTAGAGATATCCTTCCTCGCCACTCTAGGCGTCGCGGGAAAGCTTCAAGAAGGTGGAGCTCATCGTGCTCGCGGAGCCAATCGTGTATGTAGTGAACGAGAGGCGAGCTTGAATTGTACCCAAAACTTAGAACAGGTGAAGGAGGCATTGCTTAATTGTATGTTGGTCAGGTTTCTTTGTGTAGCTACATCGAAGAGCTCGACCTAAGGATATCCAAAAATTGCGATGGCTGGGTCGAGGATCAGCAAAGTCTAGCCGCACTATGACAAATTAGGCAGGGATAAGCGAACCCAACCTTTCTTTTGTTGAGCCACACGTCGTTCGAGCATGATACAAAACAAGTCACGATAATCGCATAATATATACATTCACTATTCGGGACGCCGAAATCAAATATTTTGCATTAAATTGGCCTTACAGTCTGCATATTCAATTAGGAGAAAGACCATGATAATTGGGGACTTGGTTAACGCACATCATCTGGTGCGCAACCTTCGCCACAAACCCGCCATTAACCACGGTAATACCCTCTGCTCTGTATATAACTAACTTATACTCGAATCATGAGCTTTCCATGTAGCGCCCGTCTACTACGTGTTCCTCTGTCCCTGTAGGGCATAAAACCACTTGTAGCAGCTTGCCTTGACATCATCGCCTAATACTATCATATTATATGGACTGTGGTTGCTGAGCACCACAATCTCCGGCTCGGCCTTCTTCACAATACCCGGGTTTTCTGCCTGAATGCGCTTGATCGCAGCGACGGATGTCTGAGTTCACTTGGCGGTCGGAAATTTCCTCGCCTAATTTGGTACTATAGCAGATGAGGCTTAAGCCAGGGACGGGCATTGGAGGCAGGAAATATGGCGTGTCTTGACCGAGATTGTTGACAGTTAGGTCTGTGGGCAACCCGTATTCTTGACGACACTCGTCCAGTATCCTGCGTTCGTAAACTTCTTGAATAAGGCGCGTTCGGTTGCGCTGAGATCGAAAGAATCGAGGGCTTCGGGTTTTGGCTGGATAGTGATCAGAAGCTTCTTCGCAATGATGAGTTTTGTGCTGCTTGGAGTCTTGACGCAAATCCTGACAGGGGAGTTTCCATTTCCTTGGCCCAGCTGTTGAACGTCTGAGGAGAGTAGAAGAGAGTTGCTGCCTAGCAGCTTGATCTCGCCCTTATTGTACAGCTCGTTTTTGTTGTGGCGTATAGTCATCAACAATCCCGTCTGGAGACTCTGCATCAGGCTTAATCCGATAGCCTTCATAACCTGCAACGTTGGGATAGATAGAATATCACCCAGAGTAGAAGTAAGCAGGGAAATTTGGTAAACAGCAGGCTCGATATGATACTTTGTGATAAAGCCGCCAAACGGTAAGTGAAGATCCTCGGGCACGAGTTCCAGCAGAAAGAACGCGTCATTAAGAGTCGGATACTTGAGCAGCTGCTGTGTATAGGCGCCAAAAGTATTTTCAGAGCAGCTGGATCAATAGTCGGAAGACCTGTAATCTGCTTGCTAGTACGAAAGTTGATATTCAGCTGCGGAGTTGGTGGAAAAGCGAATTTCGTGAGTCTAAGACGGAATAATGTGAAGAAGTTGCGTACGAGGTCATTGGCCGTGGAACACAATTACGCCAATATCGATGGGTATTCTAGTGGTGGGGTCAATTTAGGTTTCGGTATGCCCGCCATTGCAATTCTTATACGAAGGTTAAGAAAGACCTGGCGCTCAAAATGGACATGGATTACTTTCTGCTCAATGACGATGATGCTCTTACCCTGGTCTTTGAGCCGATTCGCTGCGTACATGCTGGTAGCGCCCCCTCCGGCCACCGCGATGTCTTTTCGAATGATGTCGTCGGTCTAAAGTGGTTGGTTTCGAGATTTGGTTCCGCATTTGATGAAGCAACAAAGGAACTGATTGCACCTACTTCCAGGAATGCAGATAAGTGAAGAAGGAAATACTTGTTAGATAAATACTTAAGAGGATGAATTGTGATTGGAGAATATAAAATGAGGAGGGGAGTAGGGGATATCTTCTCAGCCGTGACGCTCACGTGTGGAGGCGGTTGAGGAGTGCAAGGAGAACCTTCAGTCCCTACTACCCTGGGGCACATGAATTCATGCCTAGAATGCGCCGTTCACTGGAAGAGGTAACATGTCATCGATGGGCAAAGGAGTTAGATTCACCTCGGCATGCTTTAGGAGGTGGCAGGCAGACATGCCACAGAACGTGAAGGCGCTTGGAAAGATGAGTATCGCGATCTTGATTGGTTAGGAAGTGATGTAAATCTTGCGGAGTAGGTGGCTGGTTTTCAGAATCAAAATTAGTGAAATTGAACATAGTATTGGGTTGCCTGAGAACGACGATACATCGGTGCCTAGTATGTAGATCATCTGTCTTTTCAGGTCCTGTGGCCGGTAGTGATGGTATGAAACAATTAGGGGCTGTGAACTGAACCTCAGCTCGCGCAACTAAACATGCTCCCTTTTAGCTCCATATGTATGTTTGTTTGATTTGTTGTTGCTTGTGAAGGCGTTTGGTGTTGACAGATAATTTTTTTTGTTTATTTAGCTATGGGCTTTGAGAATTTGCTAAGCGTGTGTCATACAACCTTAAAAGCAAAGAAGAAAGTAGACATTCAGATTTATTAGACCCCGTGCATTCGTCTCCCCGCCAGCTCTCCTTGCTAAGGTCCTTCTCTTCCTGGCCTTTAATACAGTGTGCTTGGGGGTATCTGTTCCGTAACTGGTCTATTGTAGTACCCGGGCATAGGCGGATATCCTTGAGGTGGTGTAACTTTAGGATATCGATAGGCGTGTGCATTAAACAACTCCTTCTGACCAGTAGGCGCGGCAGGAGGAGGCACGCCTGGAGATTGATGTCATTTTCCTCGACGACAAAAGACCAGACAGAGTAGTGCTACAGCAGAGATCACGGCCAATGGCCCGGCCACTGCGCTTGCGAACCAAACTTTTGGGCGTAAATATTGCTGGGCGACAGTTGTGGTAAATGGAGCACAGGCCTGGTGGCATAGTCGATGATAAAGGACTAGAAATTTGCTGACATAAGGATCCAGGTGCGGCCGTAATAGCCGCAAAGCCTGTCTGGATTGGGCTGACTTTTGAGGTCGACGCCAAATGCGAGTTTCTGGCTGGGTTGTTCACAACGAAGGCAGTATCCACAACAAAATATTGCATCATTAGTCCCGACATCCATATGGTGGGTTTGAAGTAGCAGTTGTTATACCCGTGTTTCATGAAGGCCTTGTAAGACACGCCTGCACATGTGGACATATACGTCGCGTATTGACCAATACAGTCTTTGAAGGATACAGAATGGGTACGAATCGAGTCAATGTAAGTAGGCTTGGCTGCAGGAGGTATCAAAATCCACCCCTTTGGATGAATATCCGTTGTGCAAGGTACCACAGTCTTCTTCAACATCGGTAGGACACCCTGCCACTGCACTATGATAATGCCTTGATTCTGGAGTCTCTCTGTGTCCGCACTCTTGAGCCAACAATTTTCATTTGCGGAATCAAAGGCGACGCATGGTGGATGGAATGATGCACACTTGTCGATGCATTGGAGGAGGCAATCTGCAGGGACCCTCGTCTTATCTGCAAACGGCCGGTTAATGCCGCATGCAATGTCAAACTTTCGAGACGTTCTAGTTTGTGGTTGGGACAACGAGAGCGATCGTTTGCGCGCGCTATTAGATTCTTGTAGACGCTATCAGTGACTGAGAAGGCCCCGAGGTATGTGAAAGCGAGATTACTTACGTTTAGTTGTCATGGTAATTCAGATTTCCGTCGACGCGGCAGTCTATTGTGACAGTACGAAGCTGGACGTTAAGTAGACGGACGGTTTTCGCAACTGGAAAACGGAGTTGGTGGTGCAGATTGCAATAGCTTGTTGACGGGGCGGCCCAGACCATGGGGATACGTTCTGATTGAGCGCTACAGCCTCGCTGTCAGTGTGATTGTTTCGTGTGGAACATCCTGTTCGGTTGCCGGATTTATCAAATCTGCTTTGATATGCTTAACGGTAGATTCAGGACCAATAAAATCCAAGAGTTACCGAAAACCTGGCGCATTTCCTCGTGATCATTCGAGATGTTTTGGATGTCGACCGAGGTAAACAATAACGCCAAAATGCCTGATGGATATTGATACGACTTGGGGGGGGAAGCTATATGATAGGAGGGTGAGGGAAATCCAAATCACAAATGGAAATGCGTGTCTGACTAAGAGTCGGATTGGAACAACATTGGGAACGTTTCAATTCTGTTGGCCCTTGCACCTTTGTTGTTGTGCCCACTTCTCAAACTTATCTTTCCTCCACCCGCTGCTCCACGTTCGTGTCTGTTTCTTGCCGTCCACAACGACGTCTTGAGGGTCAATCGGACCACCTAGCCTCATACTGCTGCTTAAATGGCATTTTGTAGATGGGTTTTCATTGTAGTTTGGCGTCGGTAAAGAGGAGTACGAAAATTGCACGCAGTGGTCGTTGTTGTAGCATGAATCGCGGCAAGCCTCCCAGGAGTCTTCCCCACTGCTTGCTTTCCCGTCCTCGTCACGGTGTATATGTCGATGCGTGCGCTCGGCGGCTTGCTTGTGGTGTTGGGTCCCCTCGAACAGAATGTTCCATTTCGCATTCTCCGGTCCAGATGACAAATTGTCCCAATTGTCCCGGGCGTTCAACATATCCTCTGGCTGGATGAAACTCTTCCACAACACTTCGAACGTCATTGGTTCGCGTACGTGATTATACTCCTCTCGGTCTCGTTCGAGACGCCATATGTCGCTAGCGAGTTCAGCGGGAACAGAGTGCAGAGCAATGACAGGCTCGCACCACATCCCGGGGCCGTAAGGGATGGTGCCGGGATGAAGACCCGAAATCCCCCTTGTAAAGGAGCTGTTGAGACTGAGGCTGATTTCCGAGGACAGGGCCGAGGAGAGGACTTCAAATCCAGAAGCGTGGTTAGCGATGCGTGAGTCCCAGTCTGGAACTACCATCTCGCGCTCCACAAGGAGCTCCTGCATGGCCTTGAGGGAAAGCACAAACATGGTACCTCCGAGCGCAAACGGGGCAAAAGAAGTCTTATCGGGAGGATTTCCAAGGAAATATGGTTCAGTAGCATCATAATGCCCCAACCACGACATGAGATTGGACCTGAATAGGTATGTGTCTGTGTCGACAAACACATACCAGCTCCTGTCTGGCCTGAGTTCCCATGTTTTCCCAACCATCCGCAACCACTTATATTTATCCAGCTTGTCCCTGATCTCCATCTCCTTCTGTGGGTCCACCTCCTGCAAAGTTCTCAGTTCTCTACCTGCGCGGGCGAAATCGATTTGTTGGTGGTAGCGATAAAAGTCTTCGCTCGATTCCACAATGTGGGTATTAAATTTGTTTAGCACATCCTCGACATGAAAAGCACCAATATCCATCTCAAGGTCGCTCATTAAGAGAAGTGTGTCGTGATATATCGGCTTTGTGAGGACGAGCATGGGGGGCAGTTTCGAGTAGGCATCAGTAGCAGTCGTCTTGATGGACACGACGACCTGATCGATAGGCACGCTATGAGGGCTATGGGACGTGGATAGTTTTCGGTGCTGGCCATCTGGAGGGAGTTCGTCGTCGTCATATTCGCGAGGGAAGCCGCTGATCCAACAGAAGGCATAGAAGGCGGCCGCGAAGGCGATGACGCGGGGAATGAGATGGATACGAGCTTTGCGGGTCGAGAGCATTATTATGGTGGGTTATTTTGAGGCATCTGGATGTTTGTATCAGGCGTAAAGATTGGTGAGCACTCGAATTGCGCTCGTCGATTTGCGGGGTAGAGAAAGGGAATCGAGCGTCTCGAGGATGGTGTCAGGGGAAAGCTGAGCCCCTGGAATTGGTGCGACCATGTCCGGGTGCGCAGCAAGGAATACGCGAACTCGACGGGGCCATGGCCATGGTTATGGCCAAAATATTGAGAACACTGTCAAAACAGGAAAACATTCCCAGGAAAGATGGAGTTTAGACGGACAAGTCCTGCGTGCACAACACAATCGAAGGTCATTAAATTTGATGTCCTTGGACGATCCGCCTTGGCAGCGACACAGTGGTTGACGCGATTCAGCCACGGCGCGGCATCCCGAACGAAGGGTGCGGAACAGTCTCTTTCCTTGAGCGACCTCGATCCGCTTCTCAACACCTACATCCCTATCTTCAGCCTTGTGTCGTGAAGCCTGAATATTCTCTTCTTGACCAGCTAATCATCTTGCGCATCATACACACCTCCCATCCATCCCTTGATTTGACCCTGGCCATGGAATGAGCGATGCCTTGGAAGCCTTCAGGCCTGATTCACACCCGACTCATTGTCCTGTTCTGGGAAATGGCGATTCAATCTGCATTCCCTGAGAGGTTTCAATATCTCTACCCAGACCGAAGGCCAAGCTTTTCCCTTTCCGGTGCAGATGTTGCGAAGCATGTCATCAACGCTAACGACGTGGCGAAGTGATCTTCAAAGCTTAGCCACAACCTCCAAATCCCAGCGGGAAGCCTTGCTGAGATGGCCCTCAGCTGTGGGAATCGTCCCTTAATTCGTTAAAGTGCGCAGACACGTCTTTCCAGGATGCAGAGCAGACTCCTGCTTAAAAGCCAGCATCGGTTGCATGCTAAGGAGTTCATCTAGATCTTGCCCTCGCTACATTAACACTGCATTGGGAATCCTACGCCTCCATTGTCGACCTCCGCCCAGGTACTTTGTACCCAAACATGACAGGAGTGGTTACGAGCAATCGATGTGGAACCTGTCGTAAGCGAAAGGTCAAGGTGCCATCGCCCACACCTCTCGATACGGATTGAGAAATAACCGTTTCAGTGTGATGAAGCTAAGCCTGTCTGCGGGTATGTCTTGTAAATGCATGGTGAGAAACGTTGAATGCAGCTAAATTTTGTAAAGACCGTGTCGGAAAGGCAACCGAGAGTGCGAAGAGCCAATTTCGAAGCTGAAGTTCACTCGGCCTAAGGAAATCCCCATCAATCTTGTTTTCAGACCTCCCGCAGACAAACCTCGCCCTGTTTTAGATCCTTGTAGCCACGTTGCTGTTGTTAAACTGTCGTCCACGGAGGATGGCGGATCATTCTCAACGCTGCGCGTCGCTCGTACTAGAAGGAAGGCGATTCAGCGGCACCAGCAAGATGGTGACTGCTGGCCTCTGGCAATGGCTCAGGACCCTCCACTTTCTCCCACTGAATCGCTTCAGCTCATCCTAATAGAATCATTCGGTTCTACTCAACCTGGCCTCAGTCTTGCATGTGCTGTGGAATGCATATCTAGTATTCCTCGGCGGCTTGGCCACTCTACCCCTTTAGATGACGCGGTTACTTGCTTGATCGAGCGGCGATCATGTTTGGCCCGGAAAGAGTACATGCCCAGCCAGTTCCAATCAAAGCTCTATGTCAGGGCAATACGCAGCCTGCGGGCCGCTATCGCAGATCCTGTTGAAGGGTATTCAGACAACACACTGTGCGCTGTCATCCTTTTAGGTCAAGTCGAAGTCCTGGGGGGCGGTAACTCTGAAGGACACAATTATGTGGCGCATGCGGGAGGCGCATCGAAATTGATACAGCTGCGAGGTCCTAGTCGCCACCAGTCTTGCTTCTCCCGACTTCTCCTCGCAGATCAGAGAGGGGCAACGGCAAGTTTACCCGGTCTTTGTAGAGTTCAAAGTTGAGTACTGACGAATGTAGATTATGAGCTCTGTAATCAGCGGAGAGGACTGCTTCTTGAATTCACCGTCCTGGTCGGCAATCCAGTTTTCGGACCTGCACTGCTTGTCTGACCAGGTAGAGGACGATCTCGAACGTCAGCTAGCTGCTTTGCCTTCGTTTCTCAAGAAACTGCGACAAGAAAATCAATCGCCTGGCTCGCGCAACCGTGCCGATCTCCTTCGAGAGGCACAGAAACTACGACGAGCCCTGCAAATGCCCTCGGAATTTGTCATTGCAGCTTTCGAGAATGGTGTCGATGTTATTGAAGTACCCTCGATACGTGGCGACCGACTTGTCCCTGTTGTGTACGAATACTCATCGCGGGCACTAGCCAATGCCTGTGTTATGTACTGGGCAAGCCTCCTCATGCTCGACACCATTATCGCTCAGCTACTCCCCCTAACGTCTCCCCAAACCACTATCCAAGCTCTTCGTAACCAATGCGATTGTGCTAGGCAGAAGATTCTGATGTCATATGAATATGCCGAGCGCTTTAAACCGTTGGGATCGATGTTTATCGCCTGGCCGCTAATCATGTCTTGGAAAGACGCTTCGCCAGATGAGAGGGAGTGGATTTTCAGTGGACTTGCGACGCTGGGTGAACATTGCTATGCTACAAGGAGGGGGTGGAGCGAGATCGGCTTAGTGTATTCGACGAAATACTTCTTCGGATAGCCGATTGAGGCGCCTAGGTGTGCATATAGGAAGCTGACGCTAGAAACAAGCAAGGATGCACTTTACAACGAGAATGATTGCTAATGGGCTACTGACGGATGGCACTACCCTGACGGGTGAAGCTGTTTTGGTAAAATTGGCGACTATTTTCGCCATCTTTTACCATGTTTGTCGGCGGATTGCTGGCAATCCATGACATAAAAGCAAGCGTCTTCATTCTGAGGTCTATCATTGGTGTCGTAATTCTCGGTGCACTCTGTTTGGTATGTTTGTAAATGAATAATCGCTCCAAACATGGCTTTGACGTGGCGCTCTTCCTGACCTCATCTACTCCTCTAAGAACAATTATTTGATGCTTCATTCCCTTCTTGTTTCCGTCTCTCACATGACGAACGTTATCTTCTATCTTGATTATGCATAGTGCAAAACTTTATCTTATCAACCAACTTGATCTCTCGCGTAAACAGCCCTTTTCTAGGTTATGATTGTACTGGATATTGCCGGCCCTTCCCCTTTAGATATGGCGACATCTTTTCCCCTATAACCGTACCATCCGGTGCTCTTCCTATCGAGGGCCGTTCGAATTAGTGGATATGCTCTGTGAGGAATGGAGTAATAGAGTAAAACGGGAAGGCAAGCGGCTCGAGGGTAGGCTCATTGGGGGGGACCTGCTTTGTTATTCCATCATATCGCGTCGCCCGACACGCATCCGAGAGGCGACAGTCTATTTCAGATGGTTTTCGATACGCCGATTTGTCCAGCGGAGAAGAGAAGGAAGAAAAGCAGGTTGCTCGGAGGTGTGAAGGGGTAGCTTCCTGTTATCCTGTCCGTGCTATCGCATCGCATCGCCCATCATTCATCTAGGTGATGGCCTTTTGCTTGGGAATATGTCCAAAATCGCGGAGTCCGAGGAGAGGATTGCAGGTAGTAAAAAATCTGCACCGCGGTAGGATAGGAACGCGAAAGGCGAGAGTGAAGGTAATCGCACTGTAGTGTTCATATGCAATGATGCTCTACCAATTCGAGAGATAGCAGGCTCTTGTGCCAGACTTCTGTGGTGTTTGCATGAATGTTTGTTTGCTCTCATTCACTTGATACAAACAGCGTATTGTACGAATGGATAGACTGATGATGATATTATTGGCTACAGTCCTTCTGACTTGGTCTACGGTTTTGATTACTTTGAATCTATCTTTTGAATTTGATCTTCACTCTCTCATCCTCTGCTGCATTCTTCGATATCAGAAATTTAGCGCACCCATTGCCCCTTCACTCCGGAACTTGACTTAGTCATATGGATAAAATTTACTCTAGGCATGCTTGAAGAAGACGAAGCCGAAGTCACAGGGTTCAATGGGCCATGGAAGAGGGGGCAGAGGAAATCGTCGTCAGGGTCGAAAGAGATGGAGGGGTTTCGCAGAAGCTGCGAAGCGTTTACAAATGTGGTCAGTGCAGGAAAAGGCACTGGAGATAGATTGGATTATGGTGTGTTTAAATTCGCTATTGAATACTAGCGGACTGCATAGAGTCTAGAGAAGAATTCTTGCCGAGGGTAATTAGCAGGGTAGGTCTTTATTGCTGTTCGTTATCTCGTCGTCTACGTCTTGATAAAGGAGAGGATGGACTTGCTGCTCTCCACTGTCCACTGCTTATTGTGAGGAGCTCACTAAATGGCGGCACTTCTGTTCCCAAAACCTTTTGCACAGTCAGTGCCTGTCACCTGCTCAGGCGAATGTGCACAAGAAACGGAAATTGAGTGGGGCAGGCAGCCCAACGATTTCCTGCTTTGTTAAAGTGAAAACCTAACCCTTCGGCGAAAAATACCTCTCCATGATGACAAATTCTTTAGGCCGTCCTTCTCTGCACTTCTGACGGCGGCCGATCACATCAATCCTGCCTCCGTTTCCGCACACGTAACACTTCTCCTACGCGAAGGTGCTCAGTAAGAACTAGCTTGGTGTCAAGCTAAGACGCCGTCTCTCCTGCAAGACTTCCTTTACAGTCGAACAAAGAACAATCCATCTCTACACGCGTTGTCCAGCAGATAAACTCCCAATCTAGGCATGTCCCCGGAACAGCCCTACTCACACGAGCCAGGACTCCTGTCGCTTTGCCATTACCAAAAACCTGCGGACGACGGATTCAAACGTCTGATGCAACTGATCGACTGAAGGCCTTGGCGTCAAAGCACAGCATCGATACTAGCCAATTATTCAGAGATCTGCGCGCATAGAACCAATGACGTCCAAAGCCCACAGCAAACTTTGTGGAGCGATAGCGAGTCACCAAGGACAACCAGGAGATCTCATAGATATTGGAAATTTGAGCTATTTGCGACATATATAAGCTGGGAGTCAATATGCAAGAGGGGGGCGTGATGAAAGCGCACAGCGTGGCCAACAGTCCGTAGTACGTAACGTAACTACGTGAACGTAGTAATCACGTGAGGAGTACAAAAGTAGTTAAAATGTGAGACGTAACTTTTATACAGTGAATTGCCAAGTACGTCCTGTAGTACAGGTTAGAGAGGTCATATTTTAGGAGATTTCCCTCCTGTTTTTAGACCCTATTAGCCACTGCGTTAGAAGCTTTGTTTAAGGTCGCGTTTTAAAGTAATAATTATAAAAATAGTTAACTTTTGCCCTAGAAAAGCTTCTTATTTTATACCTGCCTATTTGCTAACCTATTGCCTATCTTATTAATTGTTATAATAAGCTAGATGTCTTAATTCCTCTATTACAGCAGGCGTACAGCCTTATCCTAATCCTCCTGCTTATTAGAGTCGTCCTAACAAGCTAGAGACAGAGGGCAATAAGAAGGAGGAGGGGACTTTATCTAGGCTAAAAAGCTTCTCCTAGAACAATTTTAACCTAGACTAACAAAACTTCTTGCAAAAAGTACAAAAGTATAAGGATTTTAAGAAGTTACTATTATGTTACGTACTTGCTAATTAATTCACTGCTTATGTACAAAAGTACTACTAAATTAAGAAGTTACTGGCAGAAAAAAGCTCAAACGTAACGTACTACGTACTGTTGGCCACGCTGAAAGCGCACTGGATTTAATGGCACATCGAGTTCAGAGTCTACGAGTGGAAAGTCACCTTGAGGACGCACCTAAGTAATAGAACAGGTAGTCAGCGTAGTAGTTGGGCCTCTGAGGCTGCTGGTCTGCGGATGGTTTTGAAAATTGAGAAAAGGTATGTTTACATCATCCTTCAGCTAAACTGACTTACAGATATTGAATGTTCTAGATATCTATTTGCAGCAGTCACGCATGGCCCACACGATAGTCACATGTTGCCAAGACTTAACCCTTTTCTTGCATATATAGACCTTGAGGTACACTCCCTTCGCAATAAACTCAGCTCTCCATCTCTGCGGCTATCAAAAGCTTCTCTAAAAGCTTCACGTTATCACACATCGGGGATGGGGGATAGTAGACTTCAGAAATCTCGCATGAGTCTAAGGACAGCAGATACTCTCGTGTTTATTGCCGTGTTTCAATAGAGGAGCTGCTGGAATAAAAGTAGAGTGGCAGATCTAGATACCATGCAACATTACTCTCCTTGAAATGGTCGGGTGACACATTTATCCCCGTGATTGCCCAAGCCATAATTGGTACAACTAAGTGGTTGTAATTATTAACCTGGAGGTATACAATCACGATCTTCACTCATAATATTTTAGAGGCAAAAGTTCGGATCATGCCTCATTGTCAGTAGGTATTTTAATCCGGACGAAGTGCTTGGGAAGTTGGTCTTAAGACTTAGGATGCAACACCATAGAGTAGCTGAGAGATATCCTGATGATTTATCCTATCAAGTTTTCAAAATATCATTATCAGGATCTGGCTGTGTTTCTAATCCCAACAACCCCGAAACAAATACCAACAACACGCCAAATTCATGATCTTTCCATCGCAACCTTTCAAACTCCGAGACGGACAGTAGAATGGATATGAATCCGAAAGGCGCTAATTGTAGAACACAATGCAGATATATGAGGTATACATGTGCTCTTGTACCGCCCCTCCCGGGGTAGCGAGTCACCCATCATTCCGAGACGCATCTGAGGGCTAGTATCTTAAGTCTTTTCTTTTTAAGTCTATCGAGTTATAGATAATATATTATTACGTTTAGATATGTCTTCTTAGAAACCAATCTGTAGCGGGAAAAATACGGCAGTATTGGTCATGCTGCTAGTCATTCTTTTCATAGTATCTAGATACGCTTTAGCTCTGCACCCCCGCTCTATTACAGCCTTTAAATATATCTTTATATTTCAGAGAATTAATATATAGGTGAAGAGAGACCGTACTAAGCTTTGGAGGCCCTTGGCTTCTAATAACATGCACTCTATGCTTCTCCAAGAGAAGGAGTATATTGTGGCTCTTAGCATAAAGAATTTGTGCGCTTATGTAGGTATGTACTGTATTCTATACTAATAAACTTTAACTGTGGTGTTCTTCTTAAAAGCTTTAATGACTATCACTTGATGTCTATTTTTACAGTGAGGCTGCGCCATTCATTGTTGTGTAGAGTAACATTGTTATTGTCTGGTCATATTACCACCACATTCGCTATTATGGACCCAGCTAGGCCTCTACTCAACCAAGCCAACTTTCTGCTGACGCCTACAGAATTCGCCACTTTACAACCTGATGGCCAGAGCGGGTCGGCCGCCCTCCCTACTAGCGTCATTGAGGTGTTCATCTGCGTCCAATAACACCTAGACACTGAGCATGGCAAATCCCTAAAGAAGTGGTTCTATTATTTATCATCTTATCACTGATATGGAGCTTTTCCCAAGCTTCACAGTTGTAAATTACATTACTACATATACATGCTTATCCCAACTATCCACGAAATAGAACTACAAAGAAAAAAGACAAGGAAATAATTATTGCCTTAGTAGAAACTTTCTAACTTAAGTTCTCTTGTCCAGCTCACATTGCACATCTATAGCTTTCTAGATCCAATGTCGATTCTGATTGTTTTCGATAACACGGCCGATACCCTGACTCCCTGAGGGTAGCCCCACTAGGTTCTCCAAAGTACTTGTTATCCAAGCTCCCTCTAAGCTCGAAGCCACGCCTTGATATATAGGATTTTAAGGATTCCGTGAAACTATGCATTATATTTGAAACTAATGATGCATTAGACGCATTAATAACGAGAGCGCCAATTTGAGTGTGGCGATAAAAACCATTAGCAGTAAATGATATACAAAAGAGTGCTTTGCTGATACTGAGGGTCTGCAGGCACTCGCCACTGTTTGCATCCTAGACACGAGCCGGGTTGATCGTAGGGTAAAGTCATCGATTTGTCCTCACTAAAACACGCAGGAATGCGGTTAAGATAGTACTAGACATACTGTATGATAAGGTGCTCTAGCCACTTGTGAGCTATGTACATTTATGTACATTTATAAAGTAGCTCCAAACGTAGCGCCTCCCAATGAGAAGGCAATCCAGACAGCCGCGAGGACCCCAAGCTTAGGGGGACAGAACCTGAATCTAGTTAGCTAACATGGGACAAGTATGCGCATGGGTACGTACTCTTCCGAACTGAGACCAACAAATCCACCCCAAAAGAGCCATTGCGCAACCCAAAGAAGGGGCATGCTTATGGTCGTGACCGCATATAGATTCGCAAATGCTTTCCGGGAAACTCGGCTATTTTGGCTTTGAACAGGGAGAGTCCCATACACCGTGTAATTTCCCCTCTCGCTACTGATCAAAAATGTTTCTTCTGAATCCCTACTCTTGTCCTCCCAATAATGTACCCAATTCTTCTCCCCTAACCATGAGAAATGCTCATTCAACTGGGCCATCACCTTCTCCGCAATGTTAGATATTGTCTGCTTGCTTCTCTGCCGCTTTAGCAAATCAAAGCTTCCAGATCCAGTCACCCTATTCATCTTGCGTGTAGCTTGCAAAAACCGAACGAACGCCACGCTAATGGTGATAAGCCACAGGAGTGCTCCAGCATACATGATTTTTGCCGATCTTCCTCTCTCTGCGCTTTCCAACCCTCCAAGGTAGAAGTTGTGTTCTCGGCCATAATTGACGGTTATAATCATGTAATATGATGAAAAACCCTGGAGGATCATTTCTACAAAGAAAGAAGACGCGGCTGTGGAGAAATCTATTGCTTCAAAGGGTTGTAAACCAATCAGCAAAGTCGCTAGCCAAGCAAGCCGAGGCATTGAGCACCAGAGGAGCATCAGCTGAATAACCGGAACGTCCTCATAACCAAGGGTTTTCTGGACAAGAAACGCATTGAACCAGTTTGCAAGCAGTTGGAGAACTGCAATTAAAATCCCTCTGGAAAACCAACACCATTGGTGCGGTTGCCATAGAAAGCCGCGTACGATTCGACGTATTCCAGTTCTCTGACTAAGAAATGCAGCAAGAAAAGTAGCCATATTGACTAGAGCAAAGGTTCCGAGCTTCCACCTATTTGAGGGACATTTTTCTGTTGCCTTGATAGATCCCAAACGGATGATAGGGGGAGTGTTTGACTCGTTGGATGGTTTGATAGTCCATCGCCATGGAATCATGTCGAGGGGGGTAGGTGCAGCTAACTGGCGCCAATTATCTGGCAGACCGTGCCAGTCCCGCATACTGCCACAAAGATCGTGGAGCCACTTTACGAAGTCTATTCGGGTCTCGAAAATCTGGCATGAACCTCCACAGGAATCGTAGCTAATGTTTCGGCAGAAGCAATCCCTGTCTACTGAGCGCTTGAGCACCTTGCAGTAGCCGCTAGAGTCGAGCTCACAAGCATCGGTTGCACATTGGTCGGTAAGCTCGGTCACCTGCTTCGGCATATCTGTGACACACATGGGCCAGTGCCAGTCTTCGGTGGGGATATACGCGAATTCTGTCGTTTTGAGTTTGTCCGTCCAGTTTTTAGGTAGTGATTTCGGCCCACAAGTGGCATTCATCCATAGCCGCTCCCTCGTGGAGTCTATCTGCTCCGGCCCTGAACAGGGGTCCTGTTTCGGATCCATGGTGAAGGTGCTGCAGAAGCATCCTTTATCAAAGTATTCGCCATATCCGATGCTACGCCGGGTGAGATTGTAACCTACAGTTTCGAAACCTAGAGCGGTCATGGACAGTAGGGATTCATTATATTCCCAAGGACGAGCAGCGTTTCCGGTATGTTGGGTAGTGCTCGTGAAGCTACAAGAGGCCATTACATGCTGAAATCGCTCCATCGATAGAGCAGAAATCGAGCTCGTTAGGCATGTTGGTGCCTTGTGAATCACGCTGACGGCCGCATATCCTTCAGTCAGGGAGGCCGGGGAGAGATTTTCCAGCCCGTTCGTGTCGCCGACATCGACAAGCCACGTTCGGCCGGTAACGTTACGAATCCACTGATACAACTGCGCTTTGGCGAGTACTGATCTACCACAGTACGGGAAATAACCTTTGATAACATCAGAGGAGAATCCGGTGCTGAGACAGCTGAGCTGAGTCAACCATTGGTGGTGGGTGCAGATGAATCCAAAGTGCGAGGTGCATAGTTTGCCGGTACATTTCGTCATGGCACTCAACCAGGTGGATTGATCCTGTTGTGCGATGCACTGTGGCATAGGAGCCAAGTCTTCAGGATTGACCCAGCCATTGTAATTGTTTTGGGGGGTCAAGATACGGCCACCCCCGCTAGGGTTAACGCTAGCGGTATTTGGCACTACTTTAGTACTCATGTTACCGTCAATAACAATAAAGTTATTAGGAGGAAATACCTGTCGCAGTTACCCCGTAAACCCTGGCGGTCAACAGCACAAGGCATGTACTGGATATTTTCATCCTTCTAACGGCGTCAAGGCGCCTTGCGCTTCAAAGTAGGGTAAAAGGATAGTCGCTGGGCTCTTTTTTTTTTATTTAGTTGAGGCTTGGTGCTTCTCAGGTGCAGAGATGTTTCTGAGGTGCGGGGTTGTGAACAATCGTTTTCAAGGTCAGGCAATTTTGGTAGCGGATTATCAATTATCCGCAGAGACTAATCAGAGCGTGTGCAACGTGAGTCGGCCGAAAAGCCTCATGATTGATGAGTATTGACGAAGGCTGACCCACATGTGGCACTACTCAGGCTCTGCAAGGGGGCTCGTGTACAGGTCATCTCTCTCCCTGTTATCGCTACTTAGGGGCTAGATTTAATGCTCTTAATTAACGATATTGTCAATTTGAAGTGTGCAATACACTGGAAGGCAGCCTGAACTTGCTCTTTGGTGAGTGAATTCATTGTACGAATTCAGACTCCAAGCTTGAGGACCTCTCAACCTTAAACAAATCGCTGCCCTTCTAGATAGAGTTTCGCTGTTGTTATATACATACTACTTCTTTGTCATATGCCTTGCTGCATTCGGCTGTCCATTCTTTGTCCATTTAAGTTAATTATGGAGGCATCCGGTCAAGCTCGAGCCTGGTTGTTTTCGGCTGATCATTCTTTGTCCATTCTAGTCCCACAAACACGCACCCGGCTAAGATCAAATCTGCTCGTGACAGATTTAATGTTAATTATATAGAAACAGAGACCCACTAGTACTTTGTTTAGCATTCTTCCGCTTGTATTATAGCTATGCAGCGCTCCCTTATATTTATTACAAACTTTGAAAATTTAGATGGATGTGAACCTATGTGGAGCACCAGAGGCATGAGGAACTGGATTGTATTGCTAAAGGAGGGCAACTACGGGTTTATATAGTACTAGATGAACCCATCATGTGACTTAAGGCCACCAATAGCGCTAGGCTGCAGCATGTGGCGTAGCTAGGCAGCAGTGGGTCAAAGGAGTGTTGGTGGCTAGCGCATGGAGAGCTCCGTAACTGCAAACAATAGAGTAAGTTTAGCCTGCTTCTTCTCTGCGTATTAGCAGAATAATTTTTTTTTTAGCTGTTTCTAGAAACAGTCTGCTAATGCAATACTTTGAGATTCTCTATACATAGAATCTTAAGCTTGTTGTGTAGAGCTAAAGTTTTTCTTACCCTATAAGATAAAACTCTATAGTTTATAAAAATAAGAACTATAATGTGAGAGGTATCGAGCAGGAAGCACGAGGCACAGAGGGTGAATGCAGGATAGGGGGGTGTAACGAGAGTAAACCTTAGGGTTGGAGACAGAGGTCCGGAGGCTGAGGAGCCTATATACCCTGTGCTAAGCTCTTAGGGTACTCAGGGGTTGGATAGCCAGAACATAACCGTGACATATTGCTAGTTACTAATTTATAAATCTTTTTAGACTTGTAAGTATCATCTTCTTCTAGTAGAGTTTACTGCTAATGTTGTCTTAATTCTTCTTTATTGCTATACAAATCTTTTTCGCTGTGGCTTATTATACAGGTTTATATTATACATAGAATAACCTCAAAATTTAAGTATGTGATAGCTAGGTGTCATGTAACGGGTGCTCAGATCCATAGGATCATAGGCACGACTATATGCGGTAAACGACAGCCAAAAGGCATATAAAAGTTGAATCAACAAGGATTTAGCTTGCATAGTTGATATTTATGAGTGAGATGGGATGTTCCCCTCTGATGCCGGGTTCCATCCAGATCCTTGATCTGGTCCGCTTGCGGGTCCCTCATAGGCCTAGCCCTTCATATGGCGTGTAACAAACTAGATAACACGTTAAACTTGATAGGGGAATTAATTAACAAATCCGCTAATATAGATTCTAACCTTTACAAATTTCTACCCTCCAAGGGAAAGATTTGTTACTGTTTATATACATGCTACTTCTTTAGCCTATAATATGCTGCATTTAGCTGCCCATTCTTTGTCCATCTAAGTTTAGGATAGACGCACCCAGCTAAGGATGGACGCATCCAGCTTAGCCTGGCTGCTTTTATCTAATTATTCTTTGTCTATTCCAGACCCACAAGCACACGTCCGGCCGAGCTCAAACCCGCTCGTGACAATAGGTAGGTACTTCTTCTTTGCCTAGTAACGTTAAATTATATACACCTCCTAAAATGTCTTACAGGCAATTAAGAACTCATTTATCTATGTTTCACGTACCTACTGCTAAGTACTCTAATTCTTATGGGTATAGTCCTACTATAATTAATCCCAGCAGTGTTTCTTTATAAGAAGATGCTTCTTAGCACCTACATAGTAAAAGTATTTCTTCTTCATAATTGTAGCAAAATGGGTATACTTATAGACCTCTATACCCTTAAAAAGAAGCTATTTTAGTAAGATGGGGTCTTCATAATATTTATTAATTATTATACGGTATATTAAGCGCTGTTACCTTAATGAAATTAATCTACCTTTCCACCACAGCTCTCCTCGCTTAGTTTTCTGGATGACGTTTCTTAAAGGCCCGAGTCCAGTTCTTACTTAGTACAAGAGTGAAGCATGGACCGTTCATACATGACTGTGCGTTTTCTCTAAGAAATTCTGTCGATTTCTATATGAAAACGGACGGACATGTACGAACCGCTCATGCTTTCCTCTTGTAGCTTAAGTGGTCGATCTGTCTTAGGTGGCTAGCTGGTAACGCTGAGGGCTAGTAAAGCTATAAACTTTATCTACACAGGCTGTCCAAGATTAGAATTTTGTAAGAGAAACTTAACAACGGCATCCTATTCCCACAGGGCAAGGTATTGTTGGTTTTAGGCTTTCTCTTCTATCAAGTGACGGCCTCGTGCACGATGGTCGAGGGTAGAGTGGGAGACGTCGACATGATCTGCGAGGGAACGATACAATTTAGGCACGCCAGGTGGAACGCCTTGCGCCAATACCCGACTGGCTTTGTCCTTTGTAGTAATGGCGATGATATGAAGGGAAAGACGAAGAGGTAACCCTTGGGCCACTCCCAGACAGCGCGGGGCAATGCCAGGAAAGTACACGTAGAAACAAGGAAACTGGGCACGTAATCCTAATTGCCCTTGCCTCATGAGCCCAACAATCTTCCGGCCATACTCTCGGTGTAAAGCTTCATTCGTGCTTCGAATTGGCCTCTTGAGAAACTCAAAATGTCGCGTAAGATAGAAACGTTAAAAGCACAAGTATCTGTGAGACGCCACGAAACGGGCTCGTAAGTTTAGATTTACGTCGCAAAGTTGGTAGCGTGATTCGGTCGGACAGAAGGCCATGAAGGTGGGGACCTGGCCTAGCATACTCCACAACAGTAGTTGTGGTTGCGGGCGATTTGGTAGCTTATCAGCTATGCGTTGGAACATTGCATCAAGAGATAGGATAAATTCCAACGGTTCCAGGGGGATAGATTAATCGGTGGCATGCTTTCGTATGGCGCAATACTTGCCGCAACCATTAAAGGGACTGGGCGCCGAACACTCAGGAGAGCAGGATGATTTGAAAGCCTTCCAGGACGTTATTCGATAAGCGGAGACTGTGCAATTATCATCCAGTTAGTTAAAGACACGTGGTGGATCCTGGACACGACCAAGGACCAGTCGCATCGCGTTCATTGAGTGAAGCTAGCCTAGATTTGAAACGCAATCTGTGTAGGATGTTCGGTCCTTGGTAAGGATGTGGACGCACTTGTTGCTGAATCGAATAACATCGAAAGCAAAACTGGGGTGTTTAATCAGTACCTAATAAAGGAAGTGACTATTATGAGCGATTTCGCGGCATCGCGGGTCATTGAACAAGACGAAAATGAGAGAAACAATACTGGCGAAGAGGTTGCCTGTATTCGGAAAAAGTGATAATATTCCATACTTAGATAGGGTATTCCCGCAGAATCCAAAAATGCCAGCCGCTGGTGGACCAATTTAACACCAAAACGAAATATAATGTAGGGTTATAAGGAGTACAGTGAAATAGAGGAAGTCGGGTTGGCCACGTCGGTCAGTAATATCCTTGACATTGATGCTACCCCTGCGCGCAAATCGGGGCCTTAAACACCCTGCATCTCCATCCTCGGGTCATGCTTGGTATCACTTCGAGGTGTTTCGCGGATATGAAGGGCCGCCATAACAGTAGTAGCCACGAACGTGAGCCTGCCATACTTTAGCCTTCTCCTTCCTACTCGAAAACTGACGGGATTGATTAGATCATACCATTCAATCGCCCCGAACACAATAGCAGCAGTGCCAGCACCACATACGCCCGATCGCGAACCACATCCAATATCGCCCCAAAGGGCGGCAACAGCAACCCAACCCGCAAACCAGAAGATCATGGTCACAGCCTCAACCCCGCAGATAACCCACTTGTGGGCCAGTGCGGGGAAGCGCGTGGGGGTGATCACGAGGTATGCGACGGCCAAGAGAGTCCACACGGATGTGAAGAGAAGAAAGTTAACGCTCGATGGAGACCAGTTCCAGTTATAGGGGCCGTTCCACGCATCGACGACTAAGGGCGCGTTAGATATTGATAATTGTACCTACTGAAGGCTGGGGAGAGGAGACTAACCATATGCAGTCAGACCGAGCACGATGATCGTCAAGACACCTTGGACGACGCGAAGAGGGAGGACATATGCGAAGGCCATGGTATCGATGAATGCAAGGCTTAGAGAATACTAGGAGGAAATTGTATGAGGATGCAAAATAGGCAGGTTTGCAGCGGAAAAGTGTGCATGGTGTCGGAGTTAATATATGCTGGCAGTGTCCGCTCAGTAGTGATGGATGATGCTTGCCACGACTATATACGTCATTCAAAGGCTGAAAACAAGACGCGGCCGTGGCTGAATTTGCCGGGCGGTGAAACCGGGTCGATCAAGTGACAATGTCGATTGGCTGTCGGAGCTTTTCTTGCCGAAGAAGGGGCTTGGCGTGCGTATCCCTCAAGAAGTGCCAACTAAAGCCTGGAAGTTATCGGATATCCACAAGGGACCTTATAAGATGCAAGGGCCAGAACACACGTGGAGGCCAAGCGCTCTTCTAATTGTTCAGTAAATGCATCCCTGTGGTATATATTAGGTGAGTAGTAAGCAGTACGTATATTCCTAAGCACGCGACTTCCCTTCTTCGTTTCTATGCTCTCTCAAGGTATATTCGCATCCGGTGCGCCATCTAATTTGAAGTAGCCTGGCTGAAGCTCCTGGGAGACGGCAGTTGGATCGTACTTGTTGGCAATCGTCTTCAGCTTCTGTTGGTTTGTGGCGCCATAGCTCGGAACCACAGCCTGGAACTGACTGGCGTAATTCATGTAAATGTACTCGTTGCTCAGGCCTCTCTTCTTCGCCTCGGCAACAGTGCGTTCGATGATGTTCGAGTTCACCTCCAAGATCCGAGCATCATCCGCACTGTTCGACCACATCATGTTCAAGTTGAGCAAGAGCAGTGGACCGCTTGAGGCGCTGAGGCCGAGCCGGTTGCCCCCTTTTGCCGTCATCTTTTGAAGCATCGGAAGACTGATTACCTGAAGAGTAGCAGCGGGGATGAGAGCTGGCGCATCCGCGATGGCAGTAATGTACTCGAAGAAGACGTCCTTGATGAAGGTTGTGAAATCTTTGTCGAGCTTGTAGGCCGCGGCCCAGTAAGTCTGTCGAAGGCCGTTGGGGTTGCTGGCGTTAAACTGAACTGTTAGATCCGCGAGGCTGCGGATCCGGGTTGTATCTGAAACGGCAGGAATGGCTATGTACTCGGCGAGGATTGATGCGTTGGCCACTGGTTTCGCATACTGTAAGTCGGCGCTGGCAAATTTGGTACTCTGGACATATGTAAATGACAGGATATGAGCTGTGTTGGTGTCCTGTGCCGCATTGTTGCCTAGATTGTAAAAGGCCTGGATGACAGCTGGAAACTCGGTCTCAATGTGCAGACGTCCTCCTCCCCACATCTGACCCTGTGCGATAGTTTCCAGTGTGAACTTGGTGACGATACCGAAGTTGTTACCGCCACCACGAAGAGCCCAATAAAGGTCGGAGTATGAAGTTGGACTAGCAGTGACTATAATGCCGGAGGCGGTCACAACTTCGAAAGAAGCAACATTGTCACATGCCCATCCGTACGTGTTGGAGAAGAAGGAGATGCCTCCACCAAGAGTTAGTCCACCGACGCCGATGGCTGCTACCTGCGGAAATGTTAGCCATAGTGCATAACTGTGGACACGCTAGTGCTTGTTCTTACTCGACCTCCGATAACGGCAAGGTCTCCTTGGCTTTGGAGGTTGGTATAGACATCATACCAGGTATTGCCAGTGCCGAGGGACACAGTCTTCTTGTCAGAAGAGAGAAAAATGTCGTTAATATTCGCCAACGTCACTGTGATGCAACCTTGTATGCTAGATGCCCCACCAAAGGCTGCATGGCCACCGCTCTTTACTGCAAATGGGCATTGTGTGAGGCGAGACAGCAAGACGAGAATGGATACCTCCGCAGCTTTTGAGGGCTTGAAGATACAGTATGGATCTACCGATGCCTGCTGGATTGACCAATACGCATTGGTGAAAGCATCGTACGCAGAGCTCTGTCGGATGATGACCTTGCTGCTTCCAAAGATTATCCGCAGGGAGCTGCACTAATATGGCGGGGTGCCCGTTAGAGCCCTAGGAAAAGATACCAAGTACGGTTACATGGTACTTATGGCGATCGAGCACGCGCTTGTAGGAGTTCGTTCCACTAACCCCTCCAGTGCTGGGATGGATAAAATGTTAATGCCATAGTCAATAAGGGTATCCACCACATTGAAACCGGATGGCTCGAATGTACTCTGCGCCAACACCCTTGTCCCTACCCCCAGAGCACTAGACGAAAAAAATGAAGTGACCCGCATATTCAGAGAAGGAAGAAGGAAGGAGGCCGAAACGAAGGGATAATTAAAAGTAGGGAATATCTTCCAAAGCAAAAGCAAATTTACAAAGTAAGTCGCCGAGCATGTGCAAGAGAATGTTCTGCGGGATCCAAAAACTGGTAGAAGCAGGGAAGAGCCCAGTTCCTGTTCTCGATGTTGGAAAATCTCCGAAGGACAAGATGCTATGAAGTAGTTCGAATCCTGGATATTACCCGAATTTGGGGTCGCATTGGGAGAGGAAGTAGTTGAAGAGCTCGAGTAAAAAGGTGAAGAAATGAATTGGGGCTGAGCGCTCGTCGCGCCGTGCATTTTGGACGTTACAGGGGGCGGGAACCTCAGATGAAAATGAGCACTTATTGGCTGGTCGACCTTCTTTCATCTTGGGGTCAAATTGTAGAGCAATGAAATTATAGAGCTGAGAGGTTATATTCTCGCGATAATGATGCGCCTATATTTGCGGGATAGGCTACGCCTAGGTGTGCATTGCGCGTGCTCCTGAACGTTTCGTTGAAGCGGATAAGTAATGTCGCCCAATTTTGTTTTTGGAGAGGGGTCAAATCCGGCTCGGCGGGCGTTTCCGGTGCCGCGGCACTGTCCGACACTGGTTCTAATTATCTTCAACGATCTAGTCGATTACGGCGGACTGTTAGCTAGTGAAGGGAAAAAACTAATCGCTAATTTAAAAATTCTTTACTCTGCACATAATTATAGCCTTTAGCTACTTACAACTTTATAATTATTTTATACACGTTTATACATGTTAATTTTATAATGCCTAGTAAGTGTCTTCTAAATAGTTACATTGTACAAGTGCTTACTAATATAGTGGCGATGTAGGAGGACATCCTAAGATTAACCTTAAACTGTACTAACTCTATCTACTTAGGCTTTTCTATAAAGGTGTTACATACATGTAAATAGCTACTTACCTTTTTAAAGAGTTTTAAGTCTATGTTACTTCTTATATAATTAAGCAGCAGTTTTAAATATAAAATGTAAGGCAACACTTTCTTACTAAGGTTAAAAATAAAGTTAAAAATTAGATCTAAGTGCTATTTTTTAAAGTTAGGCTTAAAAATTTAGATATACTTTATATACTATATAATAAAGGCTTCTAAATTAGAAAATATATGCTTATATAACTTTAATTTAAGCTTAGATTATATAAAAGAGTATAAAGTATTAAATAAAGCTAGTAAGTAGATAAGCTTATATAACAACTTATTAGTTAAAAGCTAAAAAAAAGTGTTATTAATAAGTATAAGTAAAAGTATCTTTATACACACTTTTATTAACATAGCTATATTATTACATAAGACTAGTTATTTTACATTTATTATATAATAAACTATAAGGTAGTAGAGCGCTGTAAGCGCAACCTGCAGCAACACTGTAAAGAGTATATTATTTCTAGCCTAAACTTTATCTAGTCTATTAATAGCTATAGTAAGCTAAAACTATACAGCATAGAGATCTATACATGTATTAACGTGTACTTACAATACATTGTATAGATTTATGTTAGAATCTCTGCCTACACTACTATTAGCTACCTTTGCTAGTTTTTTAAGACACTTAAAAAAATAAAGCAGTAACTATGTTTTATATAATCTAATTAAGAGACAGAGATAGTTATGCTAGTAAATGCTTATTACTAGCTTTAAAAGTTTATAAAGCCTAAGCTTTTATTTAATTAGTGCTACTTTTATAGTATAAGTATATTAAATTAGTAGATTAAAGCTTAGTAGTAGTAACTTTTAAAAAGCTTTTTTTTTATTAGTAAGTTAGTATTTTATATAATACCTATTACTTTATTTTACTTTAAGTAAGATTACTTTTACTACTTTTAAACTTAAGGCTTTTTTTTAAAAGATAGCTTAGCTAATTAGCTTACTATTTATGCTATATATATTTTTATACTTTATAAGAAACTATATAGCTTTGTATAACTATAAAACACATATTTAATTTAAAGGCAGAAAAACTGTCTAAATAGCATAGTTAAAAAGCCTTTTATACTTTATTACTATCTTAAAGCTTATGTTTAGAACTAGGCTTTTTTATTTAATGCTAATTAGCTTTATATAATTAAGAGAAGAGTTAATAGTTAGAATATAAATGCCTACCTTCTACAGAATACGCTTTAGTAGTGTAATAGGGTACTAGATTTACTTAGATTTAACAGCATAGCTGCAGCTTACTCTAACTTTTAGAATTATATAATACTATATCTAGATGTTTATCTTTAGCTTTAAGTAAAAGCATAATACTATATCTAGAACAGTTTTTAGCTTATACTGTCTTTACTTAAGTTACCTATTAAAGCATAAAATTAGTAAGTAAGGTTTTATATAATATGCTTAATATAAAAGTATCTAATTTAACTAAGGTAATTAAAACATAGTTTAAAATATTAATCTTAAAACTAACTTTAGTAAAAAAATGCTTATTAATTCTAATCTAGCTTAGTAGATTTATATAGATGTAGTAACTAAGCTTTTATTTTTCTTATAGTATGTTTAAATTTTTTATAGTTTTTTTCTTAGTTCTTTTTTTAGTTCTTTTTCTTATATAATGTATAATCTATTATTACTATAAGTGCCTAAGATAAGTTTTATCTTACTATAAAATAATTTTATAGTAAGTAGTCTACTAAATATAAGTTTTATCTAGACTATAGTATTTAAATTTAACCTTTTACACCTACATAAATTATATAAGACAAAGAAGAGATAATCTGTCTAGAGAATACACCTAAGAGTATAAAGAAAGAAATGTTTATCTTTTTTATATAAGCTGCTTTACATACACTAGTAGAATTAGCATGTTAGTAGTTAATCTAGTATACATTTTTACTTTCTATTTAAGGCTATATAATAGCTAAGCTCTCTATTCTTATAATCCTCTACTTTGTATAATATAAGGTAATTAATAAGTGTAAGTAAATTAATAGTATTAAATAGCTATGTATAATACCCTCTTGTATATTAGCTAATATCTAATACATAGTAGATTAGACCTAGATACAGCTTTAGAACATACTTCTTATAAGCTATACTAAGTTTATTAAAAATAGCTTTTTTAAAAAGCTTATATAATTTAATTTTTTAATTACTAAAGGCTATTCTAAACTATATTTTATTATAGATGTTAGTAAAGATTATGTTACATATCTTTTAAAAAGTGCTAAGAATTATTATATAATTAAGAACTTACTAAAAAGTAGATACTTTAAGAAAAGCAACTAAAGTATAACTTTATACTTAGTATATAAGGCAACTATAGTAGCTTAGGATAAGATCTTTTTATATAAACCCTCTACTAAGTAAACTAAAGTTAAGAAAAAAAAGAAGCTAGTAAAAAAAAAAAAAGTTAAGCAAAAATTAAGCTTTATTAAAAATAAAAAAAAATAAAAAAATGCTTTTATATAATTATAAGTAAGTACTGTCTTAGCTATCTAATATTAATTCTTAAGTGCCCTATTAGCTTTATAGTATTAAAAAGTAGTATATTTTATATAATAATTTAATTTATTTCTTTTATTTACTAGCCTAGTTTAGTTTTACTATTTAATAGCTACTTATTCTAGTTACTGCGCAGAGGTACAAGCCTTAACTAAGTGCTACAGACATCCCTACATAGCTAGGTGCTATAGATAACCCTTATAGCTAGAGCGCTTTACTACCTTTAAAAGAAATATTATATATACTTTAAGCTAGAACTATTACATTATTAGCTAAAGCCTTAGCAGGTTTATTCTTAATAAAGATAGGCTACTACTATAAACTATTACTAGTACTACTAATCCCTAAGTTATAGCCTAAATATAGAGGTTTACTAGCTAGCTTATTATTACCCCTTTCTTTTATAGAGCAGTAACTAGCATAGTTACGCTATTTGTAATTGCTACATGCTCTACTAAAGTGCCCCTTAGCGCGGCGGCACTCTAGGAACAGTTGTAGGCCTGAGACAGCGCCATAGCATGCGCTGCACAGGTTGTCCACTACCCTTCTATAAGATTGTATAAGGATAGTGTTAATGTACAAAAGCCTATGTAAAGCTATTTAATAAGAGAATATACTGCTATATATAAACTCTACATCCTGCCCTAGAAGGGCTAGTAATGCACAGGCCTGTAGACTATAAGCTAGTAGGGCTAGCTGCTACTGTCCTACATGTAGAACAGAATTAATATTAGCGCTAGCTTAGTTAGCAGTAGCAACAGCAGTATTATAAAAAATAAAAGCCTTATTTTAAGTGTTAGCTTTGTATAATAAAAGCAATTAAAATACTGTAGGCTTAATACCTACATTATTATTATTATTATTGTTGTTGCTGCTGCTACTGCTGTTGCTGTTGCTGCTGTTATTGCTATTGTTGCTGTTATTATTGCTGCTACTGCTGTAGTAGTAGTGGATGTGGAAGAGTAGTAGTGGCAGTAAGTATCTACAATTATTGTACAACGCTGTAGTAAAGGCAGTTGCTATAGAGGGCAGTTGTAATACAGTTATGTAAAACAACTCTTTACTTCTTAGATCTTTAAAAAACATTGTACAAATGTGTTATAGTATGTTTTGCCTAGTAAAATACTATAGTGTTTTATACCTAAAATGCTCCTAAGCGATTGGCGATTAGTTTTTTCCCTTCACCAGCTAACAGTCCGCCGTAGTCGATGTCACTCGTCCGGTTGCGGCTAGCCACATCGTTTGAAGCATCACGGAAGCTAGAACACAGGCTAGCTTCCATCGTATTAGGGGCCTTCTACCCTAGCTAGCAACTCATTTCACAAAAAATATACCAAGTTTTCTTGTAGTGAATGTGAATAAGTGATCTCGCTGCAACATTTTCACCAGGTCGCTATCCAAAACTTGAAGCACGGGGAAATTCTCCACCACTTTCTCTTGTGGGCAATCCTTGTGGGAGCCATGGATTGGCACATCATTGCTTCAGCTTCAGCCCACTGATTCACTTTCAAGTGCAGCAACGGCCATTCTCTGAAGCCGAAAAGGGGTGGTCGTAAAATTTCCGGGTGCTGATGGATGGAACGAGCCGCACTACAAGCCTAGATGGGGAAGTGAATGATTGTATTCAATTATTGTATCTTTTTTCGGACTGCGCAACCAAGACCAGGCATGAATGCTCTATATTGTGCTTTCACCTCATCGGTGCCAGGTCATCTAAATTGACGGTGGCTGTAGTGGACTTCAGTGATAGAAAGAAGATAGAAAGAAGCTTGCACACGATCTCTCCTTTCACTTATGATCCCCTGTCACTGACTGCACCAGGCTCTCTTCTTTTAACTGCCGTTGTTGCCGCGGACTATCCATTGCCAATCTTTGGTCACTAGGTTCCTTCATTTTTACCAACCTCCCAGGTTACACGTATCAACATGTCGGCGACCCAGAACTACGTAACCAAGGAGCAATTTCTCAGCACGAGTTACGCCATGATAGCGCTGACTTCAATATTCGCCATTGCGCGAATAGCCATCCGAGTGACGAGGCCAAAGGCACTAGTGACTGAGGACTACCTAGTCTTTATAGCTTACATTCTATTCATCGCCATGTCGATTTTATACATCGTTGTCGCACCCACCTTATTCCGAATGTCGGAAATAGTGTCTGGAGAAGCCACTCCGGATGTTACTATGATTAAGGACGATATCTTCATCATCAAAGTCTTCTTTGCGAATGCGATGATTTTCTGGATTGTGCTTTGGACAGTCAAGTTTTCGTTGCTAGCGTTGTCCAGAAGATTGATGATGGGTTTGAATAGCGTGTACATGAGACTTTGGTGGGGGGTCTTCGGGTTCTGTGTTGCAGTAAGCCACAAGCATTGTTTAGAGAGCGAAGTACGCCTCACTTGCCAGGAGCTAATAGTTTGGTAGACGCTGATTGGATGTATCGCCTCAAGCTTCACATCTTGCCATAGCATGCATGCTTGGTTCACCCCGGGAGAATGCATTTCAGAGCGGGATGTCCGGGCACAATTTGCAAGTCTGTACTATGCATTTGCAGTGGACGTTATCTCTGACTTGATGAGTATGGCTCCCCTCAATCTACCACTTGCTCTTACTGCTTCTGACTGATGCTTGCAGTCATGTTCCTCCCCATCCGGCTGATCTGGAATCTCCAAATGCCGCGTGCCCAGAAGCTCAGTGTGGTCGCTCTCTTCTGTACTGGCTTTGTTTGCATATTTTTTGCTATCATCCGTATCGTCCAGATTGGAGTCAAAGCGGATAACAGCACAACACCCAGTACTTCATGGCTCGCTTTTTGGGCAATCATTGAATGTTCTATCGGTATACTCCGCCCAAGTTACCATCCGAACCCACGATCCAGTACTTACTCCGTGCAGCTGTTATCATTGGTTGCTGCCCAGCCTTCGCTGCTCTCTATCGAACAACCCGGAACACCCAAAGAGCCGCCTACAGTGTGCAGGGTTACGCGAAACAACCCTCCGGCCGCTCAGACACACGAGACTCCAATATTAACTTGACGAGCTTGTCTCGCTCAAAGAGCACAAGGAATGCCTCGGCGTAGTGAGATAAAGCAAATAGTATCCAGAAGAGTTAGCGGACGAGGAGCAAGGGAATCGGTGTAACGAGGACGTTTAAGCTGGAAGACGAGCACTGAATGTGTTTCATGTAGGATAAATGTTCTCTGTGTGTGTGGCAAAGGATCAGCGGAATGATTGGTTGTCGGAGGCATGTTCACGAGAAGGGGCCTTGGCGTACGCAGTCACCCGAATTGACAGGGCGTCACAGCTCAAGAGACTTCCGCCGCTGCCGAATCTCTGAACTTAAATCGAACCTCACTCTTTTCGTATAATAACACTGCACAAGTGTTGTCCTTGAGGATCCGATATAACCGCGATGCGCTGCTCTGCTGTTTCTGAACACGGGTCCTAAGCCACATTCCAGCTTACTTTTGTTCCAACCGTGCCGCGTCCAACTACTGGCGCGCTGCTGCAGTGGCACCATTGGGGCGATATGTAGGTAACAGAGAAGGGAGTGCGCAGGGATGGGGATCAACCAGGTAACTCCCACATCCTCCTTTAGTCAACAATCGTTTATTTCTTTTTCTCTTCTTTTCTAAGGGCTTTCATTGGAGCAGGCTGAGCCCTCTCCCGACCGGATCAGGATTGCGCTGTGCCGCTCTTGTTTTCCTGGTGTGTGGGAGCCGCAGATATGGATCACCCGGCGGACGCACAGCATGCCACCACCTGTTCTGCGCAGAACCGCATGTCAGATAGGTCCCTGTGGTAGGAAACTAGAGTTGTGTCTTCACTGTGAATGCTTATTTTGAAGGAATTGAAATGAATGCATAGTCTTCTGCTACGCCTTGGAAAAGTGCACGCATGTGAAAGGAAGCCACCTATGGGATTTCCCATACGGCATTCCGTATGCGGAGTTTCAGCGAGCAGGCGGCCCGCGCGCCACCTCCCAGGAAAATGGCTCATGTCACACATAACACGTGCCTTTCTCGATTCGCTTGGGCCGGGTCGATAACAAGCAGCCAACCAAGACACTCCGGTCCGCAAGTGGGAGCTTGTTACTGCTTGCAATCTCGTCAAGGATTCTCTCCCTGTTCTCCTCTGGCCAGATAACGGGGTGACACAGTGCTACCTATAAGTGTTTACAAAGCGACGCAGCTGGCCTCAGCAACTTTTCTCTCTTCTCTCTTCCAAATCAACCACTATGGAGTCCACCATTCAGTTCGCCGACACACAGTTGCGACGTACGAGGTCTAACAACTCCCACACGCATTCTGTTGGTGGAGTCTACCCCATTCGGTCGCGTTCCCGGTCACGTGGTCGGAAAGGCTCTCTCGATGTGCACAAGGCTAGAGAGCCCGAGGATGCCGAAGACGAAGACGCTGGCCTACGAGATGGACGAGATTTCAAGCGCAAACAAGTACACTCCTAGCTCATGGTTCAACGCTCGTGACTGTGTTGCTAACATGGCCCAGATCTTCAGTATAGGCCAGATGTTTTTCCTTGCCTACCAGTCCGTCGGCGTGATTTATGGAGACATTGGAACTTCGCCACTCTATGTCTACTCCTCCACATTCACCTCTCCACCAAGCCATATCGACCTTTTAGGAGCCCTTTCTTTGATCATTTGGTCGGTCACGATGATGGTGACCGTGAAGTACGTCCTTATCATTTTGCGAGCCGATAATGACGGCGAGGGTGGCACATTCAGCACTTACTCACTATTGTCACGATATGTAAGATAGATTGCCCTTTTGTTGCCTCTCAAGCACTGATCGCGTACATAGGCAAACATATCGAACCGGGATCCTCGTGAGGCGACTATGATACGTAGGAACCAAATATTATGCTAAATCTGCCTCCTTGTACTAATCTTGCCATAGGCATGGAACGGCACCTCACAGAAGACTTGGGCCGCTCGAATAGGAATGTCCGACACACAATCGAGAATACAAAATTCTTCCGCGGTCTGTTGAAGACGATCGGCGTCCTGGCTGTCTCCATGGTCATGTCTGATGGTGTGCTGACCCCTGCGCAATCTGTCCTTGGTGCTGTTCAGGGCCTCAACGTTGTTGCACCCAACATCTCGAAGTCGACTGTAGTGGGGGTCACCTGCGCTATTCTTATCTTACTTTTCTTGATCCAGCCGTTTGGAGTGACTAAGATATCGGTTGTCTTTGCCCCCGTTGTCTTCATCTGGCTTGGATTCAACGCCGGGTTTGGCATCTATAACCTCGCCAAGTACGCCTACCTTTATGCTCTATATATTCCCCTGACTAACACACTAACGTAAATAGGTATGACCACGCCATTCTAAAGGCGTTCAACCCGTACTACAGCTTTGAATATCTCATTCGGAACAAACAGCACGGATGGAGGAGCCTAGGCGGCATCCTTCTCGCCTTCACGGGTGTCGAAGCTCTCTTCGCTGATGTTGGTGCCTTCAGCCGTCATGCCGTTCAACTGAGTTGGCTTGGATACACCTACCCTTGCCTCCTCCTTGCGTACACAGGTCAGGCCGCATACATTAGCGTTCACCCGGATGCCTATTCGAACCCGTTCTATAACTGCGTGCCTCCTGGGTGGCTCATCCCTTCACTGATTATTGCCATTCTGGCTGCAATTGTGGCATCACAAGCTATCATCACGGCCACTTTCCAGGTTCGGGCATTCACAATTGGCATCTGATGTTCTAGCTAACTGTAATCAGCTCATATCTCAAATCGTGAAATTGTCGTATTTCCCTCAAATCAAAATCCACCGTAAGCAAACATTGAAATTCATTTCCTGGAAACGTATACTAAGAACCTGCCAGATACGTCCAAAATCTACCATGGCCAGCTGTACGTCCCTGCAGTCAACTGGCTGCTCATGCTGGGTACTGTTCTGGTTGCTGCCATCTACAATAGTAAGTTGTAAATGCTTTCTGGTTGAATGCAAAGGATCATTCATTGGAGCCTCATACTTAATCCGCGTGCTTAACTAGTGCTAACCCATTATTTAGATACCACGTCTCTTGGTAATGCGTACGGAGTATGTGTTATGTTCGTCACCTTCTTTGACACATGCATGGTTACCCTCGTGGCTATTATCGTATGGCGCATCAAACCCTACTTTGTTTTCTTTCCATGGTTAGCTATTGCCTGCCTGGATGGTACATTCCTTTCCTCGGCTCTTACGAAGTTCCCCGATGGTGCCTGGTTTACTATCCTCCTTTCCATGCTTTTAGCCTCCATTTTCATTCTCTGGCGGTTTGGCAAAGAGCAACAATGGTTTGCTGAAGCCGCAGACCGTTTCCCAACAACTCATTTCGTTCGGACGCTCGAAGATGGCAGTGTGCAGCTCACTGAACGATTTGGGAACAAGAATCTCAGCTCTCTTGAAGGGTTTGGCATTTTCTTCGACAAGGCCGGCGAAACGACACCCATTGTTTTCAGTCAATTCATCCGGAAGCTTGTCACCGCTCCCAAGGTTATTGTGTTCTTTCATCTGCGACCCCTGGAGACTCCATCTGTCGCTGCAGAGGAGCGATATCATGTTTCACGACTAGCGATCCCGAACTGTTATCGCCTAGTAGTCCGTCACGGATATATGGATGAGGTCATCACTCCAGATCTTGCCTCCCTCATCTTCGAGAAAGTTCGCGACCACATCATCCTCCGAGCCTTAGACAGAGAAAATGAGAAAGCACCTGCCGTAACGGGGGCAGATACTAGCAACCAAAATGAATTGAACAACGTGAACAATTCCGGCGGCAAAACCACTATCGCAGAGAAGTATCTTGGACTGGGCTCCGATATCCCGAGCTCTTCAGACCCAAGCACTATGCAGGCCTCCACTCCTTCTTCAAACGGACCTACCACTACCTCTCGCCTCTCGGCTCTGGAGCGTGCCTTCAATCATGAAGTGCTCTACATCATCGGGAAGGAGCAGCTGAAGGTCAAGGCAGGCACAAACCTTGTGAGGGCGATTCTACTAAAGGCATTCTTGTTCTTGCGAGAAAATACAAGGACCAAGATTGCGAGCCTCAAGATCCCGACGGAGAAGATTATCGAAGTTGGCTTTGTCAAGGACGTATAAAATTAACCTTTGGGGGGTTGAATGGCGTAAGTTTTAGTAAGCAGTGAATTGGCAGTGCGACCTAGGGATAGGCAGGTATGTAGTAGGGCTATTCTGGCAGTTTTAGCTAAGTATATCGATTCGATAACAACAGCAGGCATATTTTGGAGTGAATAAACGATATGAGACAGGAGGCTACCAGTCCTGAATAACTGCCTTCCTAGTGTTTTGGACTATTTTCTGTATTGTCAATATGCGAGCATGCACGATTCTTTGCCCCCTAGACCGGACACACGTATTATATTTGCACTATACCTCCCTTCTAGTTCCTGATTGGATTTTGATATACCCTTTGCATTGTTCGTCCGGGATATTTATATGGTCAACAGTTCTCCCATTCCTCCAGTCTCCCAAACAAAATTATCCTTCACTTTCCCTGCATAACATTCCACGGTTTCTCCGCCAGTACGAAGAAGCCTGCGAGGTTGGATAGTTCAAGAATGAACCGTGTTGAAGACTCCACCTCGAAACCTAAAGATGGTGAACAAGATGGCTTTGCAAACTGATTTCGCTAAACATCGGTGTCGCGTGCACCATCTACACTCCGAAATTCACTATTCGCCCGGTCGCCAGTACCCAAAAGTCTACGCCGGCCGCTTGGGCTGCCAGAAATGTGTCTGTAGCAAGTCTTGAAAAGACACTGGCGACCCCTTTTTCCAATGTTCGCCCTCAATCTAATCCTGCAATACCAGCAGCGAGGCCTGGAAGTGCCACGACTAAGGCGATTGAGTACTATAAGGGGAAGACTAAGAAGCTTGAAGAGGAGCTGAAGGAGTCGAAGGCTGTGCAAGAGGGCACTAAACTTGACAAGGAAGCACCTGCCAACGTCCAAAACGAGATTGCCACTGCCAAGAAGGAGTGTGAGAACGGGCAATAGTACTGGCAAGATCTAGAAGCGGAGGTTGACGCCTTCGCTGGATGAAATCTCAAAGACGAGGAGTCTATCGCAAAGCTTGAGGAGTTGAATGGTGTCCTCCGAGGCTCTACAGCGAAAAAGATGAGCGCTTCGCAAGCAAGCTTCAAGCGCCACAAGGACCAGATTTCCGCTCTGTTGCGTCAGGTTCACGATATGGATGTGGTGAAGATAAGGCCTTAAGGACGCTGTTCGCGAAAACGATACTCATATCCAGGAGCTTTATAGCCATGCGAAAGTGGTAAAGACCCGAGTTGAGAAATGTGACAGCGACTTCGCCGACGTTGATCGTATTTCAGTGGCGAAGATGAGTGCCTTCACGCTCTAGAGTAGTCTGCCCAGCAAGTTGGTGAGCTCCAAGCTGAATTTACTAGTCTCTTTAATGAGAAGGATGAGCTCTAAGCTCAGGTAACTGCTGTCTCCAACGAGAAGTATAGGCTCCAATTTCGGGTCAGTAAGCTGCTCACGAGAAAGCTGACCTCGAGAAGCAGCTCGCATCTGCCCAACATACCGGCGCGGGCATCGACGAGTTCACACGGTCTGCCACCAAGAAAATCACCGACATGGGAAGCAGTCCACTGATATTATTCATAAGAAGAATGAGCCGGAAGCTGGCTACAATGATGAACTCACAATTGCTCGACCCGAAGCAATACTGAGCCGTAATTTGGAGTCCCACAACGTCATCTAGAACAACAGGCTGTCGAGGAGGCTCGATCTAATATCGCAGCTGCCTTGCTATTCTAAAAATTAGCCGAGGAGCAGATGATCCAGCTAGAGAACACCCAGCAAAAGCCGAAAGAGACTGGGCAAAAGCTCGAGGATCTGAGGACTGTAGTAGAAGGGTCCCTTAGCATCTTCAATTCGGAGGGTGCGCGCTTAGAAGCCGACTCATTGGAGACAGTAGATATGGTTGGTTAACCAGCGCGGACAGAACCTAGACCCCGTCGACAACACTAAGTGGCCCTGCTGCAACAATTGTGTGCTGCACTTGCCTAGGCCTAAAGGGCTCAGATTTTTGGGTAGCCGGAGTTTCTCAGAACCTACAGTGTAAATTTGAAACTATACACGCTAACTACGAAACCATGGTGGACAAGGGGGCTAACCAGTACAGGCTGCTCTTTGGCCAGCAGATGCAGATTGCTCGTCTCGAGAAGGAATTTGCCGCCGGTTGCTCGATTGCTGAGCACAATCGCCTCAAAGATGACCTCACGGCTAAGAAGACTCACTTCCAGATACGGGAGGCTCTCCTACACGACTCTGGGTCGCTGCTAAAGAGCCTACAGGTAAGATATGTGGCGGTGGATCGAGAGATTGACTGAGATTCCGAATTTGTGGAGGAAGAGTAAGCGCCATGAGTCTGAGGAATGCTTGCAGTCTCTTAAACTTCCCAATACAATAGTTTTAGGTCGTCCGAAACACAAATCACATGTAGAGAGTTTGTTTCTTAATTTTGAACTATATATTGGTATGCAATTGAGTTGATTTGAGGCCACATGACTTCCCTGGCGATTCTCAATATTATTTACTAACTTTCAAGAGTCTGGATACTCCGCCAGCAATTGGTTCGAAACAGAACCTTGGAAATGCTAGGCTCACGTGACTCTCTTCTAACGGGTGAGGAACTTCGATTCTCACCTAACACGCTGTTCAGGTTATCACTCGAGTTGATAATACTTTCATCCCCAAGAAGGAAGGAAACTTCATTCCAATCTAAAGTTCAAGTCTCTAGGGCTCTGATTGGTGGGCCTGCATAGCCTCACTGCTGCCTGCCTACCTCCACCCGACGCACTTTGAACAGTTACATCTCCCATATGCATACTCCAATGCATACATCCCTCATAGTTCTAAATTTCATTCATCTCAGAGTCATTACTTGAGTCTCAGGACCACAATCCACTTTTCAGATCGTTGTTTGACCTTGCCTTGGCTCCGCTTTCCTGTTCCAAAAACCCACCGCGTCGCACTATGTCAGCCTCATCACCACGAAAGGTCAATCATTACCAGTTCTACAACGAATGGAAAGGCCATCGTGTAGAACATCTGGAAAGATGTCATTCCATTATCCGGAGTCTCCATCCGGACAAACCTATCGTCTACCTCGCCGGCGACTCCTCCCTGGACAACAAGTACTGGGTTCCATCGTCAGGGCCTGGCGGCGAGCCTCTTCCAGTCGCAGTCCCGGATATATACTACAATATTCTAAGCGCTCCTCGAACAAAGCCAGACATTGCCTTCTGGTTGAATCATTTCCTCGGCGAGCGAGCAACAGCCCTGAACACCTCGATTGAAGAATCCATGCTCTCAGATCGGGATTCTGACCTTCTTCCACAAGACGCGTTCATTCGTGACAAAATCGGTCCTAATGATGTTCTCATTGTCTCTATCGGCGCCAACGATATTGCTCTGCGTCCCACATTTTCGACAATCCGTCATATGCTCCAACTCGCCTGGCTAACGCGGCGCGCTTCCATCGAGAGCGGAGGTGGATCCTCCCTAGCGTACTTCCAAGAGCTGTTCGGTAAAAAGATAGAATCCTACATTGCCACCCTCTGCTCCAAGACCAAGCCCCGACTTGTAATCGTCTGCATGATATACTTTCCCCTGGAACACTCAGCGGGACCGCAGGAAAGCTGGGCGGAGTGGCAGTTGAAGGCTCTAGGGTACAACAGCTATCCAAATCAACTGCAGACGGCAATTAGGAAGATTTATGAAATTGCGACAGAGAAGATTAAAGTCGCAGGAACGGAGGTAGTGCCCCTCAAGTTATATGAAATACTAGATGGCAAGACTAGCGGAGACTATGTGGCCAGGGTTGAACCGAGTGCTGAAGGCGGAAGAAAGATGAGTGAAGCGTTTGTGATGACTCTTGAGTCCAAAGATGTGATCGAGAGATCAAGTGATTGAACTAGTGGATGCTGGGCAGTTGGTGTGAAGGGAATTCTACAATTATGGTCCGCTCCAGAATCTTCTTGTCAGTGCATTCCCAAAATCTTGTCTGGTTTCAAAGTTCACGTAACTGTGAATCCTCCCATCACCTCTACTAATGAGCAATCACTGCCGTATCCCATCCATCAGAATGCAACCCAAATGACCCACGCTCCCACCCTAACAATTAAAAGCCGCCCCGCCATTTCCCTAACTTAACATGCTAGTAATTCCCACATATGTTGATTGCGCACCTTGCGCAAATTTGCTCAGAACTTCCTCCGTCTCGGGTACACAACACCTCGTCCTCTGCGCAAAACCTCCACCATTTTCACACCTCACTCAGCCACGCACAAACCCCCATATTCACGCATTGCTTCCCGGACGACATAGGTTTTTAATTCACCACCCACGGCCACACCTACTCGCCACATCTTTTTATACTCGAGGGCCCTTAGCTCTTGTCGCCATGGACGTTGTCAAACTTCTTGGACCCGTTCTCGTCTGGATTGCCTATCCCACTTCCCAAACAAGAAGTCTCTGGAAGAAATTGGCAACGAAGGAGAGGAAATGGTGCAAAAAAATTAGCACACTTCGGCAGCTGCCAGTGCGAAACAGCAAGAGAGCGACGCAAAATTGCGGTGCTTCAAAAAGAGCTGACGGTGGTGGAAGAAAGGGAATAAGAGTTCTCGGTGCACCCTGGAATTAGCTGAACTAACCATAAAGGAGTAGGATGAAGAGTGGGAAGCCGAGAACACAGCTTACCGCAAGGCACTCCATCAGAAGGATGGGAACAACAGTGGGCTCGGCAAGCAGCTTACCATTGCCCACGAGCAGATTGCTGCAGACCTCCATGCGTCGTCCGATAGCGACTCTGCTCTGTCCACTTTCGCCTAAACGGTCTTTGTTGCTACTACTCGAAAGCTTCCACCTCACCGGTATCACTGAATCTTGACGCGCTGTCGTTCATTCAGCGATGAACACTCAAATCCTCATCGAGTTAGAGTACGAAACGCCAACAACTACTAATGCAGAACTATAGCAACGAACAGTCAAGCCCACAATCAGCGAGCAGCACGCTAAAACTCAAGCCAAGTCTATCCCACAAGGTGATCAAGTCGTTCAAGAAGAGAGCATAACGCCCGCACCGAGCAATAGTGATGCCTCACCTTCTGAGTTGGGATTTCCTCGCGATCAGACGTGTACAAACTTTGGCTGTGGATTTAAGAGTGATAAGAGGCCTGAGTTCTACGCCCACACCAAGAAATGCGCCGACAACCAGAGGGGGTGTTAAAAAGGCCGCCACTGTAGATTCGAGGCTGAAGGCAGGCGTGGTATTCCCACATTAATGTGTGGAGTAAAAAGTGAGGTATCACACGAGGCGAATTGCTAGAATCGAGGCTGCGAATTGTATTTCTTTATAGGAGAGGACGGCTTCTATAGCAAACACGTTAAGAGTGTTTAGAACGCGCAGAGGAATGGAAATGCTACAAACCTTAAGAACCCAAGTAGTCCTGTCTCCGTTGCGAGAAGGGAATGCTGGCAAAGCAACCGGGCACCATTTTCCTGCTTGAACTCAAGCCCATCATGGTGGTGCAAACCATAGCTTTCTAGACTCTGCCTCGCTAGGGGCATCTTCGCTCTCAAATGCATCGCCAGTTCAGCCCACCTCTCACAGCAGGGTACTAGACTCCCGCCGCAATACCAATATCGCCTCAGAAGCTGTGCTTTCTCTGAGTCGCATTTCCGGTACAGCCTGTTGTAATTAGATCGAGCTTTTCAGGTCCCCAAGGCTGCCTAGGACATTTCTTTGCCTTTAGAATATCTGCTAAGCCTAAGGACAATTCCAGAGTTTTAGAGGGATTGGAAGCAGCCAATAGGCTAAGGGAAGGCATGTAGACTCCAAGACTTTGAAACAACACGTATGGCTAACACCATCTGTTTTTGAAGAATGAATCAGCACGGTAAATCGAATGAAGAATGTAGGGACTTTTGGAAGGAGAAAGATAGTATCTTGGGCACAGTATAACTAGCATTTATATGGAACGTATCGGTAACCCAAAGGGCTCTAGGATGGGTTGCCCAAGCAATCTTGGGCTTGGCGTCCCACAATACTATATATATCATATAGCTCCCCGGACCCCCAGTCTACAAGACATACCTTATCTCATAACTAATCCCCCCCGCAAGGCTACGGTATGAAACGCATTACGATTAGAAAGTCGTCATCGAAGAAATGAGACACCACTTAATGGAAACCTAGTCTCTTTTGGGGTTGGGCCTTGTGCGTGAGACTTCCTTGGACCTCAGAAGGTTCAGCTTGTCTTCTCGGCCCCGTTGACCTCCTCCACCGACCATCATCGTCGACCCTTGAATTCCATCTTGTTGCTCTTCGTATTCCCCAGCAATGGACCTATATCGATCACCCTTCGAGAGCCTCCTGCACTTGCGGTGCTGCAAATCAGGAAGGCATTCTCAGGTTCTTTCCCTTACAAAAAGATCTGCAACTCTCCCCTAAGCTGGTTTACGGGCCTGCCCATTTATTAGCGGCACTAGTTCAGTATTCCCCGCCTCCCAGGTATTTGACTGCCACGAATCTAATCCCAATGAGTGGTGCTTATCATCTAGATGGGGCACCTCACGGACCCAATTGTACCACACACCACTCCCTTTCTCCGAAGACGTTCAAAGCATTCTCCACAGCATGAAACTAGGCTTTCAAATATTGCATCCCCCTTCCTGACTTTGCTCACAATTAGGTCTGGCTGCACGGCAAACCAGAGTGCAAGCACACCCCTCGAATCAGGCCTTCTCAGATGACCGGAGGATTATCACATCTCTGGAATCTTATCAACTGCAAGGTTCCCACGTGGGTGCAGGGACCCGACTTGGATTCCCCACCCCTGGCTCGTGAGCATATTTGAGCAAATAAACCCTGCAACCAATCAGCGGCAATCTTTCCTCGTTTCAACCCCACAACCTACCTTCAGGCTGCTGGCTCGTACTGCGGAGCTCTCCTCCTTCCGGCACACCAAGAGCCGTCGATACAGGCCAGGTGAGAACGCTTGGGCGGGTATAACGCTGCCAGAAAAATGTTGGTCTCAAGTTCGACTAAACATGCCCCCCCGGTAGTGCACTGGAAATACCCTACGCAACCCAAACATGCATAAGCTTTTAAATAAGCTTCATACAGCATACGCAGTCTTGTTAGACTTACCCCTCGTTATCTTCTCTCGAACCCGTCCTGTGAAGATTCAAGTCTCCCGCTTAACCACCGCCATGGATATGGGGCCGAACTCCTCGTTAGGCAACATCACGAATCTCCCCTTGTCAGACCCAAAATGCAACAGTGATGCATGTCTTGCTTTCAAGGCTGGACATCTTGCATCCCAAGCCCAGATATCGTGGGCTTCGCAATTCCTGTACGGCCATTATATAACATGGTACTATTTGGCTATTATTTTTCTGGCAATGTTGGTATACGCACACAAGCTAGTGCAGAGCCGCAGGTTAGTTTCCGTACCATCGAACGGGACATCTGTTCTCAACAAGGCGCTTGCTTTTGTTCGATTGATCAGTTACCGGCGCATCCATGGACGCCTCGCAAATATCATTGGACTTCCATCGCTCGGCATGCTTCTTTTCGTATTGATAACATGCCTCTTCCTTCTCCTGCTTGCATTCATTCAAAGACCATATTATCGCCTTCACCGTGGATTTGGATCTCCGCCGCTTGCAGTACGGACGGGCTTAATGGCAATCGCTTTGACACCAATCATCGTTGCATTGGCTGGCAAGGTCAACTTCATCACGATCCTCACTGGTATCAGCCACGAGAAGCTAAACGTTCTCCACCGATACGCAAGTTATATGTGTTTATTCCTGAGCATCGTCCACACAGTCCCTTTTATCGTTGCACCACTTAAAGATGGAGGTCTGAAGCAACTGCACAAGCAGTACTACAAAAAGGGTGGCCTCGAAGTATGTATCCGATTCCATGCCCTTCTCTTGCTCACAGGATGCCTTTCAGTTCACTGGAACGCCACCGCTAGGGATTCTTGTCGGTCTCTGCGTTTTTTCCATTCCATGGATCCGGCACAAGTCGTATAGCTTCTTCTACCGTCTTCACATTCCTCTCTATGTAACCTACCTAGGGCTGATTTTCTGGCACGCAACACAAGAACTCGATTCATGGGCATATCTTTGGGCAACCCTTGCTATCTACCTCGCATCGATTACTTCTCGCGCCTTCGTCAAATGCCAATCATTCAACGTCCTGCGACCCTGGTTCCAAGGCTACTCTGCGCATTTGACACCACTTTCTGGGGACATGACGAGGGTGGATGTAATTGTTTCAACAGATTTCAAATGGAAAGCTGGGCAACATTGCTGGCTCCGGTTCCCCCACCTTTCCATCTTGCATAACCATCCATTCACTATCGCATCTCTGCCGAAGCGGGCATTTTCAAACACTGAAAAAGCGTACGACGATCAAACTCTGAGGTTTTACATTCGGTCATACAGAGGGCTGACGAAGGCTCTGGCGGTATCAACCGAGAAGTCAGACCAGGCACTTGACAGAGCTTACACAATTCATGTAGATGGGCCGTATGGCGGTCTTATCGCTGATCTCTCGTCGAGATACGACCAGCTTATATTTGTTGCAGGTGGCGGTGGCATTTCCGCATGCTTGCCTTTAATGCTTCAGGCTGCGATAAAGATATCTCAGGGTACTGCATCCACGAATAGTATACATCTCATCTGGATGGTGCGGGAGGAAATGCACACAGAATGGGCTAGGGAGGAATTAAAAACAGTAATCTCCCTTACGGAGGGGAAGTTGTGTGAATTCAACTTCTTTGTGACGGATTCTAGCCCGGCCAAATCAAGTCTGAGGGCATCTGGGGCGGTCGTTCCTTCGGCAAGGGAGATTCAAGCATCCACAGCGGCATCTACTGCTCTTGGAATTGGCCAGTTGCATTACCAACGGCCATTTCTGCTTCACTTTCTTCCAGGTATGATAACTGGGCGTCGGGTCATGATATTTGGTAAGTCTAGCAAAGACTAACCTTGTTTTTGATGGGCTAATGCAATACTATTTAGGATGTGGGCCGGCGAGTTTGAAGATTGACCTGTCTAATGCAGCCTCCCAAGCCCAATCCCGGGTTTTCGGAGGCGAAGCAGACGAGATAACCCTCCAAACCGAGACATTTGGATGGTAGATACTACCATCTCACAGAATTCCCTCATCGCGCAAATCTAGAACGTTATAATTCAAACTTTTTAGTAGTACGATTCTTGAATCTCCAGATGGCGCTCAACACATGACCCCCTCTGGGCCTGGTGCAACTTTTCGCACGGTGCGGTGGATTCTGGTGGTGCTGCAAGTCGTGGCATGTGTAATAACCTTAACCTAATTTGGTAAGATTGAGTGAAAATGAGCGAGTTTTCCCATGCATGCAAGATGCAAGCTTGTTCCGCTAAGACACCTCCAGACGCATGATCCCTGACCAAACATTAGCCGATGGGAGTGCATGTCACAGTTCATAAACATCCATGGTTCTAGAGAAAATCACAATTGGATTGTCTTCTTGAGACTTCATCGTCGCAACAATGCTGTCGTTTCAGTTCTTTGGTGTTGCCCTTCTCTTAATTTCAACCGCAACATGCATGACCTCTCAAGGTCGCAAAGGCCACGGGCTAATTGGCTACGGAATCGTTATGTACAAACCAAATTGCGCCTCCGCTTGCCGCGACTGCACTTCTACCGGCGTCCTCAATTGCTCCACAGTGATGGAGGATGATAAGGGAATGGACATGGGCGGAATGGATATGACAGAAACTTCGCCAGAATGCTACGCGACAGATGATGTCTTCCTGCAGACTCTCGCCTACTGCATTTCAGTGAAGTGCGCGCAGCTGCCGGACTGGGAGAAGGAGAAGTGGTGGAAATTGAATGTCGCGGGACGAAATCAAGTTCAACCAAACCCAAAGGAGTCATATCGCCAGGCTCTAGATATGGTGACCAGCCCTCCCACCGAAATAATGGTGAGTGGCGAGCCGTTGAACAAGACAATGTTGGTTAGCGAGGATGATTATGTTGCGAACTGGAATGCGGAGTATCAGTTCGAGAAGCAAGAAGAGATTCATGAAAGATATGGGTATGCTGAGTTTGCTCGTTTCCCCTTCTTCTACAAGCCAAGTTTCTCACTACATGAATTAGGATCGTTCTAGTTGTCAGCTGCTTCGTTATCCCAATCGCGTTTTCGCTTCTCCGCTTTGTTCCCTTCCCCGGCTCCTGGGTTACAAGATTCAACGCCTGGATAATCGACCCTCCCCTCTGGGGTGTGAAGCACAAGCAACCTTTATCAGGTGGCCTTGGTCTCATTCCAACGCGTGGACAATCTATTTTTCTATCCTACATCCTCATCATGAATATCGTCTTATCGGCAGCCAACTTTCACTCTGTTCAACCCAACGCCTGGAGCAATACTCGCATGGAGATCATGGACTATATCACGAACCGAGTTGGTGTGCTCAGCTTTGCCAACATTCCTCTCCTGATCCTTTACTCGAGCCGTAATAACATTCTCCTAAAGCTTACTGACTGGAGTCATGCCACCTTTCTTCTAATGCATCGCTGGGTTGCCGGGATAGCGACTATTCAAGCCATTCTCCATTCTCTGCTCTGGCTCCGCATGGATCTCGAGACGCACAAGCACGCAACAGAGAGCAAACAGCCTTACTGGTATTGGGGCATCATCGCTACACTCTCCATGACCATCCTCTTGCCCACCTCCGTTCTCGCCATCCGCCAGAAAATGTATGAGCTATTCCTTGCATGGCATGTCGCTCTTTCTATTCTGGCCATCGCGGGTTGCTACTGGCATATTATTTTCCGTTTCCAACACCAGTGGGGATATGAAACCTGGATTTACACTGCGATGGCTGTATGGGGCTTTGACAGAGTCATGCGCCTGTTGCGGGTTGCCCGACATGGTATCCGAACCGCTCGGGTTACACAAATCGATGACGATTATGTTCGTGTCGATGTCCCAGGCGTTGCTGCGTCAGGCCACGCATATCTGTATTTCCCTACATTAACATGGCGTTTCTGGGAAAATCATCCGTTTTCCGTGGCGTCGGCCGTGATACCACAATTCGGGGACCGCAAGACGAAGTCACTTGCCGATGAAGAAGCGGGACCGTTGGCACCCACGAAAGATGATATCCACGTGTCGACAGCGTCCGCTGCTGCGTCTGATAGCGAGAAAGGGCATACCCATCAGCCTGCTACTCTCGGACTTACATTTCTCCTCCGCCGTCAAGCAGGTCTTACCACTCGGTTTTCCTCCCGGTCCTCGCTGCCTGTTCTCGTAGAAGCTTCATACGGCGCACATATCGACACCTCATCGCATCCCCACCTTCTCTGCATCGTCGGTGGAATTGGCATCACCGCCGTCCTCCCCTATCTACGCTCCCATGCTGGATCAAGTAAACTGTATTGGGGCGTGCGCTCTGAAGGAATTGTTCATGCGGTAAAAGATATGCTTCAGGGTATCAACAAGGAGGTGTTTATAGGGCATAGGATGAACATTCGGAAAGTGTTGGGCGATGAACTTGGGTTCGCAGGCGCAAGCGGTGTGGTGGTGATTGTGTCTGGACCGCCGAGTATGGCGGATGAGGTGCGAGCCGTTGTGTCTGAGATTGGTCGGAAAGGGGCTGTGAATGTGAGGCTGATTGATGAAGCGTTTAGTTGGTAAATAAGGGGAATTTAATATTGGTGGAGATTAGATGTTTGGTGTTGGAGTGATTTGGGACCCGCGCGTAGAAATTAAATTCGTCGCGGCCGAATCTGTCACGTGAGGTAGCTGCTTGAAAGTATATCTGCAATGCTCACTTATGTGGATTTTCAACTCTACATGCAAGCAGTGGCGAAGAAATGTAAGCAAACATGCTCAGTTTCAGCCCTCATTATAATGTTGCTCTCTTTCTTGCAGCATTGTGCTGTTACCTTCCTAGTAGTTGGTCTAGATACGCCCGCAAACTTGCTCATCGGAGGAATAGCACCGCCACCAGCCGGGATTGTTCAGATCATCAGCTGGGCTGTCTCTCCCGGGGAAATGGTGGGTGTCATCCAGGTACTGCTCTGTCTCTAAATATCTGATAGAGTCTTGTGCCTGTTCATTCTTTGTGCTCTGTTGCGTTGAGTTGTTTTTACCCTTTCTGCAGTCGCGATCGACGGCACCTTTTCGGGGCCATGGACATGAACACGAGTATGAAAATGGCCTCAGCTTCACTAGCTTCCACACCGGCAATGCCATCGATGGCAATGCCAGTCTCGAACAGCATGAGCGGCATAGGCAGTATGTCCTCAACCTTCTCCACCAACACGCGCGTTACACTCTTTTTTACGGAATGGACCACAACCACACCAGCAACATACATCCTAACCGTCTTCTTCCTCTTCTTCCTCGGTCTGCTAAACCGGTTTCTGGGCGCGTTAAAAACCCAGCTTGAACGGCGGTGGAAAGAACAACAGAGTACTCACCTACATCAAGAGGGGTTGACTTTGACTGAAGAAGATGCAGGCGGTGTGAAACGCCGGTTAGAAGATATACATGGGCATGTCCGAAAGTGGAGTCAAGCACTACGACCGCTGAATCTTCGCCTCGAAGACAAAGACGAGGAGAGCGAGCCGTTGAGCCCAACACCTCTTGGGAGAATACCCAAGGGAGATTCCTGCGCTACGGAGGATACGGTTGTGCAAACTAATTTGAGTCTACCGGGCGGAGGAAGAAAGGGGCTCTGGATTCCAAGTGCAGCGTGGAGTTTTAAAAGGGATGGAGTAAGAGCATTGTTGGAGTTTATTCGGGCGCTGATTGGGTATATTCTGTAAGTCGTGCTCAGTTTTTCTTTTGCACTTCACTTCACCCTCTAATATTAGTGATCTTGTAAAAAGGTGGAGTTCTCGTGCTGACAATTTCACAGGATGCTTGCGGTTATGACGTACAACGTGGGGTTTCTCTTCGCGGTCACGGGAAGCGTGCTTTTGGGAGAAATGGTGTTCGGACGGTATACGCAGAGCGGGAGTGGATGGCAGGAAGGCGGTTGCCACGAATAACTTGTCGTTCAGCAAAAGACATTGAATTAGCATATTGTATTCTGTTAGGGTAAGTGGCGGCGAACCATCAAGACTATAAAGGGCTTAAATGCTCCCGCATCGGGAACGCGTATGGAAGATTATATATACTTTGAATAGCGGGCCCATATTCGGCTGCTCTTGTGCTAGTCACCCATGGTGTTTAATGGAACGTAACTGTTACTGCCAGTAGTGTTTTTGGTGCGTTACTATCGGCAATAGAGTTTTGTTCTTCCGGATAGAGTGAATTTAAACGGCCTTGCGGGCAGTAACAGCAACTGCTAAGTTAACTAAGGGGAGAGTTACTGTTTAGTATATTTACTGCAGTATCTAGTGTTTCTAAAGGCTCTAGAGAGCTTAATTTTAATACAATCTTGCTAATATAGTTGCAGATATTAGTTTAGCACTAAGCAAACAAGTCTGTAGAGCCTTAAGTATAGAAGGTACTAGCTAGTTATACTTAATTATAATTGTTCTTCTAGCTTTACTAAAGCGCCAAGAAATTATACAGTATAGGCAGTTACTGTAGTACCCAGAGCCTTATTATCTATACAGTAACAGAAGACAATTCACTTTTGTTCTAACTGCTAATATATTGATACTATCAGTAGCAGTAGCAACAGTACTACGTTCTAGTAAATACCATGTAGTCGCCCCGAGCAGGCTTAGATATATTTGGGCCGTGTGATCATGTTGTCAACTTCAACGGAGCAAATATGTTTGCTGAGAACATCTACCTCGCTTACAAAAGCTTCCAACTCATCAAGATTTGCCTTTAGTAGGACTCTCACCTCTTCTTGATATTAGTGCATCTCAAATGCTGTACCGCTTTCAAGCGTAGTTTGTATCTACTACTGTAAGAATAACTAAATTAATTCAACACCGCCCAAGCCCATGACTCCGTTGATCTATGGCAGTTTTCGTAAGTCAGCTCTCGTTAAGTCGGCTTGGAGATCCTTAGTAATTTGATTCTACTCGAGATCCATAATGCGCAGCTGATCACGCTTAATAAGGTTGCATGTCCAGATCGTATACGCTTTATTTAAAATGTCCCGTTAAATTTACAACATAAAACTGTATCTTGTGCACCTTTGAGATCCAGGCCCACCTAAAGATTCACCTGGGGATTCATATTTCCTGGATCTGACTCGGTGTTTTGTAATCCGGTTTACAACGAGGTCTACTATCTCGTTTTTCATGTTACGTAATTGTTGGGACTTACTGGGGTCGTGACACTTGAACGAGCATAGTTTCGCAAGGAATTTTGGATTTTTGCAGGCTATTTATTAGAGTGCCTTGAAGCTCCTGAGAAACTAGCAGTGGATGGCTCAGAGCCCACATCTACTTCTTACATCTTGGAATAGGTCGGCTTCTTTGGACGCTTGTTATATTTCTTAGAGGTAAGAGAACTTTTTGGGAAAGTGGCTAATAATTTACTAGCTATTTGCTCCAACGGTAAGCAGCTTGGCCCTGCGCACCAGCGCCAGGATCTTTGACGTATTGAGAGCCGCATGGAAGGCCTAAATCACACGGAGTTGGGATAATGGACGGAGCTATTCTAAATCTGGACTTGCCACACGAGGTAGGAGGATCAGATAGTTAAGCAACACTGATCAGATGGTGGCAAGATCACATTGTTCATATAGAAGGCAATTGAAAAGATCCGCGTTGTGCAGACCTTTTGCCCATGTCGTTCCAATATTTTGCCTGCCCAAGCTAAGTCCACCGTTTAGATTTGCACTATAGTTGAATAGGTCTATGGAAAGTATGTCCATTTTCGAGCTAGAGCTTAAATAGAGTGAATTGCTACCGAGACGTGACTAGGTGAGTATTAATAGCCGCTATACAAGACGTACGCGAACGGCAGTTACTTGCTTAAGTAGCCGACTTATACACCATCTGATATTTAATTTTATAGTTCTTTTGGGCTTTTAAAGTATAACTTGTTATTATTTTTAATAATAAGTTTATACTGCTATAAATAACTTTTAAATTTCATGTAAAGTAAAAAGCTAGCATTGAACGTACAGTTGCGGGCACGCTAGCAGAATAATCACGGCTGTATCTAATTTAATATGTATGGACATGCAGAGATATGTCCCTCCTACTCACCCGCAAATGCTTCCATTTATTCCTTTGCCCTATTCTCAAAACTCACTAGAGCAAAACTATCGCATCATCGCACTATCTTGAACACCTTCGAGGCTCCCCTGATTATCCGGGTTGCCGGTTGTTTGGTGTTCTTGGCGCCCAATCGTTTTCTTGTCGTTCCTTGGGACCTTGACCACCTGCTTGATGTGGCAGCTCGTATGAGTGTGCCAATTTGTCTATCTCAAGTATTTTAACTCCTCCTGCCCGTCGTGATCACGCCTGAACAGCGGTGTTCCCTCCTGTCCTATCTTTCATTCTCATTTCACGCAGGGTGCACGTCATTCGTCATCTTTCCAAGGTTCGCTTGCGACTTAGATTCGATACGAAAGCGCCAGTCAATTTCGGCAACTGCCGTCAATCTCAGACGCGATCGCATTAAGTAGAATCCTCTTCAAGGCTCTTTTCGAGTCGTCGCGGGTCCCCAGGCGTCACCATGTATTTGCTCGCTTTGTTCGCATTAAGCGCCCTGCTGGTTTACGCCATTGAGCCACCGCGATTCCCCCACCAACCCCTCGGGAATGGCACAAAGCTTTTGACCTACAACATCACTACGGATAATCCAGGGCCGCTTATTCCTTCCACGCGGACCCTGAGCTGGGTCGGCACCGGCCAAGATGGCGAGTACATATACAAGGGTGACGATGGGTCCCTCGTTTTCGAAAACATTGTGACCGGCAATCAGACTACCTTTCTTTCCGCTGACAAGGTGCCCGCCAATTACAGGGAGTACTGGATCTCGCCGGACGCGAGCCGCGTTCTTTGGTCTATCAACTACACCAAGCAATATCGCCATTCGTATTTTGCGGACTACTTGGTACAAGACGTGGCTTCTGGGGAAGTGCAGTTGCTCGTTTCCAATTCCACTGGCGATATACAATATGCAGAATGGAACCCGGCATCTTCATCTCAAGTCGCGTTTGTGCGAGGCAACAATCTCTTCATCTGGAACAACGGAGACATTTCGCAGATCACGACCAATGGCGGTCCGGACATGTTCAACGCCGTCCCGGATTGGGTGTACGAGGAAGAAATCTTCAGTGATCGATTCGCGCTATGGCACTCTCCCGATGGAAAGTATATTGCGTTTCTCAGCTTCAATGAGACAGGCGTCGAGACTTTCCGAGTGCCATACTACATGAATGGCCAAGCTATTGCTCCATCCTACCCGCGAGAATTGGAGCTGCGTTATCCGAAAGTTGGGAGCAAGAATCCAACGGTGGCATTCAGTCTTGTGGAAGTCGATGCTCTGACAACTACTTCATTGCCGGTGGGTGCATGGCCAGAAGACGATATCGTAATTGGCGAAGTTGCGTGGGTGACGGACAAGCACGACAAGGTCATTTACCGTGCTTTCAACCGAGTGCAGGATCGTGAAAAACTGGTATTAGTAGATGTCGCTTCGTATTCCTCCTCCGTGGTACGTGAGCGGGATGGTTCAGACGGGTGGCTTGACAATAATCTAGCAATTACCTACATTGGATCGCTTGGAAACTCCTCCGCAAATGCAAGCACGAACTACTATCTGGATATGTCAGACGAAAGCGGCTGGAATCACCTTTACCTATTCCCAGTTTCTGGAGGCGAGAAGATCGCTCTGACTTATGGAGAATGGGAAGTTGTTGCTATCCTCAAAATCGATGCCGAACGCGGGCTAGTCTACTACACATCCACTGAGCATCATAGCACCGAACGGCATATTTACTCAGTCTCATACAAGACATTGAAGAAGACTGCTCTAGTTAATGATAAGGTTCCTGCAGTCTGGACGGCATCGTTCTCTTCAGGTGGGTCCTTTTACGTGCTTCGGTACGCTGGACCAGATGTTCCCTATCAAGAGCTCTATTCTATAAATTCTTCGACCCCTATTCGCACAATTGTCTCTAATGAGGCTCTCTATAATACCCTTCAAACCTACAAACTCCCGAATATCACCTATGCTGAGCTTGAGCACCCATCTGGACACAGACTCAACACTATGCTGCGCCTCCCACCAAACTTCTCTCCAGATAAGAAGTACCCTGTCCTCCTAATTCCTTACGGCGGGCCTGGTGCGCAGGAAGTATCCAAATCGTTCGTATCCCTCAACTGGAAAGCCTATATCACGTCAGACCCTGAGCTCGAATACATCACCTACACAGTTGACAATCGCGGCACGGGGTACAAGGGGCGTGCTTTCCGCTCTGCAGTTACTTCTAACCTCGGAGACCTCGAAGCCCAGGACCAAGTCTGGGCCGCGAGGCAACTGGCTCAAAATCCGTGGGTCGACCGCGAGAAGATTGGAATTTGGGGTTGGTCTTATGGAGGCTACTTATCTTCGAAGGTTCTCGAGCTCAACGACCCAATCATCTCCCTTGGTCTCATTACGGCTCCTGTATCCGACTGGCGCTTCTACGACTCCATGTATACCGAACGCTACATGAAGACTCCGACCCTCAACCCGGGGGGCTACAACAAATCTCGAGTACATGATACCACCGGGTTCAAGAACGTAGCTGGTGGCTTTCTCATTCAGCATGGGACTGGGGACGATAATGTACACTTCCAGAATTCGGCTGCGTTGGTGGATTTACTCATGGGAGACAAGGTCAGCCCGGAGAAGATGGCCGCGCAATGGTTCACGGATAGTGATCACAGCATCGTGTATCATAACGATGGTAAATTCCTCTATAGACAATTGAGCAAGAAGCTGTACGAAGAGAAGAACAGGAAGGGACCGAGTGGAGGTGGGCATCAGTGGAGTCGGCGGTGGGCTTTTGGGAGAAGGTGGACTGTTTAGGTTCGTTCATGTAAATTTGGGCTATATCTGAGTACCTAGTTTCTCTATCTTCAACTTCGTATAGCTCGTTATGAATGCTATCGAAAACATGGGTTTTGATTGAGACATCAATACTTGTCATCACAATACTTCCCCCTTCTTACGCTTACAGACGTCCACCTCTCCGCATCCAAGAATTTGGAAAATTGACTCTCCGGTGTCTGTTGGACTGAAAATCTGCGTTGTATTGTCCTATTTGTTCCAGGGCTTCTACTTTCAGCTAATGTGTACCCTTTTCTACCAAACAGCCCGTGCGCGGGTTGATTCGACTTCATATACTCTTCTAAAGTTACCTTAGTTCCATCGACTTTCTCGCTTTATTTAAAATGAGTCGCATTCGTATTACGATGGACAAGCTGGGACAGAAAATTAAAACCGCAAGCGAATTAGCGGAATTCGAGCAGAGGATGGCTGACTGCTTCACAGAATCTTATCGCAAAACGTAGGTTAAATCTAGGGTAGAGTGTATCTGTTAACTACCGTGCTAGGATTAGAAAGGAGGTTAGTAGAATGCAAATTTCTGCCTAAAACTACCCCCTGTGTTGCTCTACGTTGAGTGACAAGATGCAGTAATCACGAGGGATCCCCGATGGGGAATACAACGCTAAGAAAAGGTTTGGTGCACTACGCCATAGTCCCGCAAGTTCTTGTGTCAAGATCCCGGGCTAGAGAAGACCGAAGGTGGTTATTTTGTTAAGTTTTTGAAGCCTGCAGACTCCTTTATAGAGAATTACAGCTTCCAGGCTTGGATCTTGACTGGCGTAACCAGTTACTGAAGTCCGAGACAGGAAGCATCTACAGGATACTGAAAATCAGGTGAAGCTTGCCAGGGCTTTTTAAGAGGTTTTGGGGGGGCCAAGATCCAGCCACAAGCAGATCTGCACGTAATCGAGAGACATCTTCTTCCTCTCCAGTTCGATAAAGTTGACCCGAAGGACTTCGACTTCGACATCGCATAATATGGTAACGGATGCACAGTCTCAAATACCAAATGCATGCACTACAACTCTGAATTCCATGGACCTAGTAGATCTAGTGCCCGCTCCAACCTCGACGGCGTTTTCTCTAACCACATTATCAAGTTGAATGTGGTGGTGGATATGGACGCCTCAGATGCGGAGGCTATTGTCTTTTCCTGGATGGCTGCTGCTCATGCCCCTCGATATCTGTGATAGGCTTAATTGCCGAATAGCGGATGCAGTCATTTACCCGGTATCCCCACTGGAAGGCCTGTAGACAAGCCGAACTGTGACGAGAAGCCTAAGAACACAATCGCGGGTTACTACGTCTCCTCTCACGCTTCAGGGTTTGGATCTCGGGCCACGATCACAACAATGAAAGTGCCTAGTAGTACGAAATAGGTAATAGATTTAGAAGACGATCAAAGCGATAACAACATAACCACGCCGCCACAAGTTTCATCTAAGTCGAGGCCACAGCCAGAACAGACCATCTTTAAGTGGGAAGCATACTAGCTGACACTTTCTGTTAAGCACCGCCAACCCAGCTCAACCAGAATCTTCTTTTACTCCTTCAACCACCCCCCATCTCCCTCTTCGATCGCGCCACCACTACCATCCTCCACCAGACGCAAGCCTCCCACCACGCGGTACACACTTTGGGTCTTGCACGCGTGTCTCGCTCATCATAAACAGGGGGATACTTTTGACTACATGTGACTGTGACTATGTCAATGGATTTGGAATTGAGTCTGTCGGCGTTTGCAGCTCTGTTAGGTATCCAAATGAAGCTACTAATGTTCCCCTCTTGAAAAATATACCCCCGGAATGGCGCCTGGGTGCGCCTGAGCAGCCATTTACCAGAGGGATGGGTTTCAAGCTACCGTCTACGATGAAGCTGCCAAAGTAAGACCTGCGGCGTGCGAATGTGGCCCGTTGGTGGTATACCTGGGTGATGGATGTTGTTTGTTTTGCACATTCTTCCTCAAAGTAGTGTATCTTCTGGACCAAAACTATTACTGAAATATATGCTTTATTTTTAACTGTGTCCCCTGCTATTCAGTAACATACTCTAAAGTAGGAATCAACCAGTGTAGCATCAGGACAAAATTCAACAAACTCACAGTAACATAGCAATAGGTGGATCTATATATGGAGATTACTCAAACAATTTCTTTACTAGAATTCGAGAGAAACGTGAAACGAATGTAAATTTTCGTTTTGAAATGCGCGGGTTAGAGCAAGAGTGAAAGGTCACCTGATTAGCAATCACGTGGGTATATTATGTAATTCGCCCTGCAACTTCCACTTGCTGCTCAAATCTCAACGAGCACGACGTCAACACAACCACTCATGGCTCCATCCGAAACAAGTCCGTTGTTGGCTAGCGAAGGTACACCTGCTGTCGCTACAGACACAAATCAGCAGGACGTGCACCCTGAAATACGAGGGACCTTTGCCCGGCAATTGTCAGCATTGGATGGCTTCGCCCTCCTCATCAGCATTGTCATTGGATCAGGAATCTTCTCATCTCCAGGACCAATCGACGCTAATGTGCCATCACCAGGCGCTGCTCTTCTCATCTGGCTTGTCGGAGGCCTTCTTGCATGGACGGGAGCTTTGACAATGGCGGAGCTAGGCACGGCTTTCCCAGGTGAAGGAGGCATCCAGCCATATCTTTCCCATATCTATGGTGAAGTCTTCGGCTTTCTAGCCGCCTGGTCTTGGATAGTAGCAGTCATGCCGGCTACTCTGGCCATCTTGAGTATCGTATTCGTCGAGTCCATTTATTCCTCAATGGGCGTAAATGACGCAGCGCCTCCGATAACGCACAAAATCTTTTCTCTCCTTATCCTGGTTGTTGTGAGCACAGCAAACTCAATCAGTACCAAAACGAGCACTCGACTAGGGGGTTTCTTCGTTGCAGTCAAGCTTCTCTCCATCTTCCTCCTTATCGTTGCGGGCCTCACGGTCGTCTTCGTGTATCTTGGAAACAATGGGAAAGACTTTGGGGGCGGGGATTGGCATTCTAGAGGGTGGTTTGCTCCGAGAGATACCGTCCTTCCAAATGGGAGCAAATTTGATTGGACTCAAGCGACATCATGGCAAATGCTGGGATTTTACTGCACGGCTTTGTACGGTGCATTATGGGCGTATTCTGGCTGGGATAAGGTACGTCCTTCCTCGGTTCCTTAAAATTAATATTAGTCACTAATAGGTAGTCACAGGCGAACTACGTCGCGGCTGAACTGAAGAATCCTTCGAAGCAGCTTCCGCTATCCATCAACACTGCAATCCCTACCATCATCATTTGCTACGTTGCCGCGAACGCCGCCTACTACGTTCTGCTGCCTTGGAAAGTGATCTCAATCACTGATGCTGCTGCTGTAACAGCAGTGACCCATTTCTTGGGGAAAGGAGCGGCCTATATCGCTGCTGTACTTATTTGCCTTGTCGTAGCAGGATCTGCTCTTGGCAATTCATTTGTCGTTGGACGCATGACTGTAGCCGCGGCCAACAAGAAGTGGCTACCTCACTTCCTAGGAACCGTGGGCCAAATTGGGCGATGGAGAGTTTCAAAAGGAGCAGGTGGTGACGGCTCCGATGAGGCGATGGACAAAGGCGAATCACCAATGAAAGTACCTCCAACCTTGTCCTACAATCTCCTTCTAACGGTACTATAGCAATGCACTGGTCCTATCCACTATACTCTCGGCGGTCTATATCCTCGTCGGAAACATGCGAGTCCTCCTCACTTTCAATGGACTTGGGGAGTATAGTTTCTTCTTCCTTACCGTTCTCGGAGCCATCATTTTGCGATGGAGAGAGCCCGACCTGCACCGTCCGGTAAAACCTTTCATCCTCATTCCCGCCATCTTTGCTATCATCAGCGGTTTTGTTGTCATTCGTGGTGCTATCTTTGCACCCGTGCAAGCCTCAATTCTCGTGGGAATTTGGGCCGTCGGTTTAATCTTCTTTTATGCTAGGAAGCGCGCACTTCGATCGTAAGACGCGCTAGAAGATAGTTGTTCCCTCTGCATTATTCCAGCACATCACTTGGAACATTAACTAAAGGTAGACAATTGTTTGAATCAATTGCTAGATTCGAGGAGCTCGCCGAAGGATCTCTTTGTAGGTGTTTCCCCAAAGTTCCGGTGCAAGAGAATGTTCCATTTTAACCAAGAATCCGTCAACTGACTTGAATTAAGGCATGTTACTATTGTATTGTATCGTTCAGTAGGATTGAATGTTCGGCCTAGTGCTAGACTAATAGGCATGCCATCTCCCACCATGTCCTAGTTTACCTTAAACGCAACCCTAGGAGCACACATCTTAGTTATTTGTTTAGACTAGTGTCTTCCAGCGAGCCTTTTCATTCCCTTGAAGTGTTTAATTTCCCACTACATATCATCTTCCCATTTCTACGGCCCTAGATCACCTTATAGATCTTTATGGTACCTAAAGGAGGAAGACATTATGCTACACTTTCAACTGCTGCTTCGCAGAATCGAGACCTGGCGAAGGCCAGGTTTATTACCCGGTGGTTCATAGATTCTGCACATTGTGGGGAGTGTAACGAAACAGGGGTGAAGATACATTTATATCTATTTGCTCAAATCCAGAAACTCTGCTACAACTTTGTGCTTCCATATTGCTGTTTCATACTGTTTGCTAGCATTAGATGATGTGCGATTTCCAACAACCCCGAACAATTGGCGAAAGTGAACCCCTGTTACATTCTATATTAACTACGTTTATTAGGGAAGTGCCGCATTGACGCGTGGCACAACACCACCACAAGCCACATGATTTTAGAAACCCAAATCTGCGCTTTTTTTTTACTACGGCTTGAGATAGCATATGTGTGCCTGCCCATCCTTGCCCTGCATGTTTTCATATTTCTTAGCAGTTCAGTCGCCAGTTCAAAATGGTATTTAACTTGTATTCCTTGAGCCGACTGCTTCTCTTCGTTGGAGGCACGCTTGCATCCGTCACTAGAGGGTGTTTCCCCCTCTGCCGTAATTCCAACCCCAGAAATACTAACTTCTGCCTAGGAATAGCAACCACGCTCCCTACAACCACAACTTCTAGCATCCTACCTGGCGTAACACTTCCTCCGAACCAGCTTTTACCACCTCTAAATTGTCCCAAACCAACACAATCATACTGTTACTGGGACCAGACATCTCCAAAGATCAATACTACACCTGCTTGCGCTCCTGGCTTTTTTTTTTTTTTACAAAAGTTCCTCATTTCTAGTTGCCTGGTCCTGGACAAGCACCTTCATACTCTCCGTCTACACCAGTATCGGATAAAATACATTCTTCGACGCATCATTCAAGTTCTCCACCCTCTGCGATGGCCATCCGCGAGCGCCATTTGGCGTAGCCCCTTTATCCATCCCATTTACATCAACGATTACATACCCAACACTCTACACCATCGCCATATCCGATCCGAATTCTGACTATCTCCCTTGGACAACACCCCCACCATGCAAAATCCTCGACAGCAGCGAAGCATATTTGACGCTCCAGTGCTCCTACAGCGCAATGTCTTTTTGGTTTGGGTACGAGGATTCCCAGATCCCGTTGGGGCTGTGGCACCAACCACCATGTAAAGCAGACGACCCGGAGTAGAAAACTTGCGCCCTTCCTGGGTCTCGCGACTGCACGGTTTGCCCGGAGAGTTTGAAGATGTTGTATTGGCCACAGAGCACAATTACTAGGGGGGATTTGTATAAACAGGGACAGGAGGGAGGAGGGAATCCTGTGACTCTGACAGCGACGGCGACATTTCCAGGACGGGAGAATATGGCGGTTTGGAGGGATGTTGTGGAGTGGGTGACTCTAAGGCCGAACCCGGTGATAGGTGAGACTGGGGGCGGGAATGAGGTGAGTGTTTTTATAGATGGGTCTTGACTTTGTTTTCAGTGTCCTTTAACGGCAGGGTAACACAGGACAGAAATTTGCATTCTATCAACATTCTACATAGTTTAGCAAAGACGGAACAGGTAAACTCCATCCTAATTATACTCAATGTTAGGTACTAACATGCCGTACATTGTCTATACAAGAAGATTTACTAAAGAAACCTCGATTCCATCTTAGCCATTCGATATTCTTCCCGTTAGGAGTGCACCTTCCCGCCTCTAGCAAATATCTAAATATCTCCTTCACCCACACAACAAACCTACAACCCACTCTCCTCCCTCTCCTCCTCACTCTTTAACCTCCTGGCCCCAAACCTTGCTGCCATACTCGCCATGGCTCTAACCCTAGCCCGATTCCTCTCCTCCTCACCTCCCCTCATTACATCCTCCCTCACCTTCTTCCACGCCGCAAACCTCCCCTTCTCCTTACCCTCCGCATCAATAAGGCTACACCCCAACTCGCCCCATAGTTCAAGCTGTTTCACAAAGCCTGAGTTCGGGGTGACAATTTCGCGATCTTTTCGCGCAAGGGCGAGGGCAGAGGGGTAGGAAAGGGAGAGGGAGTGCATTAGGTAAGCGACGACAAGGGCGCCAGACCGGGATATGCCTTGGTGGCAGTGGATTAGAAGGGTTGGCTGCTTAATGCTAAGCTCCTCTTGTTCCGGGTCTTTGAGAGACACATCTGGGGATTTTGTTGAGGTAGAGATAGATGGGTCAGCTGAGGGAGAAGTGGGTATAGGTGCTGGTCCAGATAGCGCGTTGTCGATCCAGGCACACAGCTCTCCAAGCCTGGATACTAGGTCTGCGAGAGGATCATCTTCGATCTCGACAATCCGGTGGGTCATCCCTCCTTTAGTGGAATATTTCGGTGCGTCTCGTGCAGATGTTAGACTGAGGACATGCGTGATGCTTTGCTCCTGTAAGTATTTTTCGTTGCGTGCGGCGATAATGCTATATATATAGGTTAGTATGATCTACATGACAAACCCGCGTTAAAATGGGTATATAGTATGCGATTGGGTGAAGGGAGAAAGAGAGGAGAGAGAAGTAATCATACTCCGAGATACACAGTCCCCGTACCGCAGAGATGCAGCTAATTGTGTGGCTCTTTAGATCCTGCATTATTTCTATCTGAGAAAAGACTCTCGAAACTTTGTGAATTGGGTTGATATATGGGTAGACCTATAGGATTGACTTTGGTAAAGGTACGAGGAACTTAATTAGGAATATGATATGGGGGTTTTGGATTTGGGTTTAGGGTTGCTGAGCAAAGAGAGAACGTAGACGTTTTATGCGGGGGCCTGATACTGTACCTACCTTTGTTGGATCTCGACATACAACAAATACGAGTGTGGCGGTGCAACAGCCCCAGCCACAAGTGGTTACAGCACGGGGATCGAGGCGAGTTTCAAGCTACATGGAAACACATACTCAATACAGACAAACAGCTGCATAGCTGGCATGCAAAAGAGAAATACACAAGGAGGAGGAGACGTTGAAGAGATCCAAATCCAGAAAAAATAAGCAAGACAAAACGGGTATCCTGACATTCATCGCCACATTACCACATCCACACCTAAACCCCACCCACCAGAAAGGGATTCTCCCCCTTCCTTGAACTCCAGCAGTCCTCTCCCCTCCTACCACTTTTCCCCATGATCCGCATAAGCCCCCGCGTCCAGCGCCGGAACACTAAACCCATACCCATCTGTATGACCCTCCTTATCACTCGGACTAATCTCCACCCTCAGTGTCACATCTAGACCAAACGGTCCACAAAGCTTTGTTTCCGTAAGTCCGTTTGCAGCGGGATGGCCCGTACCAGCGCCTTGTTCGCCGATATGAATTGGCTTCCTGGCATTATATTTGGGGTCTGGCGGCGAAGAAGTTTGAGTTTGATCCTGTTCGATGACATCCGGGTTTGTATCGCCATTCGTCGTAGTCGCCGCTGGGGCTGGTGCCGGCGTGGCAGATGCAGAAGCAGACGGCGCAGGCGCGGAAGTAGTTGCCGTAGGACTAGGATTAGATTCACAAATAATAGCGTAATTTCTCGATGGCATAGTGGCATGATTTGCATCACTGGTCTTCTTCTCAATTTTTCCCTTCCCATTCGCAATTTCCGCCCCACTTGCCTCAGACCCATTAGCAGAAGCCCCATTCACTTTCCCACCATGCCCAGGATCGCGGTCGAAAATCTCCAAAAGCGTCTCATCAGTGTCATGATCCAGATGATGAATCTTATTCCTCTTGGCTAACAAGTTAGCCACAGCTTGCGGTGGCGGTTTATTCGTAATCGCCGAACTAATCACATTTGGCATGTAGCGGAAGTCGCGTTCAGCGGGGATGCCAAGTTTGGGCTTAGAGTAGAAGCGGCCGATTGCCGCGAGATGCACGTCGCCGCCGAGGATGGTAACGCGGACTGAGTGCTTCTTGGCGAGGTTTTGCAGCATGTGGATTAGGTCGCGGCGCTCGTGCTTGTGTTGGTGCGCGGTGTAGTGGTCGTCAAGATCGTCGAGGAGATCGACATTACCGTCGAATTTGTTGAAGATGCTGCCGCCAAAGCCGAAGCGCTTGTTGAGGAATTTGATAGGGGCAATGAGCGGAGAGGAGAAGATGTTTTCGAGCCACTGTAGACGCGGATATGCGATTGGGACGCCGAGAAGGAGGATCAGGTGCTTTAATTCTTTGTTTGCCTCGAATTCCTGCGCCAAACGATCGAAGATCAGCTTATAGGTTTCGGGATAGTTGATCTGATGGCGCGTGCGTTCGGTACGCGCATCGATGCCGCAGAAAGCAATGCGGGCACCTAGCCGGCAGTAGATGTTCCGGCTGCGCTCTTCAACGTACGGCCCAGGCTTCGAACCGATGATGAAGGATGGGTCGTCTAGATCATTGGTCATAACAAAGGTATCCTTGAGCTGAACTGGGTCGACCGGAGTACCCTCTGAACCAACCTCAGTAGTCTTAGGCGCATCAGTGGTGAATGTGCTTTTCGGTGGAGCCATATGGTGCTGGAAGAGGAGGTAGTACTTGTGTGCAACACCTCCAATGCCTCGAAAGACGGAGCATTTCATGAAATGATCGGTATACGAGCCAAACCCATCAATAATGTCGTGATCGTCCCAGATATTGAGTTGCGGAATCTGGCCGTTTGCATTGGAAAAGGGCTTCTGCCCATACCACCTCACGTAGTTCTTGAAGTAGTACTCATCACACTCAGCGCGCATCTTTTCACCAAACGGAAACTCCCGGCGTTTATGTGGATTCCCAATATCCGTCCAGGGTCGCAACGGGCCGTCCACGCGCACCCCGTCGTTGTAGATTTGGTCACCCCCACCAATCATGACATGGAAGGGCCTCTGGCCGTGCATACGCAAGACATCGTTCCACAGCGCGGGGCCATTCCAGGCGTTGATGTCGGTGCCTACACTGAAGCCATTGCAGGAGTGGAAGAGAATGCGCATTGACTGCGCAATTGAAGGCACAGCAAAGACCTGTGGTTTCACTGTGTTCTTCTCGTCCACATATGCCAGTCCCTTAACCTTGTATTCCCACTTCGATTCGAACTGCTGGAAAGGCAGTTCAATGAGGAAGCGCCAGAACGCCTTATCCGGGTCTTCGTACAGCTTGTCGGCGCCGAAAGTCCTACTCGCGGGGCCAGTGAAGATGGTGTTCTCTTCGGCGGGGTTGACGGCGCCAGCGGGCGACAATGTCAGTTCCGGCGAGCTTTGGCCTGGGGTGGCCACCACGAGGACGCTGCCATGCCAGACGGGCTCCCCGGTCTTCTCATTGCTCATGCGCCTGTAGTTGAGGAGGGGGCCAACAATGACCTCGGACTCGTTTGCCGTGCTGAGGATCTGCGGACCGACACCCACTCCGCGCGTACCACTGGCATCCTTCTGGGGGGAAATTTCGTCGACGCCGATGTCGTTCGAGGCCGCTGGCTGGCTCATTGTGGATAGCAGGATGATGCACGGTAATCAAGGGTGGGTGTATTCGCAACAAGAGACGAAATATGCAATGTCTAAACAGCACGAATCAGCGACGCACCCAGAAGACTGCGGCAATTGACTCGCCTAGTCTTAATCTATTCCCAGCTCACAAGACTACGACTCCAGCTCTGCGCCGTTGCGTTTCGTCTGCAGGAGAGCAATCAAGGACGGATGACTTGCAATTGTTGCAATTGAAGGACAGGAACGAAGCAAGAAGAAGTGTGCGCGCCTCACATAAAAGCCCTGAGAATACAGTACTTTTTGGGGGGCTGAGAGCCGAATGAAAGTGGTGCGATGTTATTATGGTGCCCTTTTGCTTGTTGGAGCTGTGGCAGGGAAGCGGCGCATGCCAAGGGGGCCCCCAGCCTGTCGCTTGCCGAGCAATGACATCGAGACCCGCCGCTTGGTCGCCGCCTTGATTTTTGACTGCGACGACAGGAATATCGCAATCTTGGTAGATTAAAACTGAGAATAAGGGGTTGCCTCCGTGAACGCTTTGGTCGCTTCCATTTGACAGGGCCTCTGCTATCCTCTCCTCTCAGACCCTGTGGGAACAAGCATCCAAAAAGCATCTGGCTATAGATGTAATTAGTGCTGCTCATCTCGTTCGCATGGCCCAAGCTCCAGCCCTCCAAGTTTCAGGTCCCTGGATCCAGTGTGGCTGGTGTTGCGCGTTTCAATGACGACTGTCGTGGCAGTGCATCTCCTTCCAGCGAAACATCAGGTAGCACGATAATGAACAACAGGTCCTAGTAGCATGCATGTCAGAAATCGTAAAAAGAAAGTTAATGGTCCCATCACTCAATGTCTTCCTTCCCGGTGTCCTTCTCGGTGTGTGTGTGTGTGTGACTACCCACATGGTCCAAGCCACGCCCTAAGCAAGCCTGAGCAAACTTTAATCTTCATGCTGGCATCGCCGGCTCCTATTGCTCCATCTAGATCTCTGGCCTAGGGATACCATGATCCTCAGTCCCTCAAACCTAGCATGAATATACCCATTGGCTCTTGTCTCCGAGGTATGGAAGCTACATAGAAAGAGTGTGGTGGGTGTGAGGACACTGCGACAAGGAATCAATATGAGCGCAACAGTTAAGTTATCATACTGAGTCTGGAGATACTATGCGACAAGTGTAGCCATATCTGGACTCTTCAATACAGTAAGCATTTCACTACAAATGCCGTATCCAAGGACAACCATACCTGTAAAGCCATATTGCAAAACTCCACCCAATGCACCTGCTCCCATATCCAAATGCATGCAGATCTCCATCAGATTTCACCCGTCAACTTCCATCAGCACATCCCCCACCTCCACCCCCATCTCTTCCGCCACCCTCTTCACAACCCCTCTTATCGCCCTACACGCTGGACTCTCAGGATATGCATCCAGGAAGCTTTCCCCATGATCACACGCCATCCCAATCCTCGGATCCAGCGGTACAGCACCAAGGAACGGAATCTTCTCATCCTCCGCCAGCCTTCTCGCCCCCCCTGTACTCGCCCTAAAAATCTGGCTCTCGGTCTTACAACCTGGACACACGAAACCCGACATATTCTCCACTATGCCCAGCACCCTAATCCCCGCCTTCCTACAAAAATCAATCTCCTTTCTCACATCCAGCAAACTGACTTCCTGAGGCGTTGACACCACCACTGCGCCATCCACCCCGCTATTCTTCAAAAAGCTATTTACACTGAGATGCTCATCGCTTGTCCCAGGCGGGGTATCTACGACTAAAAAGTCGAGCTCGCCCCACGTCACATCCATCAAGAACTTCTTGATAAGTCCGTTTTTCTTCGGCCCCCGCCAAATCACTGCATCATCGCGTCCCGGTAACATAAACTGCACGGACATGACCCCCAGATTCTCGCTCACCCAGACAGGCTCCCAACCTTCCGCGGTTACATGTATCGTCTCGTCCTCCACGCCCATCATCTTAGGGATACTTGGACCACAGATGTCCGTGTCCATAAGCCCAACCGTGTGCGCAGGATTCGAGGCAAAGCCATGTGCCAGCATTGTCGAGAAAGTCGATTTTCCGACGCCGCCTTTTCCGGAGAGGACCAGAAGTTTGTGTTTTACAGACGAGAGCCGTGAGGTAATGACGGGGATGTCGGGGTCTGGGCCTTTGGGGGCCGAGGCGCAGATTTTTTGGTTAGGGCACCCGGCGCAGGAGTCTGCGGTGCCGGCTTGCTGAGATTCGGGACCCGGGCAGTGTTCTGGGAGGAGCGTGGGTTAGTGAGAGCATGTGGACAGTAGTGGCGGGGTGGGAGGACCTGGCTCTGGGGCGACGAGCTTTGGGGCTGCTTTCAGAGGTGCGTCGAAGTCGACTTGCGTCGGCTCTTCGAACGACGGCGCCATAGTGAGCGTGAAAGTGAGGAGTGAAGGGTGAGTACAAGGTGTTGCAGAAAAAGAATGGCAGCTTGATAATCAGATGGTGCCATAGGGCTGAAGCTGCCTTGGCATTGCCCCACGTTTCCGAGGTCGGAACCGGAAGCACTTCCGCGGATACAAGTGAATCATCACTAATCACCATCCGATTGTTCAAAGTTCAACTCGAATGCATTTGAGTGGAATATCTATTCATGCCCAAGGCTGTGTTCGTCTATACATCCACCAACATCATGAGTGCCAAGCGCCATGCGCTACACGCCTCCCGTCACCCAAAACCCTTGATGTAACCAAACTAGATGTCTCCTACTTCCGCAGCTTGACCATCACGTATGGAATCTCGACGTCCTCATCCGTTTGATCTTCCGCTGTGACTTCGTAGATGACGTTCTTCTGATGATCTGGGATTGGCTTCTTGCTAATATGCTCAACAAGCTTGCTCATCCTACGAATCGTTAGCACGGATGTAAGGGAACAAGACTTAAAAAGACTCACGTGAGACCCATCCTATCCTTCAGCTTCGAAGGTGGGTAGAAAGAGGCATAGAGAAGGCTAACACCTGAGCTGACCATGGAGATGTTAAGGCCCTTTTTCTCAAAGTCGTCGATGAATTCCTGGAGCGTAATATCATCGACCTCGAATCTATCCCACAGCTTGTCTATTGACACTTCCTTGCCGCCGTGGCCAATATATTTGCCCTTGGGGCTAGCGATCGGCTCACTGAAACCGAAGAAGGGCAACGCCAAGTTCACGAAGCCGTTCTTGTAGTGCTCAATATTCGTCTTGCCGTCAAGGATCTTGTACAGCTCAAGGTTGACGAGACCAGTCACCAATGCTGTGGTCGTGGCAATGGCTGGAATGATCTTACCAGCGATGAACTTAGTCTTGTGTCGATCAGCCGTCTCGATCTTGTAGTTCTCCGCACGAAGATTGCTAGCTGCTGTGATGAAGTCGATATGGTGGTTGGTATCATCGTCCTTCTCAAACTCCACAGGTTCTAGCTTATAGCCAGCGACAGACTTAGGTGCAGGGAGAGAGTCGGCCATCTTGTTTAAATATTCGTTGTCATCCATGGGACCGGAGGGCTGGGCATTGGGATCTGGGTCGCTGTCGCTTGCTTGAATCCTAACACTTGGATCTGGCTTGAAGTCAGGAACAATCATGTCATTGAGCACCTCCAGGTAATGCTCCTTTGAGACACCCTTTGGATTGATGCCGTAATTAAACGCATGGAGATGTGCAGCAGCTTCTACGTAGGTGAAGTGTGTAGGATTTGCGGGGTCGAACTTAAGTGCGTCTGGAGCGCGTTTGGGTCCTGACCAGAAAGGCTGGCCTGAGCCAGTTGTTGAGTCCTTGGGGAAATTGTACAACAGTTGCTGGATGGCATGGTTGTAATTCTTCTCGAACTGGTGGCGACCCCAGATTATGCAGTCATCGAAGGTCAATGGTTTCTCCGTTACCAGGAAATCACGGAGAGTCTCTAGAGTTTGCTTTTCATTGCCCGACTGCTTTAAGGTGGATCCAAGGTAGTTGGGCGTGTTGAGGTAGAGATTGACAACCTCTGGGCCCTTGACAAAGAATGAGTCAAACATTTCCCTAGCCCAAGCGATCGTATGCTCAATCTTGTTCGGGAAGCTTCTTAGTGTACACATGGGGAATGATTTCTCTGGTGGATCCTGAGAAGATGAGTATGATTCTGTGATATGTGGAAGAACCACCTGGGTGTTGCCTTTCGTTCCAAGTGTACCACTGTCCACAAGTGGCTTCCGGAAGAAAACGCATCGACGGTCGACGTATGTTCGCGCCTCTACATTATCCAACGCATTCGTAACTGCGTCCAGTCCCTCCCAGAAGATTTCGTTGAAGATGTGCTCAGTCTCCGGTCCGACCTTATCTTGCATAGTCAGGATGTGGCCTTTTAGGTCCGGGTTCATTGCCTCAACAGCTTTGGCTGCACAGTCACTCTTGAGCTTGCCGACGTCTGTAGGCCTGAACAGGAACTGTCGATTTAGGTTGCTCTTCTCGATTTGGTCATTGTCCGTCACCCAAATCTTACCTTCTGGCCCTGCGCCCAAGCCCATCAGAGCCCAATTCTTTAGCATCTCGCAACCGATAGCCCCAGCGCCAACCAAGAATTCTTTGACATTGCCAAGCTTCTCTTGGAAGTCTTTTCCGAATACTGCGATTTGGCCATCGTATCGTGTGCCTTGAGGCTTGCACTGCTCCTCTGAGCGCTGGCAGGAGGCCGGTAGCGATTCGAGGGAATCGAAGTAAAGAAACTGGACAATGGGATGAAACTTTCCGGACACGGCTTTGAGAACCTCCTGGGCAGCCATTCCGCCAAAGAACGCATCCATGGGGCTAATATCACCCTTGGCCTGGTAGCTCAGCTCTTTGATAACCTTCTCATCCAGCTCAACCTTGTCATCTCCTTGGCCAGCAAGACTCTCGGCAATCTTGAAGACCTCGGACGCATCGGCCTCGTTGTGCGGGCGTGGGAGTTCTCCACTATGATTTTCCGCAAAGGCATGGAGCGCCTGTATGCCAACGTGAAGCTGCTGTGGTCGATCAAATTTCGCAAAATCCGAGATCAGAAGCTCAGGTTTCTTCAGCTGCTTGCTCAGAGGCTCAAAGTCCAAAATCTTCGGCATCTTAACCTGGGTATATTGGCCACCGCGCCTGTACTCTCCAAGGCCGGAAACATCGCCGATGGAGAATGTATACGGGCCTTTGACCTCGATCTTACGTGGTGCGCAGCCATTCAAGCCCTCCATGCCCTCAACTTCGGAAAATGTAACAAAGTCGCCATCTTCTAGGCCGTGTCGAGTCTCATCCAAGGCAGAAACCAAGCCATCCGAGTCGATATCAGCTACGATACCGCTGTTGACGTTCTCTCCCGTTGGGTCGCCGACGGTGAAATTCTTGCCGAAGTCTGTGAATATAGTACCAAACAACCCAAAGGTATCAGTTATGACGACATAGATGCCGTTCTCGTGGCAGTAGTCAGCAATCTTGACTTGATCGTTCAAAGTTGTATCCGTGAGCACTACGACCTGGAACTGCTTCAACTGAGCCATATCTGATGTCAAACTGGCTCCAGTATATTCCTGAACAGGCGTGTACGGATTGAGCTCGGAGACACGGGGAACGGTAACACTGGCTCGCGGCTTCCCGACGTCTTCGGGGTGGAGGAAGAACTGTGCGGAGAGATCTGCGAGGGTTGCAGGCTTCGGGTCATACAGGGTGAGAGACTTGACACCAGCAAGCGCGATGTTCTTCGCGATCTCGACACCAAGACCTCGCAGCCCGGCAACGAGGACATTGGAGGAGCCCATACGCTTCATGGCCTCGTGGCCAAGAACGTACAGCTGCCTACTGTAGAGGGATTCGTCGATCTCGCCGTTAGCATCTTTTAGTTGCTCAGCGACAGTGGCAGGGCTGTCGACCTGCATTTTATCCTGGTAGATGGTAAGAATCTGGTAAGATTATGATACTTCAAGCTAAGTTGGAGCGAGTGTGGTGATGGACTTGTTCAGCCAAGGCAGCTCACGGAGAGGGGACCCAGACGTGTTTACAAATACACAGCGTCCACGCTATGGAGGGCGGCACCTGCCTAGATGACGAGGAGGAAAGAACAGCACTGAGACCTACCGACATTGCTTTCTTATGCGGACTCCCAAGGTCCTCACCGGAAAACCTTCTCTTCCCCAGCTTGCCGACTTCCGGGGAGCCTAGGAGCAGTGAGTTGGGGCGACACAGCGGTGGACCGAGTCGAGGTGGACCGAGTCGAGGTGGGCTGCGGTCCCGCAGCGTTGACAGCGTTAGAGACTCGAAGCGAGCAGCGCTGTAAAGAGAGGCTAGGGGTTGGAAGGAATGCTTGTAAAATGCACAAGAGGCTATGGAAAGAGCGAGGGGGTGCCGTGGTTATACGTTGGCGGTGGTAGTGGGGCTGATTGAGCAGGCATTGGAAGGTGCTGGATACAGGGAGCTCCGGCGAAACGCGCTAGTACATCCCACTTCTCTTGGCGTATGCGAACCACCAGCTCTGCCTTGCAGGCACCAGCACACTTTACTCTAACGCTTCTATTTTTTCTTCTCAGCCTTCACAGGCCCTCAAGCTGCCTCTACGTTCACATTCATAAAGTCATGGGGCCTGTCTTGCTGGACACAATCCACCAAATGCTTATTCAGCAGGAGCGAGCTGGGGAATGGCATCATCATCGTGGCAGGCTAGGAATCAATGAGCATCAGAAATATTTTGCACAGCCGCGTGATTCGGAATTCCATCAGTCGTATTCTCAGGCTTCGTCGCCCAGGCATCTATGTACCCTACCCATCATTCGTTATTTTCCTTGCCCTGGTGCATCCCATCCCAGCACATCATTACTCTCGTAGGCAAACAGTCCCTGTCCGAAGATGACATACGCCGAGCGCCCAAGAGGCTGTGGAGACTAACCACATATCCTCGAAATGCTTGGTATAAACAAATGTAATGAAGGTGCCACCTACGTGGCAAGAACTATACAGAGAGAAGACCGGGAATATCAGCGCCGCGACGAGTGTCGTGTATGGCGTGTGTGGCGATCTGAAGAGCTTGCGCTACCTAAGAGGCGGTTAGTGTTTGTTTGTAAGCATATATAGTTCTTAGTGGGCCTTACTTGAGCTTGTGTAGTCGGTGTAATATGAGGACCCCGAAATCGTCGTGCTCTTGTCGTCGTGGTGTCGGTCGTGCCGTCGCTTCAAGCCTAATGCTATCGCGAGGCCTCCTAGGAGTGCCCCGATACCCAGAGCACCTCCAAGGCCTCCAGTCTTCTTCGGTGGTCGAGATGGCCGCGAGGGACCTTGGCCATGCCAACGACGTCCACTGCCTGCTCCACTGCTGTGGTGGTGTTCCTCGATGTACGTCTCTTCGTGGGTATGCTTTCGCTTCTTGCCCAGCCCAAAGATGGCCATGACCGTGTCGAAGAGGGCCCGGGCGCAGCAGAAAAGGCAGAGGAGAAGCAAGAGAAGGATTCCGAGAAGTACCCCGATAACGATACCGGCAATGGCTCCGCCGCTGAGGCCTCCGCCGCCGCCATTTGCAGGAACAAGTGTCCCATTGACGCCTGTCGGGATGGGGGTCTCGAACGGGACCGTGGCAGTGGGAGTGCCGGTGGCTGTTATGATGATCAGCCCGGAACTTGTTCGACGTAACGGTGCGGACGGGGTCAGTGTACCAATGATTCCTCCAGAAGAGCCTCCTCCGTACAGCGCGCATTGCCCGGAGGTGAGGCAATAGTATCCGCTATCACAGCATTTCACTCCGCAGGGCGATTGCGCGCCGGTGCAGGTCGGCGTCGGGGCCGCCTGGACCGTCGCAGCCACGTAGGTGCTCCACACAGAGGTCCTCGTCACGTAGCCGGTCTCGACCCAGGTTGAGGTATAGGTTACCCAGCCGCCTGGAGCTGCCGCAGTTGCGGCTGCGGCTGCGGCGCCGCACTGGGCTAGGTTGTTCGCATCGGTGAAGCACACCTCTCCACCCGTACAGCAAAGCTGCCCGTAGTATCCACACCGAATCCCGCTGCCACAGTCCCGCCTCTCAAGCTGAGTTGCGTTGTTGAGCTCGCGCGGTTCATCGACGTGGGTCGGGTAGGGTTTCGCAAGCGCAGACGGGAGAAGTGCAATTGCAACCAAGCTCAGTACGGAGGGTGCTGTAAAAACCCACATGATGGGCGTCGCAAGCCAGACAGGCGTCGGTCGCTGCGAGCGACAACTCTTAACTTGTTGGCGGTGAAGGTCGGGAGAGTTGGTGAAGTTGCGGGGTAGATTTGCGGTGGTTCGCTTGGAGCTTCGCCTTGGCCTTGTCGTCACCTGAAGCGATTGTAGATTGTTGAAATCGCAAAAAGTCAGCAACTAAACGACTAGAATAATATGGAGTGGTATTTAGGAGGTAAGAAGGTTGCAGCGAGTGTTGGCTCTGTGGTGGGAGGAAATAGAGCACTTAGACTGGGTTGGGGCTGGGAAGAGGTTGGTACTACCAACCACCTGTTTTCGCACTATTGCCGGGTCTCCCCTACTAACAACAGGCTCCGTTACGGATCCAGACGGATTTCTTGGTTGGACAGTAAGAAATAATATCGCGCTATTCTTCAGATAATGCAATTGATCTCCCGCAGAGTGAGGAAATTGGTGTGTTGCGACGAGGCCCTATTCTGAGCTCTTTTCCCGTATACAAATAATTAGCGAGGCGTTCTGTCCTGGCAACCATCTCGCGCACCGCCACACTTCACCACCATCGCATGTTTCATCGCAATTTCATCACTTTTCATTGGATGCGCTTCGTATTACCGCAAACTGGATGCGCTGTTACCAACTCAGCGTTAAGACTCCTTAGTTTTATTGTGTTCTCAGTCATGTTCATTCCCGTGTATTGCTACTGCTTCCTTCCTTATATTCCTGAGTACATCCACGTCTGTAGTCTTCCCACTCCCTATCCTCAAACTCAAAGCTTGTACTCTGCAATCAGTTTCTCTGCTGCCATCTGACCGACAAGGTAAGCTGTGGCCTGAGTATGATTGCTGTATCTGTTAGCATCATTCTCCGCCAGTCTTATATAGAGGGGCCTACTTAGTTGTCAATGGGCAAATACTCAGATCTGCCACACGAAGTCCATCAATACCGAACACCTTGAAATCCGAATCCACGCACGCGAAAGGATCTCCTTTCTTGCCCATCTTCGCAGTTCCGTTGGCGTGCCAGACCGTGCCGGTTGCGTCTTTCATGAACGCAAGAATGTCATCATCAGACAGGCTCTCTGGACCGTAGATTCTACCCTTGATACGTTTCTTCAACTCCGGGTTGTCGAACACTTTTGTCCAGGTTTCTCGAATAGCCTCCTTGAGAACACGTCTATCGTATGGATGTTTGAGGTATCCCATATTAATTTCTAGCTTATCCTCAGGGTCTGCAGAGCGAAGCGTGACGGATCCTTCCGATTGTGCGTTCATCAAAAAAGCAACCGCAGTTAGATAGGTACTCCCCGCCGGCAGTACCGTTCCTGGCGGGAACAAAAGACAATGACTAATGAATTCATATGTCGGCACAGTATCTCTCGCAAGGAATTCCTGCACCCCTTTGTCTAGCGCTTTGTATTCGGGAAATTCTTCCAGGCCAGGGATCTTGAGGAAGCCGCCCCATAGAGTGCTGTGATGGAGTGCAAAGGTTCCAGTTCTGTCCTTTTTCCACAACACATCCGCTTCTAGTATCATGCTCTCACTGGTCTCGAATGCGTATCTATCGTTCTCAGTAGCATCCACTTCACAGGCGAGAAATGTCATGATGTGGTCGTGGAGCCGTTTGCCTACACCAGGCAAGTCTTTGACAACCTTGATCCCAAGACTCTCCAGCTCGTTCGCCGGTCCAATTCCATTCAAAAGAAGAATCTTTGGGGTATCAATGGCACCGCCACAGATGATGACATCCTTGCCCGATGTTGCTGTACACTCTTCATTAGTATGTGTCATAAGACTCGTAATTAGCAAACCTGCCTGTCCGACCATCGGCAGTTTCAATACCAACGACTTTGGTTCCTTCCATAACAAGCTTATGAACTGCGGCATCGGTCCAAATGGTCAGGTTATCCGGCAAATTAACCAAATGGGCTGTAGCGCTTGTAGTCCTACCCTCCACGGAGTATGTAGATGGGAATACTCCAACACCGATTGGGTTTCCCGTATTGAAATCGAGGGTCATTGTCTCGCCATGATTTGCTAGCGCTTCCATCACTGGAATCACTCCCTTTTCCAAAACAGGGGGGAGACACACTTTAACCATTCCATCGTGTCCATGTTCCTTCGGATCTGGTCTTGCGAGGTCTGAGTATTGGTTCGAACCCAGATAATCAAAGTTTTCGATATCCTGGTACGCCTTCTTGACATGTTCCCATTTCCAACTGTCGTCGCCTACCAACTCTGCCCACCGGTTGTAGTCCTCCTGGGATCCCCAGAGATAGACGGCAAAATTCAAGATACTGCTTCCACCAAGTCCTTTTCCTCGCGTGTATTGGATCGTTCTACCGTTGAGTTCTTTCTCAGGAATACTGACATGCCCATGGTCAAGATCTGGGCGCGTGAAGGCAGGTGTATAGCGGTGGAATGGTGCACGGAGGGTGTCTCCTTCTGGTTGGCCGCCCGCTTCAACTATTAAGACAGAAGGTCGAGATGCAGCATTTGCAAGTTTATTAGCTAGACGACAGCCTGCAGTTCCTCCTTCACGATGTCAGTGAATATAGCGGACTAAACGTAAGCATAAACGCCTTACCACCGACGATGATAAAGTCGAAGGTATTCGCCATTGTGACAACGACAGGCTCAAGGCGTATCACACACTTTGAAACAATGTAAATCAGGAACTGCAGAAAGGAATACAAGGCGCCGCGAAAGGAAGATGAGAGAGCGTCAGGATGGTATTAATGTACACCTGCAGTTACCGACTCCGACTAATTGCCTGACCGCCTGCACAGTCACTGCGGGACGCCTCTTCGAGCTTACATCTTCTGCATATGCTTTAGCCTATTTGAGTTTCTCTAGCAATCCCATCCCCAAATGATTTTGTCTCTATAGGCCCAGAGTGCTGATTCATCAGTGGTTGAGCTGCTGCATTACACTAGGAGCCCTGGACACACTACCTATGGGCTCGGGCCGATGATGCATAAGCACGTATTCGGAAACGATGCCATGTGCGATTCCAAATCGCAACATTCTTCATGTCTTTATCTTTTTTTAATCCACATTTTGATCTGAATAGAAGACAGGTGTAAAGGAAGGATATTAAGGCCAAGATTTCTAAACCACCGCCTCCGCAGACTTTCCCCACCTAACTCTATTCGCACAAATCTCATCTGTGTTCCAACTCCTGCTATGTTCTCCTGTTGACGCCATCAGAATATCATCTGCCCACAGCCAGCTTAGCATCGCCCAGAATAGCTGACGACACCCTTTTCTTGCCGATATTGTGTGGCTACTTCCCTCCCTGTCTCCAATTTCAAATATCGCTCTCGTAAGCGTCAAGGCGACCATAATCATGATACCTTGCAACACACAATCCCTAACATAAATTTATCTAGCACTCCTTCCTGCGTTGACGAGCTACAGGTCGCTTTCGTTCGACCCCCCCCCTGGAGTTTACAAGTTGGCTTTCGGGGCGCATCCATTGCCCCCACCAACTCATCAGAGTAATAAACTAACATTTCAATTCTATAACGTCGATGAGCTACACATGCTCGTGCGAGCTTTATATTCGATCTTTCTGGACTCAGATGTTAGTTCGGACGTAATTAGGCGTTGCGTAAAGAGCTTCTCGACCACTGTTAGCTAATGGAGTTTGTAGGAGCGTAGTGTAACTCACATCCCAGCTACTAATAAGCCTAAACAGCTTCTTAAGGGAGTTTCAAAGGATAATGAACCTCGTATAGTCCATACATCAGACTATCTTTCAGCATATTGGCCCACAACGGCACATTCTTCAAACGAATCACTTCCGCTCTCGAACCTCAATAAATCATCCTCCACTTCCCCCCTGAAACCCCCACCTGTTCAACACTCCCTTGCCTCGTCTCCCACCTCAGAATCCTCGTACTCATAAGACTCTCCAGAATCGTAATCCTCATCCAATCAGGTTTCTAAACGTTCTCCTTCCCTCAAACCCCCGTCTAAGTTCATCCCCTTCATTTTCTCCCTGTCCCGCTCTCTTCACATCCACGATGCCCAACCCGCCTTCCCCCGCTGCACTCCGATGATGCAGCGGCAAATTTTTCGGAAACAACCTCGCAAGCAGAGCTCGTAAATCAGGTAAAGAAGCAGCTACGATAGCCAAGGATGTCTGGATATCTGAACTGCAATAAGCCAATTGATGGCGTGGCCGAAGTACGCCGAAATATCTTTTCGTCAGCGGATGAAAGGGGTTTGGAAGAGAGCGACGGCGCAAACGATGAAGCCGAGTGTGAAGATTAAGATCTGTCCGAGGCGCTGGTGAGCGCGGAGTTTTGAGAGCGAGAAGATGTAAGATATTGGGATGAAAAAGATGAGATTGTCGAGGATGGAGCACCGATTGCGGCAGAGTAGGAGCATGTGAGAGAACGGAAAAATTGGGAGCCGCGGAAGGTCAAGAAGCCCGAGGACCAGAGTTTGTGAATTAATCTGAGTAAGGTGTTAGAAAGAGCTCGGGAGCAAATATCAGCGAGGATGAACGGACTTGCAGAAGACAAGGAGAACGGTCAATACCTCAACAACTTACACAATCGCAAGTCTGAAGAGGATCCAACTCAGCGCACGAAGCTTGCCGATAGTAGGGTAGAGTATGCGAAGGTAATATGCTATGATCGAGAGATGTGTGAAGAAGACGGCGAAGATGTAGGGTATACGACGTTCGAATATATGCTATCCCTCACCTCTTACTTCGTCTACATACGGTAATATTACATACGGTACTATAGCAAGAAGCTAGAGGATGTAGTTGTAATAGAATAACTTTCCTGATAATAAGGAAGCTCCGAATTTTGGCCTGGTCTACATATCTCTCACATCAGCTGCGAATTCCCACACAACCCAACTTCAATAAATCACCAAGTAAAGAGCAGTTGGTCATAGAAAGAAAGAAATAGTCCGGCGGGGTGATGTCCCTCTTAGTACGGTCTACTATTGTGATCACAGACGACGCCCAAGGGAGGAACAGGCCTAAAGCTAGAAATACCTCACCCTAGAGGAGGATAAAGCCACGGTTAGGTTTTTGTTACTAATGTCTAATCTTAAGCAATCTGTGCGAATTAAGTTTATACTTTTGCTAGCCTTTCCTATTGTCCGCCAGCAGCCCACACAAATACCTATTAAACTTCTGACCAAGAGCAAGCCACAGACCTTCAAGAAACGCCATCTAGAGTTAAAGCAAGGAGGGTCAAGGGAATTAATTAGAACCATCACAGGAGCAGCATACATAATAAGATTATGGAGTAGTTTAGGTGGTCAGAAAGGTACTACAGGGTCCAGCCATTCCGCTGGTGTAAAGTGTAAAATAGTGGCCGCTGTCAAGTGCATTTGTGCTAATAGAAGGTCCTTACTCCCACTTATAATCTGGCCGGTTTAAACCTACTGAAGCAACTGGACCACATACCCAACCACAGATAGCATTACGCATATTCTAAGAATAGATGTAATGACTCTTATTCAAGCGAGTTTTTAATCCCTAAACTAAAAGCACAAGCTAATTAAAACTACAGGTTATAGTATGCAACGGCTTTAGGTCACGCAAGACGCTTCACATCTTAGAGTAGTCTTCGGGAAGGCGAGGGTGATAAACTACGAGGACCTAAAGGAGGTACAAACAAAGCGTAGCGTGAAACAGAACAACGCTTCCAACAGTCCGTAGGACGTTACGATTGAGCTTTTTTCTGCCAGTAACTTCTCGATTTGGTAGTACGTACGTACGCAAACGGTGAATTGATTGGCAGGTACGTAGCGTAGCAGTTACGGTTCAAAATCCTAGTACTTCTGTACTTCTCACCAACTGTATCAACGTAGTACGGTAGGTACGTCCCGGATCAACTGCTTTTCCGCCCCCGGACAAAGTCTCCCAGCTTGCTCAATTCTCTCCACAACCCTATAACGTAACTAGTTCTTTTAAAGCTGCAGAGCCTTAATTATATTAACTCTAAGAAAGTTCCTGTCAATTGTAATCGTCCGCCAGCCCCTAGAGAAGGCTCTCTCGCAGTCGCAGCTTGTAGAGGGTATACAGAGGAAATCAACATCGTAACAATTAATGATGGAATGGGCTAGCAAATGATAAGGTATAAGATAAGGGCAGGGCAAAAAGTTGACTATACTCATTAGGGGCCATTTAGCCAACTGATCAGGATGAGGTGCTACAGACTGCAGAGTTTAACGCGATTGTTACTCCAAATCGCGACCTCAAACAACACTCCCGACGCGATGGCCAATCAGGTCTAAAAACAGGTTGAAAACCTCCCGAAATATGACCTCTCAGTCTCGTACTACGGTACGTACCCGGCAATTCACTGTCCGTACAGTACGGCTCCAAAAACGACTACGTTTGTACGGCTCACGTGACAGGTACGTTAACGTACTACGTCTACGTACTACGGACTGTTGGAAGCGTTGAAACAGAAAGCTACCGCAAGCAAAGGAAAACGCGGCCATAAGCGCAAGAGTCCTACGCCAGAGGTAGATGCGGGTTTGTCAGGACCAAAGAACAAAGTAGCGCGGATGAGCGAAGTGGTAGAGCCAGGGATGTATTAATTAGAATAGTGTTGTTGAGCTTTCTTTGATCCTGATATTATGCTGGAATTTATGCAGATTATATAATGATACAGCAGATAGAGCAAATACTTCATTAACGTTAACCCCCCTTGTTCACTACATCGGAATTAACTCCTATATTCTGAGCATCCCCAGCAGAAAAGGATCCTTAGCATGACTAGCGACAAGCAGTACTGCTCTTATCTCTGATGATAGGTGTTACCGTTGACTTATGACTTTATGAAGGGTTTAGGGTCGACCATAGATTTGAAGCTGCGCTCCCCCTTACACCAACGAGCACAACAGAAGCGCCATTCTCTAATCTCACGGAATCCCACTGTGCGAGGAAAATCTGTCGAGCAACTGTGTAATTGCTGATGCCAACGTTAATACGACCAAAATTTCCCTAATGCATCTTCGGACAACCCACCTGCTTTGCCCTAATCCATAATTAAATCTAGACAAAGCGCGATCGGAGTAGATCTGCAACTGTACACTCGTCCCAGTCCTCTGATTGCCCGCCTCTGGTAGCGATCTCCAGATCTCTGCTATCAGCCCAGTCAATCTCGTGAGCGTTGCATCCATAAGTGTCCAGGCTGACTGATGTGCTGAGTAAACCGGGGCCGTCGAAACTAGACTCATCGTCGTTGTCCCCGCCTTCAGTATAGTATTCCCGAACTTGGGCCCAAGTCATGTTGAGAGCCAAGGCACGTATGCCATAGTCCTGATTGTAGGGGGGCATAGAGGCCTCTGTTATATTTGCATCCCGGCCCCGTTTGACAACAACAAATACTTCTTTGTGTTGCTCGCTTGGTGAGGTGAGGACTGGGTCTTTCTCTATTGCGAAGTCTTCGAGATCTTGTGGGGCAACAACTTGTTCAAAGGTCTCTCGCTCAATGTGGTTGACTATCGATCCTGGAATACTAGTCCTTGATCGGTAAATTATCACTGAAGCTCCCGAGTCAGGCCCGTCTCGTTGAGAAAGCGCCGATCTCCATGTATCCGGCTGAGGCTTGCGAAGGTACGTCTGTCCAAAGCGCTCGGTTTTCTGGAAGCTGAGAATAGACGAATTGGGGGTGATGTAGTAAAGCTCCTTCCATCCAGTTCCCGACGCAATCAGGCCATCAAGTGTGTTGTAGTCAACTTGCGCTGGCCCTCCGGAAATGTTGTTAGCACTACCACCAAGGACAGTAAGTGTGTCAAGCTGAAGATGTGGCACCAGCTTCAAGCTCCAAGCAAGTCTATAGTAGACATCATCATGCGCTAATGATAGCATGACAGGACGGCCGTTGACCCGAATATGGCGGATGGCTGCAACCTTGACAGTGGGTAGTTTTGTAAGTGTATCTAGCAGCGATTCGGGCGTCTGAAAGTTAAAGACAACCCAACTAATCCAATGCGATCTGACCTCTGCTTTTATTTGTCGGCAAGTGTATAAGAGTGCGAGGGAATACGGGTGGCTCTTGTTGATAGTTAGTTTGATCCCGTAATATACTCCAGGCATTTCCCCAAAAGTGACTCGTGTAGAGGCTAGGACCCAGGAGTAGATCTCATCTCGAGGTTCTCGGGGGAGTTCTAAGAGTCGGCAATGTGAGTGCTGCATATGCTGAGGCTTTGATTCTCTCGCCCGCCGTCTAGCTTTGTTCTTATCTCTCTTCATTTGTCTCCCCGTTACACCGCGTTGGTCTGAACAGATAGCGTGATGATAGTGATGCGCGACCGTTGAGTGGAACGATACTTGTGGAGGGGATGAAAGTGGAGAAGCGGATCCCGGCACCGGTTTTCTCTCGAGTTCTCTTAGCAATTTGGCAAACAAATAAGGTCCAGCGCTAAGCCGGCAGCTTTCTGTTACTGGACTGCTACTCGGTGGTAGGTAATACCTATGGTAAGCTCGTCCTAGAGGAGTAGGTTAAGTCGATGGGTAGAAAGGGTACTGGCCTAGCGTTGTCATAGCTAGCCACGTGAGCTCAGAGAGGTGGAGAAGGGATGAGCAGCGCTTTAATACTCGAGCGGTGGAGTGAGAGTATGTGGAGGCGTCTCGGATTAGCGAAGGAACTTTAAGAGGGTATTAAATTTCATCAGCCAATACACGGTCTGCCCTAACGCACGGAAATTGCCGTCGTGCAGCACCGCAACTTTAAGCTCTAGAGCTGCATATAAACTAAACCTAGTTCCAAATATTTAGTAGATTAAGCAATCAATAACAGTAATTAATTTAAACTGACTATCTAGTTGCAGGAGCATACAGAAAGCCTAATAGCTTGCCTCTATAATCTAGCTTGCTGTTATGTTATCTTCTTGTTTGTCTCTACCGAGTCCTCAGGAGACAAGTGTCGTCTATCCTTTTATGGCCGATAGCAGAAGAGGCGTATCGTACGTAAAGTGAACGATAGTCCACAGAAAGATGATAACAAGGTAAGAGGCTTCTTTACTTCACAAGCGTGTGCGAGTAGGGCGCAAGTGAGCTTTAATCAAGAGTGCTAGTGATAACAATCTAATAGCTCAGTGTTAATTTAAATATAACTATGAAGAGACAATCTAGCTAGGGGACCTATGCCCTTTATATATCCCTTTGTTTCCTTAGCTTGGTCGCTGCCAAGCTTTTGGTCGCTTTCTTAGCGTTGCCAAGTTTATGTCTGCTCTTTCAGCTGTAACCGTCGTCACGTGACTTGTGACATAAGCTGCACCGCGCATTGTTGTGTTCCCATCATGCTAGTCCTCTAGACATTGCATGCCTTCGAAGACATCTGCTTGGCTATTGCTGCTTGTCGCTTCTTTATTTGTAGCACTTGCATAGAAGTTCTAACGTACTTCACAGGCAAGTTACTTACACACCTAAGTTGCTTACTTTTACTAAGACCCTACTAAACTACTTTTCTTACACTAATGCATTCCTAATAACACTACTTATACATGCTAAAAGAATGTTAGATATAGCGTATACTTTAAGCTTTTAAATAAAACATAAAACTTTTTAAAAAACATGCTATAGCTATATTTAAAGTCTTTTAAAAGATAATAAATAACTATAGCGCTAAATAACTTTTATAAGCTAATTCTACAGCTAACTTATAAAGGCTAAGTAATAATAAAGAGTAGGTAATTATTAAGACTATACTTAAGCTATATATGTAAAAAGTTTTCTTTTAGATAGCATTTATAGCTAATATAGCTAGTTTTTTACACACTAAGTATAATGTAGGCTATGTTAGCATAAACTAGCCTAGTATGTTTATAAAGCATTATTTAAAGCTTAAAGTAAAGTTTTAAGTATAAGTATAGTTAATAAATATTTAGCTTATAATAAAGCCTATTTTACTAAAGTTATACATGTTATTATTTTAAAAGCTATACTTAGCTTTAATATTTTTTATAAAGCTAAACTTGCTTTAAATTACTTTAAAACTTTTATAAAAATCTTTTTTATAGTTTTACTATACTTAAATATTACTTTAAGCTTTAGATAATAATTCTTAAATTTACTAGGCTAGTTTATAGTACTATAGACTAGATTATGCTTAGCGTGTAAAAAATTAGCTATATTAGCTATAAATGCTATCTAAAAGGAAAATCCTTACACATATAGCTTAAGTATAGTCTTAATAATTACTTATTCTTTATTATTACTTAGCTTTTATAAGTTAGCTGTAAAATTAGCTTGTAAAAGTTATCTAGTGCTATAGTTATTTATTATTTTTTAAAAAACTTTATATATAGCTGCAGCATATTTCTTTAAAAGTTTTATGTCTTATTTAAAAGCTTAAAGTATAAGCTATATCTAACATGCTAATAGAAATTAGTGCCCTGTTTTATTCTATAGTAAAGTCCTATCTAGTTTAGAGCTAAACTAAAAAATACATAATAAAAAGCTATTTATAATTATTACTATATTTAAATAATAAAAGGCTAAGCTTACATTTATAATAATAAGCGCCTTTGTCTGTACGCAGCAGCAGCGTCACGGCCTGGATACAAGCTATTGCGCACGAGCAGGATCACGTATCTATGTCACATGATGCTTGTGCGCGAACCTCTGTGCGCGAACATCTAGATATTCCCCTTTTCCTCTGTACAGAGGAAAAGACAGAGCAATAGAACTAGAAACATGTTGCCTCTACCCTACCTACTTTATACGCTGTGCACACTGTACACTACTCTTATTCTTGCTACTTAAGTGCTTATACTATAAGCAGCTAGCTAACAGAGCCTATTTAACAGCCTTAGTATATACTAATTATTAGTTATTAAAGTACCCTATAGACTTAATTATATATAATAACTTAAAAGAGCGCTACTTTTCTAAGTTTATATATAAAGAATTTTAAAAAATAAACACTATAAGACTTCTTAGCACTTAGCTATGTGTTTAAAAAAGAGCTTATATAAGTGCTAAAGAATAAGAGAATTACACTATAGCTAAATAATAAAAGTACCTAAGCCTAGAAACTATATAATATAGTATAAAAAAAGTAATTACATCTAAAAAGCTTTATATATAACGTACCTAACAGGTTAGCCGGCTAAACAGGTTAGCTAGCTACTTTTGCTAAGCCCTTACTAAAACTACTCTATTCTCTTGCAAAACAGCCTACTTTAGCCTTATATAGAGTAATACAACATAAGATATTATTTAGAGTCTACTTTTACTACTTACTTATATATATGTAAGTTATGCCTAGTCTAATTACACTACTTATATTACTTTTAACTTAGCTTACCTTCTTTAGCGTGCACCTGTGTTTTTAGCTTCTTCCTATTACTACGCGCTTTAAACTTCTTTAGAGTAGTTAAATAAGCCTTATTCTTAACTATTAAAGTCTTTTTTGCCTAAATTTGCTTTTTTTTATGTAATTTATATTATATAGTAGCCTTATTTACTGCTTAAAGCTTTATAATCTTATAGCCTACTTTGTTATGTTAATGCTTTAGATAACTATTATTTACTTTTTATTACTTTACTATATTACTTTTAGCTATCTTTATCTCTTTAAAGCTATAATAACTGCTCTAGTTAATATCTAGCCTATTATAAAGCCTAACTTATTAAAGTTATACCTATCTTTATTCTAAATACTATACTTAGCTTTTATATTAGCTACTAGGTAAAACTAGCCCTAGATAACCTCTAGATCTTTATAAAGTACTTTTTTTATAATTATACTTATAATTAAACTTTATAATAAACTTAGAGCAGTGCTTAACCTACATACTAGGCTAGTTTAAGCTAACCTAGCCTAGATTACGCTTTGCAGGCAAGGAATTAGCTATATTAGCTATAGCTATAAGCTTAGAGGAAAATCTGTGTGTAATAAGCTTAAGTATATACTTAATAACTACCTTCTTTTTAAGCTTAGTTAGATTCCTTAATTTAGGCTAGCATTTAGCTTATAAAGGCTGTCTAGCGCGTTAATTGCTTAGTGTTGTGTAAGAGACATTATAAATAGCTGCAGCGTATTATAAGAAGAGTTTTAAGTCTTATTTAAAAGCTTAAAGAGCAAGCTGTATCTAACATTCTTTAGAAGATTTAATCTAGTGTTGTTATTAAGGCATTATGTAGATAGGTAGAGTTTAGTAGGGGCTTGGCAAAAGTGGCCGGCCAACCTGTGTGGCCGGCCAACCTGTTAGGTACAGTAGGTGCCAGGAAGTGATCATCCTCCGCACCGTGCGCAAGCGAATACAATCTGCCCACGCAGTTTTCTATAAGGATTTTAGGGATAGATTGCAATTAAAAATTAAAGCTTTTAATTTATATAATAGAATTAATAACAGAGAATCTTTTAGAGTAGTAATTGTTCACTAGCAGGTGGAGCCTCCCTAGGCAGCCCTGACGTCAGCGACGCGCTGGGGCATAGATAATATACACTTCTGCTAATCTTCTAGCTTTAACCTATTTTACTCCTTCTTTAGGATAGACTCTATCTTTTTAATATTACTTATTTAGTGTCTTTTTTTTAAAATCTAAATCTTTATAATGCGCTAAAGGTTCTTAATAAGATTTAAATTAAGACTTTATGCTAGCTACACTATATAATCTATGCAAAGCTTTTCTTAGAAACCTGTAGTTATCTTTAACTTATAGTATAAAGCCTTATTCTTTTACTACAACGTAATACTGCGTTTTTTAAAGACTTTAGTATAAAATAGTTGCATGTAAGTAGCTAAGACTTTATTATAGTATCTTCTTAAGTCTATTTACTTACTTTAAGGCAGTATAACTAGCTCTAACTTAAAATCTTAGGATATAGCTGCTTATACTCTAACAGAGCTTCTTCTACTCTTAAAAGTAGGCTTTAGGTATTAAGATTTATACACACATAATGCTCTTTTCTTTTACTTATAGTATTAAGTAGTAGAGATAAGTCCTACTTTAAAAGTTAATTTATTAGAAAAGTAGACACATTTAAAGTTATTATTATTCTAAGTTTTTATGCAGGCACTCTAGTAATAATAATTAAGCTTATAAAAAGGCTTAAAGTAGAGCTTAGCGCGTAGTTTAAATATGTAGTACTTGTTTTTTTACAGGTATTACTTTACTATATTAATGCAGATTATAGTTATTATTTTTTTAGAAGTAGTAAGTACTTTATATGTTTTAAAGGGAAACTGCTCTAAGTGTTGTAC